AGATATGGATCCCTGGCGATGAAACCAATGCGGCCTCTGTGAATGAGTTTTTGTATCGACTGGCAACATTTTGTCTCTAAAAGTCTTTTGGTTCAGATTCCCAAACCTCGTTTCAGTCTGTTGAACATTTGATCCTATGTATTTTACAGTGTACACCAAATGTTCTCCAAACATAATCACAGCATTAATAAACCAGCAAACAACCATTAGCGTTGTAAACATTTAGTGGCGTAATGTCTACCTACGTATCCCTCCCTGTAAGTGTGTTGTTATCCAAGCTTTTCTTTACTTTGATCACATAACCCGCCGACCACGCATGCTTTTAGTGCCTGCGAGTGCAAGCAAGCATGTGAGCGCGGTTAGCTCACTGGACGCCGTGCTCATGCACGGCGGTTGCAGCTGATTACACCGGCTCGCTCTTTTCCTGTTGTTTGCGCCGTCAGTGTCGTTGGTTGCGAGCCGGCGACAACTAGCCGTCAACATTACATTACAGGTCATTTAGCTGACGCCAAAGTGACTTGCAATGCATTTATAACCCATGGCTTTTAGATTTTTGCCCAGGAAGCAATTAGGGGTTTGGTGTCTTGCTCAGGGACACTTTGACATGGGACATGCCAAAGCGCCAGCGCACCCTCTCTACCCCTGCGCCACATCGACCTGTTGACATGCTGTCGACCGCGTGGATTCCTTCGCTGTGAAATTTGGGTTGCGCGCTTTTAAGTCTCTACATTTTGGTCACATGGCAGCACTTTTAAATCACAAAACAAACCACACAGATGATACATCTATTTTATGTGAATGATCAAATTGTACAGGTTAAATTGCAAATGAATTTAAACGGCCACATCACATTTATACCACCTCACAGGGACAGTGCAATGTATAATATAGGCAATATGGGCCCTGACTGAGTAGAGTAAACTATCATTATTAAAGCACACTTTCTGAATCAAGCAGCAGGTGCGAATACACATCCTGCGCTGGGAATACGACCTCATGTTAATATCAGGGTATGCCTGCCGGTTCTGAGTAGCAGGTGTCCGCTGTAATAGTCAGGTTCTCCCTGTAATATACAGGTAATTGAAAAGACACAAAGCTGGAACCGCTGCAGGAACGCATGGCGCTGCGTATTTTGCCGGCTCTAGTTGGTGGGTCAATAGTGAAGTAGTTGTTAATCTTAATCCCATGATTCCTGTAAATGCAGAGCATGAAAAAGCTATTTGAAGTCTCTTTAGTGGACGGCGCAGCTGTTCGATGGTCAGTCTTCTGTCTGGGACTTTGTCTGAGTGGAATCAGCTGATAGCTTTCCTGAGCTATGGTGGCAAACCTGGCGAAGGAGAAGATGCTGGGAGAACTTCCACAGCTATAAGACTGATGTGGGTTTATGTGCATTTACGGGAAGATGTGTGCTTCCATGGAGACTGAGTCTGTGTCTGATCTCATATTTGATTCTTGCGAATCCATTGGGATGTGTGTGTGTGTGTGTGTGTGTGTGTGTGTGTGTGTGTGTGTGTGGTAGTGTTGCTCTATCCTAAGACACACCCAGGTTCAGCTGGGTTTATTTACATAGCTGAGGTCAGGTGTCACTTGATCCAGCCGCGGTCACACTCAAGTGGTCATCAAGGTCACCTCCTCTGCTTTTTCTCTGTGCTAGCTCTATGAATCTATAAACTCACACACACACACAGACACACTTCTACTGTATATACCCACCTCGATCAGAAACCCTGGGTTGTCACTTATCATGTACATCACAATTGGTGACATTCAGTCTAATGTACTGCTGTGTTCGATAAGTGAAGATACAAAGACACCAGAATAGAAAGGAAATGTTGTGGGTGTGTCTGCTTGTGTGTTTTTTTTTGTGCATGTGTGCATGGATGCATGGATAGCCTTAAACACTCTTATGAAATGATTCAACACTCCCTTGACCACCATAGTGTGCACGTTTCTTGCCATGCCACCGTGTGTCACCTGAAACTACATCTGAGACGACGTACAGAAACACACATAGATGTTGAATGGGAAACAAGGAAAAATGGACACACAGTTTGAATTTTATTGTTTTATTTTCTCAGTGATTTGATAAATTCAACATTTATTTGGAAAAAACAGCTATATGATATGTTTAAAACATATGAAAGACAAATCTGATCCTGGTGAAGCTGGATGAGTCTTGAAAAAAAGAGGTCGCGATCCAACAGGTTTCATCTATCCAGGTGGAAAATGATTGAATAAAACTAAGAGAGCCCTTGAAGTGGAGGAGGGGCGGGTTAAGGGGGTGTCGGATCGACTTGGAGCCACGAGGTCCAGTTGTTTAGGACAACACCATGGCCTGGAACTCTGTGGGGGAGAGGACACAAGTATGTGTATTTCATATTTAATAACTAGACAGACATGACCTGCTATGTAAGTGCCACAACAACACTTGTCTAACAAACTAAAATCTAAAATCACAAAAGGTGTAAGAGGACTGGTGATGATAATGACTCTGATTAAACAACTGAAATCCATAACTGTCTCTCTTTAGAGCAACATTTCTGGAAATAAAATATGCTCATTCAATCTGCATTGTGTTTAATAAGGTTAAATGTGTAGCAGCACACATCCATGTCTGGCATCATGCATCGATTAGGAACCACTCACCATCTACTCCAATCTGGCCGTCGCCATCGTCATCGGCGGCACACAGGAACGCCTTTGTCTCCTTGTCGGTCAGGACGCGGGCCCCAGGGGTGAACCTCTGGAGGAAAAACCTGGAGAGAGACTTAGTGTTAGTGGGAACAAACGGACGCACAGCAAAAGCCACAAAGCGGGAACCCAAGAGAAGCAGTCCGTCCACTTCTGGTCTCTTATCGCGTCAGCCGCGAAAAGTTGTTTGAACTAACGATGGAGCGTCACACCCTTTTCGCTGCAGCAACATCATGAAACGCCTAATCTCTACTCCTGTTGCAGGATCATTTACATCCTGGGCACAACATGTAAATGCCCGGCGTGAACTGGCCGCTCACTCACTTGAGCTCTTCCTCCTCAATAAAACCGCTGGCATCGTTGTCCAGGATCCCAAAAACCTTCTTCACGTCCTGGGGGCTCTTCTTGGTGAGGCCACACAACTGGAAGAACTTCTTGGGGCAGAAGGAGTCTGGAGCTGGGGCAGGATATGGAAAGAGCCAGAGTCAGGATTTTACACATTTACTCGTTGGTTCAATAAACTATAATTTAGGCAAAGTCCCCATAACGTCAGCAAAACATCTCAGTTTAATTAGAGGCAACAAGGCAATAACTGATGTGGTATCATTAAGTGTGAGGTGAGATGCATATTATGGAGAAAAAGGAAATTGATCCTGAATCTGTCATTTATTCTTTTAAGGTTTAAATGGTACATTTATACAAATATTTGTCCTCCAGTTGTGATACTAACCGGATCGTATAAAGTCCATCCTTTGCACGTGGCTTTGGCCCAATTGATGCTCAATAAATCTCTGGAACTTCTCATGACACTATGTTCCATTCTTTCCGTTGGTTGTCAAATATAACCAATATCAAAAATGATCCTATTGACAGTGCAAGCTGCTGCAGAGAGACTATAGAACTAAACAAGGGAAGAAAAAAGGGCTCAAACAAAGAGAGAAATAATGATATTGGTGGAAGACAATACCTTGGCAGTCCTTGATAGCACTGTCGATGGCATCAGCCGAAAGGATAGATGAGAGCGACATTTTATTCCTGTAGGAGGAACAACCACGTTTAATTATTAACTTACAAAGCCGAGTACAGGAGACGTCCCTCTAACTTGACCGTGATGGAGAGTAAAATGTGTGCGGGTGTGAACGCTTACTCTGAGAGGTCAGTGACCACGAACGTCACCAAGGCACAGTAATCTTTCTCCCCCGTTAGATAAAGCCTTGCCCGTATTTAAAATTATTCAAATAACTTTTATGCATCCCAGTACGCCATTGTTCCACATGCCATCTAAAAAGCAGCCTCGGAAGTGCTCAGAATACACAGCGGCCGGAAAATCCCCATCTGCAAAGTCTTTCAAAGCGAATGAAAGTCAACTGCTTCCCATCTGAAGCGGCATCTCTGAATCCACACAGCAACTTACCGCGTTTCGGAGGTTCTCGGGCCGTTTGGTGATGCAGCAGAGAGGTAAGCAATGTGGTGAATGGCTGCACGTCAAGGCGGATTTATATAGGTCTCACTGCCGTGACAAAAGGGATTGCTTGAGTTACCTGTCTATGGATCAAATTCTGACTGCCCGCCCCTGATCCAATTTCCAAGCTAAGTAATTAACCTTTACTATTTATAACACCCCGGGCCGGAGAGGCCGGACCGTGGACATCTGTAGCACCCTTGGAAATAGCAAATTAAGATTAAAAAAAGCCCTTTTCTCTCCCCGTCCACCACTCCCTCCTCTCATCCCAGGGCCCCTCCTCCTCTCACCTCTAGAATTATACAGTACAGTAAATGCAGGGAGGCTGTAATGTACCTGCAATATCTCTTGCCTTTTCTCCCTCTCTTGCTGTTTCTGCCCCCCTCCACCTCCCCCACACACGCTTCCCCTTACCCCACCCTCACCCTTTTATGCAGATATCCTTTTTCAAGGCAGCAGTCCCCAAACGTGCCCATCTGAGCCACATCCCGCTGCATTCATGCCCCTCTCATTACATTGGAGGTGAGCTATGAGAAATAAAATGTCTGCTGACAATGACATTTTTCATGGTGCATTCGTCTGCAGAGATGACCCTGCGTCTCGTATTAATGCTGGGTCATGTGAGATTATTGAGTCAGCTGAGAAGTCCGCCCACTACACACTGACATGCACACTGACATTCTGCTGTTTTCACTTGTCATCTGAATGCACATAACAAAAAAGTAAAAGTAAAATAATGCCTAGTTGCTCAGACGCAGACGGAGTTTATTTTCCTCGTCGCTGAATGTCAGGGACGCCGGGGCTCCACAACCTTCTCACTCTCTCAAAACCGACGTGGGGGACAACCTCCGCAAATCGCTTTGTCAACTGTGCTGATTAAGGGACTCGAGGTCACCCTCTGCTGTCGATGTCCCATCCCTCCTCGGCGGTGTTGACGATGCATAATGTCCCACATATCCACCTATTGCACAGTTGGAATATGGGTATAGCCCTCTGAGTCACTAATTTCTACCTAGTTTAAACACATTTTCTGACTTTGTTTTGTTTGTTTGACCGTCCAAATTATCCAGTTGAAAAAAGGACCATTTCAGGTTGACTCCTCCGAGGGCATTCACGGCCCCCGGCAGACAAATGCAGGGGTTATTAAGCACAGAGGGGTGTGTTCACTGCAGTAGCACATGGAAAAAAAGGTTATTCATTGTCTATGATTTCTGAGTAAATGCAGCAGCTATGGCTGATGGAGGAGAACTTCCAGTTAGAAGAGGTTCCAAGTCAAAGGTAACTCAAAGGCCGACGTTGTAAGAGGAAACAATAACTCAGGTCCCACCGAGATTTGAACTCGGATCGCTGGATTCAGAGTCCAGAGTGCTAACCATTACACCATGGAACCGGTAAGGGGCTTGGGTGATTATTTCTGGTGGTATCTTGGAGTGAAGGTGCTGTTGTCAGCTACTAACTTGGTGTAAAACTATTTAAAGGTCTGACCGCAGAAAATGAGATCGGAAATCAGTAGAAAACATTTTCTTTTAGGACGCGCACTGTGTGTCCACACGTGCTCTCTTGTTTTGTTGAATGCATCTTGTCGTCTTTCATTGTAAAATAAAAGGTTAGTATCTCAGGAATCAGGAATCAGGAAACATTTATTGCCAAAATATGTCAAACATACAAGGAATTTCTCTTGGCCGTTGGTGCGTAACAGTAGACACAAAACAGACAATGGACAACAAGACAGCATTGCACAAGTAATAAAATAAAATGATATGCTAATGAAATGGGTTAGGATTTTAGAACGTGCAACATTTTACAAACGGTGCCCCATATGTAACTGGGCGATCATTTATTCATTTACATTTGATATAGTGTTCTTTACGAGCAATAGTCTCACTATTGATATTACATAGTTTTTCTCACATTTAACATTTTTCAGTGCACATTTCTTTGAATCTAACCCCAAATAATTAGAATTCATTATTCAAATAATAAACTGTCCAATATGTCTTCTTCATTGTTATATGTAGCCACTGGGAGTTTCCTAATTGCCACATGCCAGGAGGCCAGAGACTAAAATGTCCAAACAGCTGTCGTTTTTTTAGCCCTCTGATCCACTACATCTTGGCCCTGTGCATTGGTCCCATCTTCTGAGGCACGTGACTCCATCTACTGGCTGCAGGGTGGAGCTACATGACTCTACACACCAATATCCACTGTGTGTGGGGGACAGAGATCACAGAGTAATCTGTTACTTCACTAGAATGTTAATTCAAATTGCTCTATTACAGGTACAGGTTCATTTGTATGCACTATGTCAGGGGCCTTCAATGTTTTTCAGGCCAAGGACCCCCAAACTGATGGCGAGATGGAGCAGGGACCCCCTATTCTACAGTTTGGTCTGTCATCTTTCATTTTTGTGCTTCGCTCTCTTTAGACGTGAGCATAAACGCAATCTTTGAATTTGCATGAAAGGTGCTGTGAGTGAACCGGTACTTGAGAGATCCTGTGGGGACCTGAATGTGTGTGATGCGGACTGAAAGTTATCCGTTTGCTACAATATGTTGGACTCATGTTAATGTGTCATTAAAGGCAGTAAATACAATTCTGATTCTGAAGACATTTAAATTTGTGGGGAAAAAAATGGTTGAAAAATATAATAATTGTGACCCCTCCCTCCCTGCAGTACCTCCGTGGACCCCCTGGGGGTCGCGGACCCCCTGTTGAAGACCTCTGCCCTATGTGTATTACTAAGCAAATTGAGAGAGAGAGGGGTGAATGTATTTGCTCTGTTTTATATAGTTGAAAAAACACAAATCACACACAGGGAATGAAAGCCCAATAAGACCGCAGTAAAATAATATTTATTATTATTTTTGTACCTTTTTTACCTGGAAAGTGCATCATAGATTTTACATTAAGCAAAATTCATATTTAAGACATGAACACAGCCGAGCGACATTCACAATCATCATTTTTGGACAATGTGTTGCATAAGAGGAAACGCCTCTTTTGCAAATGTATAAAAAATGAGTTCTGTTCGGATGAAAATGGGAGGAGGTTGACGTGGGCTTTGTTGTTGCATCGCTTGTTGGTCAGTTGCCACTTTATTTCTTAACCATGGCAATGAACTCTGCAGAGATACACAAAACAAACACAGCACAAAGTTCAGCGTCCGTTTTCCTTTGGGCAGCGAAACAAAACCAAAGAATGCTTTAACCACTTTGCGTATGAAAGACTCCGTACCGTCAGCGCCAATCATGCCGTCGCCATCCAGGTCGCCGGCCTTCAGGAATTCCTTGGTCTCGGCGTCCGTCAGTGCGCGTGCGCCTGCCTTGAAGGTCTGCAGGAACAGCCTGCAGACACAGAGTTGGCCTGTGGTTAGTTCAAGGCCCTCAGCTCCCCCATTGGCTGAGACACACTTCATGTTACATGTATTTGAAAGCATTCGATATGAATAGAAAGAGTATGTAGTGGCTTGAAGACAGTTTGGCCCTGTGATTTGTGGACACTCTGTTTTAGAACAGAGGAACAGGTGGGCGTCCCTTACTTCAGCTCCTCCTCCTCAATGAAGCCACTCTTGTCCTGGTCGACGATGAAGAAGGCCTTCTTGACCTCGTCGGCGGTCTTGCCGGACAGGCCGCATGCCTTGAAGAAAGTCTGGTGGTTGAATGTGCCGGCGTCTGAAATGAACGCCGGTTGTTACTTAAAGCACGTCGACGCTACAAACAGGCATGCGATTGGAATTTTCTGAGTGCAACTGGAAATGTCACCTTTGCAGCCTTCCAGGGCTTTAGCGACATCGGGATCCGTCAGTCCTACACTAGCGAAAGCCATTTTGATCTGCAGAAAACAGATACAAGTGATTATTCTTCTTCTTCAGTAGGACGCATTGGGGCTAAGCAACACATATCATTGACCTCGTGGAATATGGTTAACTGTGTTCAGTTTTAGAACAATTCAATCAATCAATGGCAATAATCACACTTCACATTGTCATTAGAAAACAGAGCAGCACTATTTGCACCATAGATACAGATAATGAAAACATTCTGTTGCTGTTCCAAATGGAATGAGAAAGGATTAAGATGTATATGGTTTAAATAAAGTCGAATTAGCCAGTCCACTTGTTTCTGTGAGTGGCACTGTGTTGCATTTCCAAATCCGCTTCAAGAGCCTGGGATTGACATGTGTTCCCTAGTGCGACTCTTTAGATGCTGCGAGGTCTGACCAGTAATCCAAGCCTTCGTGCGGCTGACGCTTCCCGCGAGAAAAGCACAGCAGAACTTCTTCTTTGTATGCTGCATTGAGTCCAAATGTTTTAAAAAAAACATTGTTTTCTGAAGCGGTGCTGGATGCCGGCGCTCTGTCTGCGTGGATCCCCAGGGGTCTTTCCCATTTCCATTAAAACTCACCTCTTTGGTGTCTCCGCTTTGTAGACTACAGATGAAACAGACAGGACTCGAGTCGACTGCAGTGATCTTCCCGGTGCTCCCCGTGACCTTTTTATAGTTTCACTCCATCGAAATCCGAGGCATAAGATAACTGACACCCGCGAGAAGGGGGTGACGAGGATTTGTCCTGCGACGAGTCTATTTTGAGTTTCACAAATGAAGACGCTTAAAAGGTGCGTTTGAAGAAGTCTTCAATGTCCCCCCCCCCTCAACGCTAAGAATAGGCGTGTGCACTGCTGAGGAGGACAAATTGAATGTGTTGCTGGCAACAAACGACAGTAGGCTATTCGAGAGGATGAGGAGCTTGCACTCAAGCTGCCACCAGTTGGATGTTATCGCGCTCTTTTTGTGCCATTGTTGAATGAAAGTATGGACTATTGTATTCATTTCTTTACAGGAGAAACCACACTCATAGATTCGATTTAGGCCTTGAAAATGCATCGTAGTAATTGTACCTTCTGTAAATAGCTGTATATTCTGACATTGAAATTGATTGTCGCCTATCAAAAGCCATATTGTGTCATATTGTGTTTTCAGGTCATTTGTGTTTTGTCAGATGTATCTGATCGACTTACAACCAAATGAAGCACATTACTGTCCTGATTATGGTGCATGAAGTTGGCAATGTCGCAATCAGTCCCAGTTTGGCTGGAAATGAAACAATGTCATACGTCTAAAACTACGTGAGAATGCTCATACGTTTTTTGTTTTTAACCTCCAAACAAAGTAAAGGAGAGAAGGATATTCTGAATGCTGCATGTTGACATAACCCCCCCCCCCCCCCCACTCGTAATGCAGAGAGTATCTTTCACCTATAGGTGGCAGCCCTGTCCTTTGGGGAGGGGGCAAGACGCCATCAGGCTGCTGTTCCTCTGCTCTGTTTTAACCTGCCGCTTGATGACAACGAGCTCAGTCATCTGATCTGGTACAATGGTTACATATTGCTGATTTTTACCTCCCTGAGCGCTTTCAGCTCCCCCACCAATCGTTTAGACTCGACTGATTAGCTATTTCAATTTGTTTTTTTCTATTTAAGAAAAAAAAGTCAATTGAACAGGAAACTCCTCAGACATGTAAAGATGTGCATCAATGCACCAGATTCCAAAGTTCCTGCTGACGTAACAGTGGCCGTGAATAGCCCTCCTGATGCCACAGCACATTGTCTAAATGACTGCTCAGCAGTGGGTGGAGGAAAAGACCTTGAAAGACACCAGCTAATTACACTATGCGTGACAGCTATCCATTGCAAACCGCCCTGGATCAGGGAGTGTATGAGCACAGGGGGCTATTCCTGATGTGTTTGCCAAGTCGAGTACAGCCATCCAAGCCATTTTGTTAGACTTACATTGTAAAGCGTCTTTGGGTACCAAGAAAAGCGCTATAAATAACGAAAGTATTATTATTATTATGTTAACCAGCCTTCAAAACTCAAAAGCTCTGCCTGAAGCACAGCGCAAAAACAAAAGACCCGAGGCAGAGGATTTTAGACCAAAAGAGTATTTATTCCTGGTTTTTCACTCTTCCTCAAAAGTGCAGATGGTGTTGTACAGTTTGTCATTTTCAGGACATTTACCACTTCTGAGTAACATTCACAGTAAAACATGTGTTCCATGTTGAGAAATAATCCGCAGGCAACTCATAAATAAGGTATAAAAAAATATTCTTTCAGCTGGTGGATAGAGAATCTTGCAAGAAGTTTGCAGTTCCATGAAAAGAAGTGGATCTTGGTCAGTGGAGATTTTATGCCTTAACCAAGGCAGCGAACTCTGTGAAAGTAGAATGAAACTGGCATAAGTAGAGGACAGAATGTAATGCTGCTGGTTTGTGCGAGCTGAGTCTGTGCCTGGATGTGTGTGAATGTATGTTGAATAATATACCGCCATGCAGGGGGCTTTAGAGAATGCCAATGGGTATCAGAATTAACCTTTACATGTCTCTGCCGTGTTCTGCTTAGGTTAAAAATATTTAAAACAGTGCAATGTGCCCAAAAAAACCAGAAAAAAACGGTACCTTCGACTCCGATCATGCCATCACCATCAGCGTCACCGGCAGCAAGGAAAGCCTTGGTCTCCTTGTCTGTGAGGGCTCTGGCACTGGCAGAGAAGTTCTGCAGGAAGAGCCTGAGGAGTGGAAAACATGAGCAGCTGAGACTATATCGATTGATTGGAGAACAAACGTCATTTAAAGGGTTTCATGAAACCTTCAGGCTTCATTAAAGGTAGCGTTTGTATTCGCTTCATTTGACATGAGTAGTTGGAGCCACAGATTAGAGCCAAACTAAGACAAAAGATATAAAAAGATAATGCTCGAATTTGTCTAAAAATCCAAAATGCGGTGCTGTAATATAAGATCGGGTGCATTTGTTGGCCCGGGGGAATCGCTTGCTTAAGTATGAGTTGCCTGTGTGTCTTACTTCAGCTCCTCCTCCTCAATGAAGCCACTGTTGTCCTGGTCAATGATGAAGAAGGCCTTCTTGACCTCGTCGGCGGTCTTGGCGGACATGCCGCATGCCTTGAAGAACTTCTTGTGGTCAAAGGAGTCAGCAGCTGGAACACACATTTTAACAGCATTAGCACCTTGTCAAGCCTCACATGTGGACCTCAGTGTTGATCTAGCGGCATATCTGTGGCCGGCAGTTTAGATAACAGTCAGTTCAGTGCATCTCTTTTACTTTGCACTCGCAGCGAGATTTTACAAATGATAGCGGAGAAGATGAAGTTGTAACTGTTTAATGTCATTTGCACACATGACAGATAAGGAAGCTCACCTGCGCAGCCGTCCAGAGCGGCTTTGATGTCAGCATCATTCAGGGTACCAGCGAAGGCCATTTTTTATTCTGCCGGAAGAAAGAAGACTCAGCGTTAGTATGTAATTATTACAAATGCCACCCTAGTCGTGTGATTGCATTATGAATATGCTTCTTTAAAGCGATAACTATTTATATTTTGTGGGTTTTGCTATTATGCAACAACTTTGGAGGAATATTGAGGATTTGTGTTTTCCTGTTTAAAAAAAAAAATCATTAAAGCCTGAAATCCTCCATCAACTTCAAATTAAGGCTATTCCTCATTTTGCTTCACAACAGATACAAAAAATAAAACCAGTAACACTGCTTTGGAAAGAATCTAGAAAAATAAAAAAGGTTTCCGAGCCTCTTGTTTGTTTAGCCCACTAATGATTCGCTTCAATTAGCTTTAATGGCTTCCCCAGAGCATCGCCGCTTCCTTGTCAAAGGACCACAGTGCTACGCTCTGGGTCTCCGGATGTCAGCTCGGGTCTGACTCAGTTTACCCCGACGCTGCTAAGACACTAAATAGATGATGCTCCCACTGAGAGCGCTCCATCACGGCAACAAGAACCAGTGCCACAAACAGGCTCTGCAGCAGGGCGAGACGCAGTGATGCCGATAGCTGCCGGCTTTCGTCCGGTAAAAACACACAAGGCAAATTAAGCGCCAGTTATCATCCAAAGAAGTTGATCCGTTGCAACCAAACGCCCACACTTCGAGACGTCCCGTGGTCCGTGCCGTTTCTCTCTTTTTTTGGGGGGGGGGTTTCTATGTCGGTTCCATTTTCTCTCTAAAGTTATAGTCCAGGAGGTTCTCCTCGTCTCAATCCCTTTCCTCCCGGTCTGACAGAAAGAAGTCAGCGTGGCCCCCGGCCGGGCGCACATCCCACTCACCTTTGGGTTGCGTTGAGGCGAGTGAAAACCAAGGAGGACTCAAGAGCGAATGCCTCTCACTGCCGCCCATCCCTCTTATATATCCTCCAGCAACACCATTTACAGAGATTCAAGTCTCAGTGTCAGGTACCAAGATGCATGGGTTTCGAAAAAAAATGTGTCAAGTAGTCTTGAACTATTTTTAGGTGAACAAATGAGGATGCTACCATGTGTGCAGAGTCCTATAGCTAGACGTGCGGAAATGTGAGCAGGCCTGCTTGCTGACTTCACGGGACAGGTTGCTTGCGTATGATTTAAAGCAGTCCACGTGCTGATGCTGATGCTCTAAATTTCATCTGAGATTATAGATGAAATGAATGTTGGAGAGTGGATACGTATGCCAAGGGGTCATATTCCTGAGAAGAAAAAAAAAACATGGAGCCAATTGGCTCATGAATGAGTTCCAAGGAGTGCCAAGTGTAACAGCTGCTCATTTTCTTAATGAAGAGAGGAAATGTTCTATTAAAAAAATACTATGGATACTCGAAGGTTGTAAACATATTTAGAATGACTGCTTGTACTGCCCCCCATGAGGACTTTTGGGGTTTATCTCCTCATATGATAACAGATGTATCTCTGCTAAAGCCTCTGATCTGGGATGTTATGCATACTTTGTATCTGCTGTCCTGTAACATTTACTAGCTATAGCTACCTAAAATACATGCTACCATATATTTCCATACGATGCATCTGAACTCGGCAGGGGGTGGAGTTTCAAATGAGTGGCCCAGCAGGTTTTTGGGGCCCACACTTCCGTCTCCCTGTCGTGCACCAATCAATCAGATTAATATTTGCCGGCTGTGTGTTTGGAAGCGTTAACACGTGAACAAGTCATAAGTTTGTTGGGCATCTCATTTAACTCAGACTCACTTCCATAGCACAAAACTCAGACAAATAACTTCATTAATGCAGATATAAAAACCCATTTTCTGATGGACTTTGATCTCTTTATTAAAAGAATAAGGTAGACTGGGCTTTTACCTGTATTGTTATTCCTCAATGGCTCATCTTAGTCATCTCGATTCTGCGTTGATTAAATAAAGTAGGTTGCCATAATTAACATGAATATTTCTACCTGGGTCTGCAGGAATTTGAAACCCGTCCAGTAGAAGGCAGTGATAATCCTAATCAGAAAAATTTAGCAAACTATTTTTCTATATTTACGGTGTATGTTATCAGATTATCTGCAAACACTGGTGATACTTCTGACTAAAACGACGTCTCTTGACATCTAACGATGTTCTGTTCAAGTGAGCCAGTGAGAGGGACGGCGAGCAAACATAAACAATACAGAACCCTGAAAATCAAAGCAGCTAAGAGGAATTTAACATAATTTATTGTATTATCCACACCTGATTCTTGATGACATCCTCATAAACTACAGAATGGTAATTTATATTGAATGAGTCTATGTCTTTTTGCAGCATTCGGCGAGAAAGTCTCATGTTTCTCATGAATTAAACGTTCTGGTCATCGCTAACTTTTCTGATACACCACTTAAGTGATGCTGGCACCACAAGTGGATACGTCAATCTAAACCCCTGAATGTCTTTGATAGTAGTTTAAGTGTTGATGTTAAAGCCTCCATGAGACACATTATCCAGTTCAGGCAGTTTGAAAAAAAACGACATTACACAGTGATGTCACATCTGAAAAACATTTAATAGCCCATTCCGGGTACCTGATTGATTGAACACAAACACTATAACATCCAGCTTCCACCAAGCATATTTAATGTATCACATCCACAGGGAGAGCAGCAGGCAGGTGGGGGGTATCCAAGGTTTCTGGCCTTGGCATCAATCAATCTGGAAAATCAGGATTTCCAATACGTAATCCGTTAACTTAAAAGAAGGGGAAAACGGCGGTGGTCAAAGACGTCCGTCTTCTTTATTTTAGGATATCACAGAACTCTGTCAGGGAGGAAAATAGATTAAGTCTGACATTCACATCAAGCGCAACGGGGATGTAAAACGATATTATGAATAAGCTCAGTATGTAGAGAATCAACACACTATTTGGTAAGGGTCAGTTCCCCTGCGTACACGGCTCCGTTGTCTCGTCTGCCGTCAGCTTTTTACGATGCTTTACATGCACCCACCTTCCATCCCAATTTTGCCATCGCCGTCCTTATCTCCGGCAGCCATCAGAGCCTTGGTCTCAGCCGCAGACAGCTCTCTCGCCCCGGGAGAGAAATTCTGAAGGAACAGCCTGGTGAGGGCGCAAAAAAATATGAAAGAAAAGATCAGGCTTACATCATCATTGACTATTTCCAACACCATTTTCCTTTCATTCATACAGTGACCTTTGCCTGCGGACCATCGCAGTATGGTCACTTGCTATCCTTACTTGAGCTCCTCCTCCTCGATGTATCCACTCTTGTCTTGGTCCAGGACCATAAACACTTTACTCCTATCCGCCTCGGATGAGCTGGTTAGTCCCACTTGAGCAAAGAACGACTTGAAGTCGAAGGTGCCTGGAGCTGCAGGGGTATAGGAGAGGAGAGGAAGTGAGCAAAAAGAGAGACGGACAGATGTGGGAGTGAGAGGTCAATCACAGAATGACAGCAAAGCAGGAATGGTGAGCTACTGAATAGATATGTCACATGAACTCATTCGCTCAAATGACTTTCATTCTTCCAGCGATGACATTTACCAATAAACCCCCCTCTGGCAATCCCCTGTCTTATGCCATCATAGGCTGTGGCATTATTCCATTGAAACATTCAATTTTGCCCGTGGGCCAAATGGAAACCTAAATGCTAAAAGCCCTTTTTTATCAAGCTTTTCAGAGAGGAAATTCTTGTTGGATGAGTTGCCCTCATGTACATCGCTGAATAAGATTTCCAGGCACAGAATAAGAGGTGATAAGATTTCAAAATATTCATCATATTATGAAGAACGCAAAATCATTATTTAATGTATATCTGATGTGCCCACTTTAATAAAACATTTTAGTTTTTTGTATCACTTTTGAAATGATGCTCCTTATATACATTCTCAGAATTTAGACAAAGCATGTTATTTTTGCCTGCATCATTGCTAATGGCGCTATAAAGGGCAAATATGCGCTGACATTTGGTTTTAATCCAAGGGATTGTGCGGTGTCTACCTCGTCATGAAATGTGATTGCTAGATGAATGATTAAATCATTTGCAATGTGAGGGCTTAATAGACTGTGTGATTTGGTCCTATCTGTGTGAATTCTCAATGTAAAACACTTTGGTATCTGGTGACTGCTCTCCTGCCACATGGCTGCCTGGATACCTGCAGGCTCCCTTTCCCTACTGTGAATAACACATACTGGCATCCCAAGTGGGACTGCATGAGTTTCACAGTGCCTGTCTTCCTTTCCAATATGTGCATGGAATTATATCGTAAAGTATATGTTCTTGTGTTATTGTGCGTGTCTCCCTGCACGTGAGCGTGTGTGCTGTGTGACTCACCTTGACAAGCCTGGACCGCAGCCGTGATGTCCTCGTCGCTTAGTAGCCCTGCAAATGCCATGGTCCTCTGTAGCTGCCTGAGGGATGTTGCCAACACCATGTATGAAGGAAATACAAAGTGATAAAGTGAGTAAATAAAACGAATGCAGGTATTTTCTGCTGCCACATAACATTTGTTTTAATTTGACAGTAAAGTACAGACAGAGTAACAAAATACTTCACTATTTAGTACCAAAAATATTAAATGACATGATTTAATATATGATAATACGAATGGCTTGATGATCCAAGCATTCATTTAAAAAAAGAAAAAGAAAGTAGTTGCAAGTTGAAGGAACAAATAAAAGGATTTGATAATCTTTTTTTATTTCCCATTATTTTACAGCAGCAAGACTGAGATGATTCAAGGCACAAATTCACCCAGAAATTGCATGCTATTACCACACAAACATTGCCAAACACATGCATTTACAAAAAGTGTGATACTCACTGTGCTTAGGATGAGATTTACACTCTCTGAGTCTATGTAGTGCAGATCTCTGCTCCTCTTGCTTTGCTTGCTACCAGCACCCTTTTGCAGCTTTGTGATCCGGTGTAAGAAGCAACGTGACGTATTTGTCCTCAAACCCAGAGAGATTTCCCCCACGCCACAGAATACCTCCTCCTCCTTCATCAGTTAATCAGAGCAGATAATTTTCTCACTCCATTTTTTTTAAACAAACTTAAAGGCCTCAGAAGAAAAACACGATCAAATTGAAATACATTTAATTCTGATAATCATGAATATGAACGTTTTCAACTGGTGGATCTTACAATTTTCGACTTTAAAGCATACTGTTATTTATAGTCTTATTGATAAAGAATAAGAATATAAAATACAGACGATTTTACATGATAATTAGGATTCAGCTATGTGAATTTAATTGTTGTTTTAAATATGAATGTTCGTTTAAAATGTGTCTTAATAAAGACACTGTGTAAACAGATGAATAAGGCACTGTCATATTGCAAGTCTTAAAAAAGAGAAACTATGTCTTATAAACATAAAGACTATACCAATAATTACAACATATTGTGATATATTAATATATAGGTTTAATTGCATCTTGTACAAATATATACATTATCATGTATAAAAAATCACTTCATGACGCTAAAACCATCATCCACCCACTAGCTAATTCGGCCCGACACACATAATCAATGCTGCTGAGCAGTTTATGGTTGGCCATGAATCCAAAATAAAACATATATATTTGACAAATAATTTTCCAAAAATGATTATTGCGTGCCTCACGTGGTTGGCAGTGACTGGATGTAAAAAGCTCTCTGCACCTCTGATACACAGCACTGGATTTACATCCCTTATAATAAAGCTTGAAGCCGATTGGGTCTGTGTGTTTGAGGTTAGGCTATTCTTCGTTGTGATTGGCTTGATTGCTTGTCAATTGTTTTGTGGTTTTACGCCCTTATTTCGCTATGTGACGTCGGAGAGGAACATGGCGCACTGGAGGTTAGCTGTTTCATGACAGTCAGGGCTATTGATTAATTTCCTTTAGCCATGTTTATTTAAATAACCTCATGGCACATACTTAAAATATGATACCCCTTGAAAGTCGATGGCTCATTTAGCCTCTATGGAGAACGGAGCACTACATTTCGTAGCTGTGTTTGCTGTCGTCAGCTGGAACTGTTAGCATCGATATGCTAGCTGAAGCTAGTTAGCTGGTCTAACTGTAAGTAGCCAACGTAAGGCAGACAGAAAATATGCGTGTTTACGTAGCCTACACTGACGTTAAACTGACTACAAATGATTAAAACGCGCTGCACAGCATCAAACTAGACGTTTATTGTTCAGGACAACGGTCCCAAATAGCGTAACATTGTGTTAGCTGAGCCAGGAGGATGAGGAGCCGCCATGGATGGGGTTGGTTGTTGCTCGGGTGGGGCTCTTCGATGGGTTTTTTGGCTGTCTGAAAGATGCCCCTCTTCCATATCCTCGCACATCAGGTGAGACGGCTGATTTGTGAGCTCATACACAGATAAGCGATTGACTCATCACGACTTCTGTCATTCTAGCTACTTCGCTAGCTAGTAGCGGTTGCTAATCAGTTGCTAAAAGCTAACAACATAACAGCTTAACGTTAGCTGCATTTCCTGCTAACGACATATGACTCTTCCAGTGCACGTATAGTTTTACTATCTCCTATTGTTTATTTAAGAGTTAACCTGATGTCAGTTCTTTCTGTCTATATGGACTGGTGCATAGCTTAATAACGCCTTTAATGTCAAATACCTGCATGCCATCGTCACAACGCTTCTAATTGGCAACTGGTAATCACAAACGTTACACTCAAACGAATCAACAGTTTCCTTTGCCATAATATATAAAATATCAAGCCGTATCTAGTTTATAACTAAATGATTTTTAATGAGTTGACCCAGACGGAGTTAATAGTTCAGCCTGTTGTATCCGCAGGTACAAACATGTTAATCTGTCAGTGGGTTGGGTCCAGTCATTGACATTTAACCGAGTTTATAGGACAATAGACTAAATGTGGGCCGACCAGCATGGAAACGCTGTTTCCTCATCACAGGTGGTGTCACATTGTGCTCAGTTAACTATTCCTGCATGAGTCAGAGTGTATTCATTGAAGAAGACTGTTTGCCATAGTTTTATTAATTACTAATGTGTTGATTCAGAGACTCTTGTTCTGGATTGAATCACAGAACTATAGGGAAATTAAATGGGTGAAATTCAATTCAATCTATTTTACTTGCAAAATGATATATATGAAATGAGTGTTTTGTAATTGATAGTTGATCAATAAAAACATCTTACTTTTTATATGAAGTATATGCAAACATTTGGATACAACTTATTATGTTATATATTGGTACAGAATTAGTTGCCCTGCTTTTCACCATTTTAAATTGGACGTTTTTAACCTACTGTCACTATTTTTCTGTACAAAATGAAGAGTTTTAAAGTACAGTACTCTGTCATTCAAATGACTAATAAAGTGTGTCCAAACTTTTGACTGGTACTATAGATGAATCAGCACCAAAAATAATCACTTATTGAAGTCGTATCTTGCGGATGTCATACATCCACTGAAGACACATTTACTTTTACTGTTTTGCAGCTTTGCGAGTGTCAAATTCCTGAAGAACAGCTGATTCTCATACAAGATGCTCAGTGAGAAATGAAATGAAAAATGCAGATGTGTATATGCTGTAGTCAGGACTGGTAATGTGTAACCATAATACATTCCAGTCTTATCAGCACCAGTCAATGATTAACGTTGTTGTTTGTTAATTACACTACACCTTCCTGGAAAATGATGTTGCAGTTACACAGGCATGGTTTTTATTATTTTATTACAACCTGATCTTCGCCCTTCTGCCTCAATCTTTATTTTCTAGTGTATCCAGTGGTGATGCAGTTATAATGGATTGTTGAGATCGCACTTCAAAGAACAATCAGACTCACTTGCAAAGCAGGTGACACATGCTGTGTTTACACACATCACATGAACACAAGTAGATAGTTAAGCTTTAACGTGAGTGTCAATGTTTTAACTGCAGTTATAGCCATGTGATCGTGGCCTGCCCGGTCTGTTAGTCAAGGTAAACCCTTCGACTTTAACCATCTACGACATTGCTCAGTGATGCAGTGGTAACCACCCAGGGGTGAGGAGGAGGCTGCTGCTTTTACACACTGTGTAATGTTGACAGATTTATGTGGTGATATTTCTGTTTTAGTTTTAGCAGTGGAAATATTACCAAGTAATAATTGAAAAAAAGAGAATTTACAATATGGATTACTAAAAGGTTCGCCGGCGGTGGTTCCTCATTTGATCAATGAAGCGTAGCGCTTCTTGTCATGGCAGCCAGAATATTCCTAGTGGAACCCAAACACGACAGCCAGACAGCGCCGTTCCTCAGCCTGTACATAAGCAGACGTACAGACATCCACTTCTGCACTCTGGAGGGTGAAATTTGCACAAAAAAAAATGGGTCCTCCTTTTGCGTGAATGCCTCTTCAAATATGCAGTGGAACCAAAATAAGACCTGGCAGCTTCCTGCTGTATTGGTCCCATAAACCAGTTGAGTCATTTGGTGGGGCCTGCCAAGTTATAATATGAACCCATGACTCCGATAAGGCCCGACCGTGGAGAACTGATCCCATGTGGTGCTGCCGCCGTGACCCCTCTGCTGTTTTTTTCGATCTGACTGCTGCCGCGGCCTCTCTGCAACAGACGGGGTTGTTTGTGCCTAAAAGCTGCCTACAGTCGCAGCGAATATTTTCCCCAGGATTGTTGTGAAGTTTAGCGCTTTTAAAGCCAATTGGAACTCTCTCCCAGAGCGATCGCTACTGCCAGAGACGGATAATTGCGTCGCTCGCTATAATTGTAGATGGGGATAGTGTCTTGTGAAAAACAGGCAGCGCCACATATTTTAGGTCTGACTCTCCAACAGTGGTTTACATTTTCTGTCATTATCTCTTAATTGTTGGAAAATTGTTACCGGTCTCGTATGGTTAAAAATGTGTTTCACAGAAGGATGGTCTTACTACACGGTATTCATGTCACAATAGTTTGATCGGATGGATGTGCAGTTTTGGAAACATAATCTTTTGGATGGAAAAGTCTTCTTTTGCATCTGCTGCGTGTCATAGTGAAAGACCCCACTCTCTCCGAATGAGGCTGTGGTACCCACCTGGGTGTGGTGGGGAGGCAGTACTGTAATGCTTTCATGCAGCAAATATTGTGTCACGTCATATGTTTTGTACTTTGAAGTTTATCTATGCTCTGAGGTATTGTGTACCTCAAGTTGCTCTGACAGCTGTCCAAATAGATCAAGACCTACAATATGATTTGTAAATGTATGCTCAGCTCAGGCAAAAACGTCTTGCTATTACTGGAGGTCAGCATAATGTCCTTTCCCTTTGTTCACCTATTGTGACATTATTTCATCCCTCTGGGAAAATGTTAATTATTCTACATTGCTCTCTGCAAATACTTTCCTCCTCCTCCTTTTGTGGATGTGTCATTTTTCTGTAAAACGTCATGCAGTCTGTGGTTTAGATGGATGCATGTTAAGCAGATTTCCGTCGCTTGGGCAGCCAGCTGTTCTCCACCTGTGCCTTCCACTTTCGTCTGTGGCTCAGAGGAATCAAGTGTAACCTTGAGCAGCCCCTTTAAACCTAACCAGTGTCTCCCTCCTCATGTCCCCCTCCCAACGCGGGACACTTTCATTGTAAGTACACATCTCCATTTAGAGCCTGGTTCCCGATGATGGAGCTATTTAATCTTTCATTTCTCTCCCCATTAATATTTCAATGCAGACTGTTTTCTGCTGCAATCTTCAGCACCAAGGAAAGATTTGTTGAGGTAATTCGGAGGAAACATCCATTATTTAGAACTGGGTAAAAAATCAGTGTTCATGCATCCATGTATTTAGGATTGTTACAGTTGGCATCACACCGGCTTCTTTACTTTCCCCGTGACGTCTTTGGCCAAGCAGGATGTAGATTGGTAATGTTGTGGCCCCGTTTTGATCGTAAGTGAAGAGACCGGGTTGAGCAATCCTTTCTATTCCTGGCGGCGATGGCTTGGCGTAGCGTCGTACACATGAAATGAATCCCAATCGCGTGCCCATACTTTGGATCGTAGCTAATGTTCCCCTGGGAGATAAAGTGCTCATCTCGTCTGTCCGCAAAATGAACTATCGCTCAGACCGAACACGAGTTGTATCATTGCTCAGCTGGTTGTTGGAATACCTCTCAGCCTCTACAGGTTCTTACCTCTATTTCATCTCAGGGGAATTATTTATTTATGACACGGGGAGAAGGCTGCCAGAATAATTCATGTGATTTAGTGTTGAGGACGGGCCCAAGTTAACACTCTGTCGCCTTTTTAATAATGGCATGGTCAATAGTTTTGGCCACGTCTACGTGCATGAATCTAAAAGCATGGTTTATATGTAAACAAACAAACAAACACAAACATACATGCATCCATATGTATTGGGCAATCCCTACACCCTCAACTGTAGCAAACTAGCTAAACCTTCCATTATCTTCTGGTAAGTGTGTGAGGGAACCCATCCTGTTTCTTTGCCTGCCTCCGACTCAACATTTTCATTAACATTCAGTAAAATTCCTCTCCAAGTCTGCATTGATGTGAAATGGATGAGAATAATTCACGTGCTGCTGCCTAAAGAGCATTGATCAGTTCACAATGTAGTGCCTTATCAAGCAACCTAAATACAAATAAGGATTAACATGCCCAGAGTGTCTCTAACCAAGCATAAACCAGATTTACATGCCCTGTCTAGACTATAATTCAAGGATTTTTCAGATCGGGTAAAGCATTTTTTATAGTATATTATGAAATCTGTTTAGTGTCGACACATTGGCCGTCATCTGGTTTATCATATATTCCCCAGGGCTGACATCTGGTATGACAGTCTGTGGTTTCTCTCCTTCGTGTTCTGATGTGAAACCAACCAGAAGTGGGTTTGTAGTCCTGATGAATTCAGCACCCGCTTTCATCCGTCAGGAATATGTAGCTCAGCAGAAGGAGAATCAGTAGGTGTTGATTCTCCCTCTAGCAGGCAGGATGTACCTGACAGGCTACAACCAGTGGGAGACAGAACAAAAACACAGGAAGGAGAATGGGGACACTAAATCCCACTACACACACACACACACACACAAGGTTACCTTTTATTGCAATGTGATAGAGCATAGTGAATTTACTAAATGAATAAATCAAAGTGCATTTGCATGCAGCGAGATTCCTTACATGACATTGCACACAGTATCTGACCGACATAGTTGCAACGACATCCACAAGAGACGTGTAAGCATTAAGTGGGAGGGATTGAGTTGTACGTCTTCTGACAGATGAATGGGACACGTTCTCAAATGAGCAGTGACATTTGGAGGGTTGACATCAAAAGTCTGCTCCGCATATCATTTTTATTTTTCTGCTGTCCACTGGAGCCCACTAACATTTCTTGTAACAGCCCGTTCCCCAGGTTACTTGCAAGAATAGGTAAACGGGGGTGAGAATGAACCGTGGACGCGTTTTGCGTGTGAAGCCGTCTCCAGAACGAAGACGCTGGTCGCACCAAATTGGAAAGCGCTGCGTGGATGTTGGTCAGCGTAGCGTGAGGGGAGCGCAGTGGGCGGCTGTCAGCCCTGATGATCCAGCGGACTGCTGGGCCAGCAGCATCTCCTCCACAGGCGCAAACTTCACACCCGCTGTCACACCGCTGCTGCACCATCAGCTGCTGCACCATCAGCTGCTTATCGCCCCGGTCGAAGCCCCCGCAACTGTCTCTCTGAAGGGCCGACGAGGGGCAGAGGTCAGCTGAGCCGGCCTCCCGAGTCCCAATTGTCGCTTCGTGTTTGCACAAGTGGTACGGCTTTACCCAATGACAGCGGGACGGCAGGAAGCGTATACAAGCAGACTAAAAACACACCTCTGCTCACTATACCTGGACTGGTTAGCGCTTTATTAGCACTTGTGGAGAAAGTGGAGAGGACAAAGTCCTCCACTTATAGCACTTTGTAGTTTGGCTTTCTTGCAGAGACTCTCTTGGTTGAATGCACACATTGTGAGTCGCTTTGGATAAAAGCTAAATGAAAAATCTTTTAAAAAAATGCTTGTTTGGACGCTATATAAGAAGAGGGAATTGATCGTTTGTCTGTTACATTTTAAGAATGCAGTTCTTGAGCTTAAACTAACCTCTCGTGGGTGCACTTGGAGTATGTGGTAATACCATCAAACAAACACGTGTGTTTCTGACCTTTTTCTTTTTGTCTCAATGAATCGGGTAAACAACTCCCGGTTGTGAGTGTGAATAATTCAGCATAGTTTCTGTCTGTCTCTCCACACACACAAGGTGGAAGCCCGGGGGACGCGCTGCCTGTCTCCCTCTCCCTGGCGGTGTCGCTGACGGCGCTTTTGGCCTTGGCGGTGTTGCTGGTGAACTGTGTGACCTGCTGCAAGGAAAGAGAGATCAACTTCAAGGTGAGGGCGCTTGGCGGACAGCCAGCCATTCAGACGGAGGCAGCTCCACCTGCTCCCACGCCGGCCTCACCTGGCGAACTCGGGCTCCGATGTGAAATAAATGCCCTGCAGGTTTGTGCTCTTGATTAATGTATTTCTGTCAATGTAGGAGTTCGAGGACCACTTTGACGATGAGATCGACTTCACTCCACCGGCAGAGGACACGCCTTCTATGCAGTCACCCGCCGAGGTGTACACCCTCGCTGTGTCCCCTGTGGCCCTGCCCGGGCCCCCCCACCTCCAACCTCCTGTCCGTATCACAGGTCAGGCTCAAGACACATTCGCAGCAACAAATGTAACTCAAAAATGCCAGCTAAAACCTGGTTTATCTTCATCGGCCTGAGTTAACAACGGCATCATTGTGGTTGGTTTCACAGAGGGATCCACAGGCTTCCAGGTAGCACGTCACAGTCTCAGTTATATCCAGGAGATTGGCAACGGCTGGTTCGGTCAGGTAAGACGGGTTTTGTTGATGTACAAGTTTTGAATAGATTTGGGCCTTAAACTAGAAGGGGACTATTTGTGTATATATACGCTGGATATATTCTTTGAATCTGTTATTACAAAGATGCACAAATCCTCCTCCCTTTATGTCTTTAGTAATTCCACTTGATTTTTCCATTAGACCTACTATACATTTGTTTGCCGCATATATTTGAAATGAAACCGTATACAAGCGCCTCTTTACTTTACACGGGACAGCTGTGTTTTTTTAAAAGTCTCTCAAATTAAATCTGAAATATATTCCTATATCTCTTAACGTGCCCAGTGGAATCATCCACTGCTCTATGGCCCTTTTCCATGCATCTTGTTTATCCTAAAGTGTCGTCCTGTACTAACAGGTCCTTCTGAGTGAAATCTACACTGATCCAGGTGGAGCCCGGGTGGTGGTGAAAGAGTTAAAAGCTAATGCAAGTGCCAAGGAGCAGAATGACTTCCTGCAGCAGGGGGATCCATACAGGTAAACGAAAGCGAAAGATATTGTAAAACTCTTGAAACTCTTTAACTATGATAACTCTTGATTAATCGATGTGAAAATTTTAATATGACATCTGCATATGTTCTCAATTGTGCACAACTCGATAATTTTCTTATTAAACGCAATTTATTATTTCTGACTTTATTTACATAAAAAAGTGGTAGAAGGACATGCATACAATATCTACAACGACCCAAAAATATCTAAAGGGCACCCCTGCAATACCTAATCACCTCTCACCGATTGCCAGTTTTATTTCCACGCGTATAGTAGTCTTAATTAGCATTGGTACCAACAGCCTTTGTGTGTTTTTGTGTATTCAGAGTTCTGCAGCACCCAAACATCCTCCAATGCCTGGGACAGTGTGTTGAGGCCATTCCCTTCTTACTCGTCTTTGAGTACTGCGAAATGGTGAGTGATTCGATCTGATATTCAAACGCACAAAATCTATCTGTGGAAATGAAATAAATCTGCAGTGTGTCATGTTTATATTTATTTTGTGCTGGCTTTCTTCCATTTAACATGCAATGTTTGTGCACCAGTGTCAAGGAATTGAGAGATTTACTGCTCACTAAACTTAGAAGGCTTCATTAATGGAGATATTTGTGTATTATCTCATGTCAGCCTACTCTTTCGATCACGAATTAGCCACATTGTTCATCCTAATGTATTGATGTAACTCCGACGCCATCGTGGTGACTGACTGCTCCCCGCTGCCTGCCGAAGTTGCACAGCTAGTCCAAGACTTGGACTTCTCACATTCCCACCTCACCCAGTAACGCACCGGGCTCTATTTACGCTCCTCTGCTGTCGCCTCCACCAGTTGCTGCGTTTGTGCATTTCTCTGAGTTGCATGTTGGACACTGTTGACTTCAGTCTGAAGTAAACTAAGCGGCTCCTCACAGAACTTATGGGGATGGCCAGTGACGAATGCAAGAAGCCCCAAAAAAGTCCCCTAAAAATATCCACCACCATGGCGTCGGATGATTTATTAACAGGAAAAACCTTAACGTGGGAAGTACAGTGGCTTTTAGCATCGTCCTATTAAGCACGGATGCATGAAGACTGGATATTTAAATGCAGTAGAAGCTGTAACGAATACTAACCAGTCAGATGTCGATTCAACATTTCAGGTTCTTGTCGGATCGAATAACAGTGTTTGTGCTTCTCTGTTCTTAAAGGGGAGCGAAAATATTAGCAACGCCTTCAGATATGATGTCGCCTAATCCGTCAAAGTGCAGACTCAGAACATTCCCCAGTACAGTCGCTGCATGTCACTTCTAGTCATCAGTCGAAGTTATTATTGCTACTGGTTGACTGATTGTAGGGTGAGTGAGGGAGTGTCGACTGTATTTTTATAGTGTACATGCCCGTAGTTATGGAACATTAAAACTAAATACAGTTCCCACTAGCAACTATTTCCTCTTTCTCTTTAAAGCGGCTGATATTTCTATAAAAACAATGCAATAAATAAATGAATGAGAAAGGGAGGAAAAACCTCCAGAGAATTATAACCTAAACCTTTCGGAGCATAATCACAACTTTCAGCGATATTGTTTCGATGTCTGTTCTGTTACTTTTAATTCACGGTTTCTGCCGTCATGCCGCAGTTAGCACCCGTTTCCACCCGCTTAACCAATCACCTGTTGCCGGGATACAGGATGTCCGCTTTGAGGTGACTATTATTAATACAACGTGAGCCACGAAGTTTGACTTTGACTGCCCCCGCGCGAACGAGGAACCTTTTCATTTGGGTTCCTTGTTACGTCGAGTTGCATTTAATCTGCGTGCAAGTTGTTGGGCGTGACACAAATGCAACGACCCCGGCCGACTGGCCTCCACGTGAGCGTGACCTGTCATTGTGTGCAAACTGGTCCGGTTTGTCGCCACATGTTGCATAACTTTGTCGGGCTGCCCGGGCCTGGCCGGTGTCCCGGCATTGTGGTCTCTGCCAACCAGCTCTAGTAGCGCCTCGGTCAGGAAATGGAAATGATTTATCACAGGTGTGTGCACGAGTCATTTGGGAGGATTTCGTATAAAGACCAGGTCCTTTTTCGTAGAAGGTGATAATGTGTGAGGGGAGCACAGCGGATTGTTGTCTATAACCGTTATCCCAAACCGGGTTAAGAGTTTTTAGGACTTAATCCAAGTGGGATTTGGTCTGTCACAATACTTGATTCCTGTCTTTTAATATACGCAGCTCCTGTTCCATGCTTGTAGCACCTGCTTGTAAGGCCGACTCGGGAGCGCTGTACCCGCTTTTATGTTGACTTTTCACTTCGGCCCACATGAACCACCCTCCGGATGCCGAAATATGAAATGCGACACCGCAGCTGCGCAGCGGGCGAGCGGAATCCCAAGAAAAGCCGACATAACCGTGACTTTCCCTCGGACATCCTGCCGTTTGGCGGCATTTTGTCCGTCTCTTATCACCTGTGTGCGAAGCATTTTACACATCAAAATACATCAGGCAACTGGCACGGGGGCCACGGAGAATGTCACATAGTGCCGAGTGAGCGACGGCTCTTAATGCATGGATCTCCGGCCTGGTGCCCGGCCAAGACGTCGGGCAGACCCATCTCCGGTTCAGGGTCTAGGAGACGAGCCAGCTGACTGCTGGCTTTAGAAAGTTGTTGATCTCCTCCGTTTAGTCCAGCAGTTAAAGCAACAATCCGAGCAATGTTATTGAAGTGTTATTACCGTCATGGCATTTATAAAGTTATACGTTACTGTCCGCGCATGGGCATGTTGAGTATTATGTTTCAGCTAGTGGGTGAAGTTTCCCTTTTTTATGGGTTTGATGTCCTTTTTGACTTGTAAAGGCCGCTGATGCACACGCTGCTTGTGTCTCCATGCGCCCTTTTCTAGCTGTAGTAATGAGAGTAATTTCAATTGTAAATAACTTACTACTTTGACAGTAATGTACTATGTAATTAACATTTTGATAACAATAATTAAGTAACAGTAATAAAGATAATCATAAAAGTGGTTAATTACACTTAACCAACACTGGCTAACAGTAATCCACCTTCTTCTAGTACCGACTAATAATATAGAGGACTTAATATAGAGGAAATAATAATATATTTTTTTGTGTGGATAAGCGGATCATGTGACGGCGGAGCCAGACGCCGAGCTGTTCATTCAGAACTTAGTGCATTCTTGTTTGTTCCCGGGTCAGACACGAGGCCTAATTGTTTTGGCCTTTCACGGTAAATGTTGTTTCATTAATAGCGCCCCCCACCCCACACACACAACTCCGACCTCATCACCTGCTGAGGAGGCATCACAAGTCGAGACGGCCAGAGGGTATCTCTTACCATACATTGGATATAGCTCTTCTGGGAAGACTGCTTCAGAGAGCTGTGTGTACATGTGCGTGCGTGTGTACATGTGTGTGCATGCGTGCGTGCGTGCGTGTGAACATGTGGGTTGGTGGGTGGGTGGGAGGAGGGAGGGGGGGCACAAAGGGGTAAATGTAGTTGAAGCACACCACGCTGCTTACGTAAGACGCCTCGGCTAACTTAAGCTGCTGAGCATGTTCTGTGAGTCCCGTGTGTACAGTATGTTCTCGGGGGAGCTCCGTTCTGCTTGCTAACTGGGAATCTCCTTTGCTGCAACTTTGTGCCAAACATTATTCCGAAAGCCCACATAACTGAGACGAGCCCCTTTCTGCTCTCACATTTAGGAGGTCAGACTGAAATGTGCAGTTCTTTAAAGTTGTAGCCAAGCGGCTTCACGCTGCCCTTTTTGTCTTTGTTTGTCTGGATTATCGCATAGTACAACATACCGTCCTGTAGTTTCTCCACCATTACATAATCAGTCACGTGTGTGTGTGTGTGTGTGTGTGTGTGTGTGTGTGTGAATGATAACCACAGATGAACCGGACTCTGTTCGACCGCAAAGAACCCTGCAGGCCTGCGATGTTAACAGACATCCTCTCACAGCACTAGGATCAGTCATTCTAACATAAGTCTCAGTATCGGCCTCTCAACATGTGTGTTATTACGCGCCGTAGTCCATCATTCCGCCGTGCGCTGTGCTGCTTCGCTCTCGGGACACCCTGTTGAGTGATCTCCTTACCCTTATTTGGTTGTCACCCACATCCTGAGAAGCGCTGAGGAGACAGAAAGAAGAGTCTACTGCCCCCGTGTGGCGGTGTCTGTTACTTGCATTTAACAAACTGCCTATTTGGTATTCTACAAATGTGAATCTTCTGGATCTGTTGAATGTTCATTAGATTTGGGTGAGCTAACACCGCTGTGTGTGTCTTTGCAGGGGGATTTGCGGGGCTACCTATCTCAGCAGGACTGGATGTTCCAAAATGCTGAGTTGCTGCAGCTGCAGAGGATGGCCTGTGAAATCGCTGCTGGCGTCACTCACCTTCACAAACACAACTTCCTGCACAGGTAGCACATCATTCGAGTTCACGGGTTTAACAGCAGCTGAGCGTTGGGTTTTTGTTTCTCTGCTGCTTATGGTATAGTAAGCCACATTGCATTTAGATATTTTATTTACAACCTAGTACTTTCTGCTCTTCCGCCCCATTTCCATTATTAGATTGGTAGGCATCTTAATTGAATATGTATTAGTTCATTTAGATGTAGTTCACTTTACCCTCTTGAACCAAATGATAGGTGATACTGGTTTAGCTTTTGTCATCTGGACTGCTCTTGTTCATGTCATTTAGCTTTATTAGTATTTCAATTTTGCGAAAATGTCAACATTTTGATATTGCGTCTTGCCATCTCAACTGTCACGGTGAACATTAATAAATAGGAACTTAACAGGATATTTAACGTCACCAAACACAAACCTCAACAGTCGACTGTTAGTGCCACTTAAGTGCGAACCGTCCAACCAGTGTCCGGAGTACCAGTGTTCTCCAAAAAAGGGGTGCAGAGCAGAGAGGTGGCATTTCATTTTCATTTTTACCCCGGTGAGAGCTGAAGGCCGGCCTGCTAGCAGCCAGCCGGGTACAGGGGGTGTTCGTGTGGCTCGGAGGTTACATGCGACGCTCGGCTCATCGGCTCTATTTTGCATGCTCAGAATAAGCCCGCAGGGTTCCAATAACACCGCTACCATGCATTGCCACAGTGTCAGCTGTCTGCTGTCAGAGGGATATGATGATTCTGCTCTTTGCATGTAAAAGGATAGCCTCATATTGGGCGTTGTGTTTTAATCCTTGTTTACAACGGAGGATAAATTCAATTTGCTATCGTGAAAATATTTCAGCTCAGATGCAACACAAAATAAATACGAAAACACTCGTCGAATGGTGAACGCGGCCACATGCCGGCTGAAGCGAAGGAGTTGATTGATTGTGCAGCTACGCAGACACAAAACCCTCAGGGCGAGTGCTGTGAAGGCCGATATCCAAAGCTGAAACCTCAGCCTTGCTATCATGCATTGGTGAGGGTGGAGCCACCAGTTTGGCTTTCCTTTCTAGATCGCGTATCAGCCTTGTAGGGCTACGAGGTTGGGCCCATTTTCTCCCTGTATGCCGGGCATTAAACCTATAGTGGGGGAACTAGAGAGTTTAAAATACATATTTGTTCTCCTTAGAGGTTTCCGTTGGTCTGACAGTCGCTGGGCCACACACACACACACAAGCAGGAACGCTGATGTTAGCAGGGTTTTGTTGTGAAGCAAGTGACTGGGACCTCTGCACAAGGAATGCAGCCGGGCAGAAGGGAAACCAAAGCCTGCCTCTTTAAAATGCATATGTACTACAATGTGTTCCCTACGCCCTCTCCTGGCAGCTTTACAAAACGTTCCTGTGTTTCCTTCCAGAAACTATATCTCGTTGCAGTATGCACGAGTCAGGAATAGCCCGCGTATGAGACTTGTTGCAAGGTGAAAAGCAGAGGCAAACGATATATGACTGTCGTGTAGTTGCCAAAGTCACTGGTGATCCTTGCCAGAATCCTTTGCCCTACTTCTTGTGAGGTAATCTTACCCTTATAAGGTTAAGAGGAGATGGTGGATCCCGTGTTCATATTGATTCCATCAGTTTGTGTGTTCTTTTCCCGCTGCTGCCTGCAAGCTTCATAATAAGTGAATCTTTTGAGTATGTGGATTTATGTAAGTGTCTAATCCATTTCCCTCTGTGCTCTTTTAGTGATTTGGCTCTGAGGAACTGCTACCTGACTGGAGATCTTACAGTCAAAGTGGGAGACTATGGAATTGGACCCTACAGATACAAAGTAAGCAATGTGTTACGCATGAAGAGTATGGAACTGCATATTTTAAACAGCGAGGGCCAGTTACACAAGACACGAGTGATTTATTGACAGTCTTACTTCCAAGTTGACATGATCCCATGGGGGTTGGGCAATCATCTATTTTCATACTGTCTAATGTGGATACTCAAGTTTTTCAGTAGGTAGGCGGTAGGATTATTGAGTGGATGTGGGCGGAGTTATGTCACAGCACGCCAGTCTGACAGAGCTTGGTAATAAATTAACCATAAAAACTCAAATTGACAGCTTTTTCCCCCGTAAAACTGACACGTTTGCATACGTGGGAAGGAACGATCCAAATACCAAGAAGTCTGACTTCCCTCCATCTGGAGTCTTTGGAACGCACGCTGTGTTAAGGTTGTGTGGGGGAGACGGGGCCCCACGATGGATCCAGCAGAGATTTGTTTGTTTTTACCTTTTATTTAGGATTTTCTTTTTCCTGATGTGTGACATCAATTACCAATAGCCTTTAAAAAGCTGTGGCCCGCTAAATGTCATTAAACATCAACATAGGCCTCCTTACCAGGGATCCGAACTCCTCCACTTAATGTGACTGAAGTCTGTTTATTTGATCAGTTTTTTTATTGGAGGGAGTGCAGGTGCTTGCCTCTTATCACTTCCAGGGTTCACTGAAGATTTATGGTTGTCTAGTAACTAGACACGTTATTTCTCAAGGCGGTTCTGTCTGGTACATTCCATAAATACTGCTGATCTGTCAGTTTCACTGTCTGAATTTAATACTCCCGAGATAAGGTCACCCTGCGAATCTATTTTGGTAAAGAAAGGGGAGAGTGCACCGCCTGGAGGAGATCGAGTAAACACTCCCATGTCTTCTGTTGCAGAGTGCTATTACATGAGGTTCATTATTCAGTGTAACCTAGAAAGTTACAGATAGTAAACATTGCAAATATGATGTGTGACTGATTTTGATTCTGTTACTATAGGAGGATTACATCATCACAGAGGATGATGTGTTTGCACCCCTCCGCTGGTTGGCTCCTGAGCTGGTGGGCGAGCGCCATGGCGGCGTGATTACGATGGAGCAAACCAAGCCCAGCAACGTGTGGTAGGCTACAAACCGCAGCTCCTCACGCACACTTTTAAAGTCATGAGAAGAGTAGAAGTGGTTTTCAAAAAGACAACAAATTGCTCAGAAATATGAGCCCTTCCTGCAAATACCAAAGCTAGTCACTACCTAACAGTTTCCAGAAGGTGGGGAGAAGACAGACTACACCAGCTAAGCATCTCTTTTCAGTCACAACTTGTTGCACAAATGCCTTTTGGTCAAAAATTCAGAGCTACGTGAGGTAGTTTAGCCACATTTCTTTTTAGTCTCTCTATACTACAGCAGTGTGAGTCAGGGTGTTGATGACAGCCTACCTCCTGAATGTTTGGGATTGTTGGGGGCTGCTTTTGTCCTGCCGGAAATTTGAACCATTTTGTCCTGAATTGTCGTAGGGCCTTGGGTGTCACATTGTGGGAGCTCTTTGAGAGCGCTGCCCAGCCCTACCCACACCTTTCTGACCGGGAGGTTCTCAATCATGTGATAAAGGATCAACAAGTCAAACTCTTCAAGCCGCAGCTGGAGCTTCCTTATTCTGACAGATGGTGAGTTTTGGTCTGTTGGCCAAAAGCTGTTGGATAATGTACAAATGTTAGTGTCTCAAAAGTCAACGTGGGATTAGTGGTTTGCCTTTTAAGCAGGATTGAAATGATTTGGTCATTTAAAATGTATCTTGCCGGGAAAAAAAGATGTCTGATGAGCTTGTTCCTGCAGGCACGAGGTCCTGCAGTTCTGCTGGCTCTCTCCAGACAAGCGGGCCACAGCAGAGGAAGTGCACCGTCTGCTCATCTACCTGCGCATGCAAGGCCAGAAGGACATAGAAGAAGACTTTGAGCAACGCTGGGACGCCCTCAAGCCCAACCCGTCCACGCGGCAGACCACGGTCAGCCACTCGTCGTACCCGATCCTGGAACAGTTTGCCGATGACGCCCTGCGACAAGAGATCGACGAAGTCCTCACGGTCACGGAAACCAGCAAAGGTCTCAGCTTCGAGTACGTTTGGGAGGCGGCCAAGCATGACCACTACGAAGGCAGCCGCGGGCGCTCGGGCATGGACACGACGCTGAACTACCACAGCATGTTCTTTCCCGTTTCCAGTGAAGACATCCAGGCCCATTTCCCCGATCCGGTTGGCAGAGCAGCAGGCTCAAAAAGTGGCAACACTCCTTCAGGAATTCCTGGAATTCTTCCAGTGTTTGATGCACAAAAGCCAGCTACCGGAAATGAATATTACATACAACTAGAAGAGCAAGGGGAGAGGACAATCGGGGAAGACATGGACTTCAGCTCAGGCCGGCAAGACTTTGTTGTTCTCCAAGATGTCCGTCTGGACGAGTCCAGTACCGATGCTGATTTCTTCCACCAAAGTATTGACTCCAAGGATTCATATTTACCAGACAGCCATATCTGGTCCTCTCTTGAAAATGACAGTCCATACCACACCAATATCTTCACCGACGGGGGGTCCAAGCAAGATGACTCTCCTACCTGGAGGCGGAGTTTTATGGAGCTTCCAGAGCACAATGGCAATCCTTTCCTCGAAGGTGGACCTCTAGAAGTCCAAGCGGTGGCTATAGATAAAAGCAATGTTTTGGGGGATTGTTCAGAAGCCCCGCGCCTGGCGGACTGTGGGGAGGTGGTGAGCACAGACCAGAAGAGGCTTCTGAACACTGAAAAACTAGCCGAGAACTTTATGTTTCTCACGGACCGGAATCTGATGAAAGACGGACCGGGTTTCTCAAGTCCACAGGAGAATTTCCTTTTTCCGGGACTGACTCATGAACCAGAGGAACAGTTCAAAATGAGTTCGTGGGAAAACATGGAGAATTTAGGCAGCTTAGTCTCAGCAGAGAATTATTTAAAACCCGTAGCGAGTAGCACATCCTCCAGACAGGAACTTTTAGACTCTCCAAGTAACAGTTCGGGGGAATTTTGTCTGTCTCTGACAGAAAATACAACCCTGGTGCCTTTCATCACAGTGGTCACAGAAGAGAACTCGAGCAACCAGCTGCCAGTTAGAAATAGTTCTTCCACAGAAGACCTCGGTCTGCTGCAGCCCTCTCTCAGAGGTGCAGACTCCGGTTTTAGTTCTACCTCGGAGAGGTGTGAGGTCATCGTCAGTCAAACCGATGGCCACGCCCCCGCAATCTCTGAAAGTGCCACCACGGACTCGTTGTGCACGGATGCCAAAATCCCCAGCCTTGAAGAAGACCTTGGAACCTCGAAGAATAGCGTCATAGGAAGTCAAATGCCTGAGAACCTGCACGTCCACACGTTGTCCTCCGACAACGGACACAGTGAAGACCTCACAAGTAACGATCTGTTGAGTGAGCTCATCGAGGACGCCGACACGGAACTGGAATCCACGTTGTCTGACCACGAAGAGTCCTTCATGGACACTGATGGGCACCCGACTGTCAGGTCGTCCCTGTTGGTATCCGGGCCGTCTTTGGACCAGATCAGCCAGGACAGTTTACTGGAAGACAGTATGTCCACGACTCTACCAACCATGGACAACTCCGCCGAGACGCCAGACTCTTTGGACTCTCTTGACATCCACAGGCTGGGGGACCAAGGAGACGAGCTGAACGCTCAAATAGCCCCACACAAACTCCAGCCCCCGTACAAAATATCGGACAGCGGCTACGAGACGGAGAACCTGGAGTCCCCTGAGTGGAACTCTCAGCCCAACGTTGAAGGACAGTCCCCTGTCAAAAACGGCCTCAGTGTTGCCAGAGAAGAAGAAGAGGAGGAGACCGAGGAGCTCACCGCCGCGACCAATCTGGTTCCACCAGAAATCATCATCTCCGAAGCAGGGGTTGGGCTGGATACTCCGAGGGAGGGGCCCGGCGCCGGCGAGCAAGCAGGTGGCGCGGCTCCCGCCGAGGAGCCGTTTATGGGCAGCAACTACCGAGACTCGGCCTACTTCTCGGACAACGAGTCGGAGCCAGAGAAGAAGGCCGAGGAAACGGCCGCCGGAGGTTCCGGCGAAGTGGCGTGGCCGGGGAGCTCCGGCAAGGGGATCAGCGCGGCCGCTGCGGTCCCGCCGCCGGAGCGCGACCCGGAGGGGGGTGCCGACCCGTGGATTTCTCAGCGGGAATCTCCCGAGACGCGCAGCAGTGGAGAGGCGCCTCATTTTGGAGGCGTGTCATCGGATGCCGCTTCGGATATCGCGGGCGGACGCCAGACGGAGTCTGCGAACCGTCACAAAGAAGATTTACACGATTCCGAGTCACTCGAGGACGTCGCACCTGCCGATCGACAACAATCAGAGGACCCAGAAACCTCAACCGGACTCCTTCCTCCGCTTCCCGCCGTCTCCCCTGCGGAGCCGGCGCCAGAGAGCTCGGGTCACGCCAAGCTCACCAGGACCTACGCCACCGACTGCCATAAAATAAGAGAGCCGGGCCTGGAGGGGCGCTTCCTGGGGAGACAGGAAGGACAGGAGGACGGCGGCGGTGACGCCGACGAGGAGGGCGCGAACAGCGACGACTCCGACGACGACGGCGACAACGTCCGGGGGTACCAGCTCCGCAGCTCCAGTTCGGAGAGCGAGGACGCCGAGGACGACGACGACGGCGCCGCCGTGCACACGGTGCCGCTCATCGTCTCGGATGACACCAGTGCGAAGAACCTCAAGAGCTTGTTGAAACCCGCCGCGCCCAACGTCCAGCCGCCGTCCTCGCCGTCTCCTGCCGGAGGCAAAGCAGACAATGCCAGAAGAGCCGTGTCTTTCTTCGATGATGTCACCGTCTACCTGTTTGACCAGGTGTGTGTTTTTTTTTTTTTTTTTTCCTGTGTTTGTTGTTTGTGGGATAACAAAACGTATTTTAGGTGTAACAAGTATGACACAATATTTCTAACTAAAGTACAACTCATTCTGCTGTAGGAGACCCCCACTAAGGAACTGGGTGACCACTCCTCACACAACAAGGCTCCAGAGTTCAGCAGCCCGGTGTCCACAGCCGGCTACCTGAACCGCTTCACCAACTCCGAAAGCTCCACTGACGAAGAAGGTGTGTGTGTGTGTGTGTGTGTGTGTGTGTGTGTGTGTGTGTGTGTGTGTGTGTGTGTGTGTGTGTGTGTGTGTGTGTGTGTGTGTGTGTGTGTGTGTGAATAAAAATAAGCGCAGGTCCTGCTCGTTGCCTTTGTCATTTCGCGCCCCCGGCTCATTGGTGAAATCCCCGCAGGTGGCGGTTTTGAGTGGGACGACGATTTTTCCCCCGCGCCCGCCTTCCTGCCCAGGACGGACAAAGACCCCCTGTCAAAGGCCGCGTCCTCGTCCGCCGCGGCTCGCTTCGCCTCCTCGCCACCCGCGGCCGGCCGCGTGCCGGAGCCCAGCTGGAGCAACTCGTCGAACTACTCCCGTTTCTCCATCTCCCCGGCCAGCCTCGCCAGCTTCTCCCTCACGCATCTCACCGACTCCGACACCGAACAGGGAGGCAAGTTGAGCGCGCAGTCACACTGCCGAGCGTTAATATACCGGCCTCAATGACGTGGAAGTTTTGTTTTTGATCAGTTCATGTTTAAACTCTTCTCCTCCTCTTTTGTTCACCACAGGAAGCAGTGAAGACGGAGAAAAGGACTAGTGTGATATGTTAGCGTCCCGCTATTGAACTCGCACTTTTTAACAATCGAGAACAGCTGAACAAGGAGAAATGGTTGGAGGGGCAAACCGGTGCTTCTCTCAGGCAGAACCGCTCTTTCTTTCCCTGCACAGAGACGCCCACAAGGCCCCCGCCGGAGCCCCCCCCGCCTCCCCACCTACATCAGTGTGTCATTTCAATTCCGTGCAATTCCACTTGGGGAGAAAAAAAAAGGTTTCTACATGTTTGCTTTAAAGACTTTATCATGTGCATTCCAGGTGTTTGGCTGCTTCTTTTTGTTGTGTCCACGTGCACTCATTGTTTCAGGACTTTCACCAAAAAAAGAAAAGAAAAATGAAAAAGAAAAAAGACTTCTTATGCTCTGAATTCAACACACTGGGCTGACAAAACTCACTACAGCCAAATAGGAATGAGCTCAGGCTTATCCTCTCACTTTGTTGATTTTGTTCCTTCGTGTTGTGCGATTATTTTCAGTGGATGCCTCTTTCGGGAAGAATGATTTTTTTTTTCTTCTTTTTTTTCCGTAACCTCTCATCAGGTGTTTTTATGTGACTATCTCCTAATTGGAGAGAAGCTGCGTGTTGTATCCCGCTGTACAGCATTTGAATAAGAAGGGTTTGAACTAAACTGAACTTAAAAAAGAAAAACCTCATCTACACAGGTGACACGCTGAGTGTTCCTTTTTATTTAGGTTTAAAAGGAACATTTGCAGTAAGTAGTTTCATATTATTGAGACAACCCCAGTAAGAACGTTTGTTATCAGACAAGGATTTACATATTAGTCTTTACTGAGTTGATGAGGTAAAGCTAAAGACAAGTAATTCATTTTGTAAGGCTTAATCGGATGCTCTTAAATGTGCCGGAAGGTGCTCGGATGGGTTTTACTACGCGTCACTGAGGACAGCTGCATTCCTCCTTCCACCATCACTACAACTTCAAAATCACACCTTTTTAGTGAGATCCTGTAAAAAGTGAAAGATTTTATTTTTTAAATGTGGGAATGGAGAAATATTGAGTTGTTTGCACTTTTAAAAAAACAAAACCTATACAATGATTGAGTCTTCAGTAGTGCAGGGACGCAAAGCTTCAACAAAATCATCACTTCTAGAACAATAAACACTGCTGCGTTTATCAGATCAGTGTCATGAACAGAGTCGTCTGCCTTTTTTAAATTTATTTTTTTAACATTGTGTCAAACTTAATTAACCTGTTCACGTCCTTTTCCGCATTAAGCACCCATCGTCCACCTGCATTTTTTTTTTTCTTATTTGCAGGCCGTTCATCATGTGCTGGTCTTCATCAGTTTCTGTACAGAAGCATAAAACAAAACTGTTGTGAATCGAGATATGCTTCCCCTCCGAGGTGTCCATGTACGGCTATGAAGGCAGGTCTTTTATGCTGTAGGTTACACGGCGACCGTGGTTCAAACACCTCGTAGATTCTGTCCCAGACGACCTGCTGAACAGCGCTGCGTCCCCTGTGTTAGATGATGTCCATCTCCCCATACAGAAGACACTGTACCTTTTTAGATGTTACCTCTGTTAAAACCAGCAGCCTCTGCTTCAGTTAAACTTGAACATTTATTTAAGGAAATCCTTTATTTGACGATGGTATACATTGGCTTAATCTTGCACTTTTGAGAGACGTAACTTAATGTTGAACTGTTCTGATGTATGTAAATGTAAAAAAAAAATGTCTAAATGGGAAATGTTAACTTGAGGTTTCATATAACTTAAGATGAGTTGATCAGAGGAACATATCACGATCATTGGCTAAAAGCGGTTAAATTAAAGACGAAAGCAGATGTGAATTCATTCTGTCCTTTAAACTTGTAGATTTAAAAAAAATATTTTTACTTCCTATTTATCATGCTTAGTGTAATTGAATGAAATGTTTCTAATTCCATTGTTTATTATGAAAATAAATGCAAATGAACTTCTAATCTGCAATGTTTTTGTCTTTCCTCTGTGTACTTCACGTAGTCCGTTTATTGAAATCAACTCGGGGGAATTACTCACATACCGACTGAAATGATGTCCGAACATAAATCAATATTTCTTTTATTTCACATTTCGATGCCCTTAAGATGAATGTCATTGGTGACATCCGGAGCTGAAATGACAACAGTCGCAGTAATGTAGGTGGATACGATACTCACAGGAAGAACTGTCATACTGCAGCAGGATGGAGGGGCGTCTTAATGTAGACGGAATGTTGCATTGGGAAGGCTGTTTTTTGAAAAAGCCTTAAATATTTGGGAAGGTTTGAAGTAGCAATATGGTCAACAAAAACCAAAAACGCCATTGCAAATAAATAAAATAAACACATAAGTTAATAAATAAATCAAAAAGCACGAACAAATATGTAACCAGCCCAAAACAAACACAAAACAAAACAAGCTTCTAGTAACTGAGCTCATTTAGACAACGGTGGGATTGTGTGTTTGCAGACAAGTTCGTTCAGTAGCCTTAGCCCTTTATCGAAAAGTCCCCCCCGCTCAGGTTATCACAGGATACCGTGTGGACAAATAGAAGCTGTTGCTGGATCCCAACAGCCAAAAACGTGCACTAACTTTTACGTTTTCACCGCACAACAAGATCCCTTAAATGCTCTCGTTCTCCCTTTTCCCATCCCAACACCTACGGGATCCGGGGTCGTGATTGTGCGTTCCCTTCACACGAAGGGGCAGTAAGCGCCCGAGGAGCCGGATGTGGATCCAGCTACACGCCCACCGCGCTGCCGTTCACCTGCGCGGGGGGCAGCGGGCTGCGCGGGGCTCCGACGGGGCCGGGATGGGGGCCGCGAGGAGCCTCCGCAGAGTTCCCCCTCACGCTGATGTGCTCCCATCCTCCCTGGGAGTCAGAACACACGGCAGTGAAAAGGGACGGATGGTTCCATGGGTGAATAAATAATAATAATGCTGCTAAAAAGTAAAGTGCTCCGGAGTTTTAGGTACATTAAAGTGCTGTTTTTCAAGACATCCATTGTTTAGTTCTTTCATCAGATTGGTCGACAATATGAAAATATATAGCTTTTTACAATTCATTGAGTGCTGAAAGTATTTGTTTTTTTTTGCTTAGAATTGAAATATAAATTCGGGAGGGCATACTGACGGCGGACTCACCCCTATGCCGTAGTCCCAGGACTGTCCCCTGGGCTGCATGGGTCCCACCCCCAGCCTGTGGCAGACAGCTCCAGGAGTCTCAGCCGGGAAGCCCGGGACTCCCTCTGCTATGATCCACACCTGGAGACAACATCTGCAATGAACCATTCGCGCTTCATCCACAGATACGGTTCACACTCCGCTTCCACTGTGCCGGTGAAACTCGACAAAAGTGTCTGACCTGGTCCAGCGGTCCCACGGAGACCTTGGTGACGTTGTTAGAGATGAGCTCCCAGGCGGAGCCCTGCGGGTAGCTGGGGGTGAGGCCCTGCCTGAACCACAAGTTACCTGTACGGAGATTAACGTTAAGCGTTAACTGGAGTGTAAGTATAAAACAACAAGGAGAACTTCACAGCTGCTCACTGTTGTCATCCACAGCAAAGACGGAGGTCCTCCCCACCGACAGCTGCCTGAGAGTCTGCCTGGGGGGGCACGGGATGTGGTACCAGCATTCTCCCGCGGGGTTCTGCGGGGACACGGAGCCCCTGTAGAACACCTCTCCGTCCTTGGCGATGGCCCACACCTGGTTGGCGCCGCCGATGGAGATGGACTTGAAGGGCTGGTCCGTGCCCACGTGCAGCCAGGAGCTGCCCTGTGGGATCAGACGCAGCGGAGTGAAGAGAGGAGACGTTTTTTTTTAAAGAGGACCGATGAACGCTTGGTGTTCCAGCAAAATCTTACCGCGGCGTTTTGGGGCGTGACGCCCAGTCGGCACAAGACGTCCCCCTTGTCGCTGAGGGCCCAGACGGGGACCTGCTCCATGCTGCTGTGGGCCAGGCAGGGCATCAGAGAGATGTCACTCAGGCGGATGGGCGGGACCCGTTGCCACGGGCCCGTCAACGTGATCGTACACTTCCTGCGAGCAGAACGTAGCATTACTCCAGCGGCGAAGGAACCGCGCGTTGGAAACCGCCGAGGAATGCGTGCGTCTCATCACCTCGTCCATCGCCTGCGCCTGACAAAGTCTTTCATGGCTTTGTGGCCATGAAACGTCCTGCGGGGAGCGAGATCAGTCAGAGCAACGCGACGCCTCGCTTTCTTATCACACCCTGAGAACATAATGACAACGTACGTGGGGAAGTCCGCCGCGTACTGCCAGCCTTCTTGGTCCGTCCCCCCGGGGACGTCGTAGTCCACAGCCCACTCGGACGCCTGAAACGCAGGCAGTGTGGGAGGGAGGGGGATTAGCCGGGGGGATGAAAGAAGAAGTTTCTTTTTTTTTTTTGAGTGTGTGTCTGGATCCTACCCAGGACCACTGCGGGGAGGGCGGGTGCGTGTTCCCTCTGGTGCGTTCCTGCAGCCCGCCCTCATCGCTCCACATCGGGCGGTCAGTTGGAAGTCCTCTGGAGGCGCCCGCAAAAAAAAAAAGAAAAAAAAAAAGCGGTATGTTCTCAGAGGAGCCAGCAGACAACAGCTGCACAGATTAAGATGCAGACGTTGGTAAAGAAAGGGTTGCTACTTGTCTGTGTATCCTGTCATGGGGTTCCACCTCTGGTTCTCGTACACATGGACACTCCGCACGTCGCTCTGCTGGTGCCGCTCAGCTGCATCTCCTGCCGCACACACGAGCACGCGCAAAGATGTGATGCCAGCGGGGAAGTAGTTACAGATGTGAACGGCTGCAAACAGACGCTTAAGCAATTGCCCACAAAACTAGAAGCTGGAAGCAAGACGATTGAATCTTTCTTATGTGTTTGTAAGCAATTAAATTAATTGTGTTAGTGACATAGATTTGACCTTTAAGGTAAAAAACTGATTAAGATTTATTTTGACCAATTACAGATTATGGCACAAGCATATAGAATAACGTAAATTGACTTTGAGAATCTAAGCTTGAGCAGCCAATATTTTGTACATTTACACTGATAAATATTCAAGCAGTTATTAAAAATGAACAAATTTACTGGATCACTTATGAAAAAATAATTAAATAAATCACCGGAATAATGCGATAATGCATCCAGCTGACAGGTGTGGCAGATTAAACCATTATACCATTATTAATGTGCCTTAGTGAAGTCACAATAAACGGTCACTACAAAACACGCACTTTTTGTGTGTGGGCCACTCGCACGCTGAGTGAACGAACGGCAACTGTTGTTCATGAAACGATCAAGATCCTGTCACACGTCGCTGTGCCGCTCATCTGCCACCATCGATTCGTGCTGCGGGACGATGATGATGATGATGATGATGATGCACAGCTCCGTGTCACAAGGATCTATACACAACAGGCCCTTTTCACTGCAGCCAACTTGACAGTTAAACACAGGTGGAAGCAATGATATCAATGAATGCATGTGCCTACTGGAATGTCTGTGACACAACAGTCAAACCGTATTAGGACCATAATTCATTTATTTAACTACATTAGCCGTATAACCAGCTTTTAAACTGACGCTGGAGATTCTGAAGCTGAACACATTTCACGATAAAAAAGTAGTGACCAGCCCGAGGCACACCTGTATGATACCTATGCTGTTTAATGCTGTTTAATGGATTTAATTGATGCGCCAACCTGTCTGGTGGATGAATCAAGCGCTCATTAACATGGATTCAAACTAATTTGTACAAAAAATCTGGGAGAAATTTGCCTTTTTGACGCACATTAAAAGCCATCAAGTGTTTTGTGTTTTCAGTGAATGAAGTCCACATGTTTTGCAATGTGAGACGGTTCCTGAATGTTATTTTAAATTTGTGGGCAGGTTTACCCGGGATGGGCTGTTGCCCACAGCGCCCGCTGTAGACCCAGGCGGTGCCGTCCCACCCGATGCCCCACACCAGCCCCAGACTGTTAGACTCTACGCAGCGCAGGTGACCCGGGACCTGCCGCCAGAACCTGTAGCACCGCACAGCGGAAGCACCCGACATTAGCCACATCATCGTTAGCACACAGACAGAGACAAGGTACCGGCACACGGTGTGTGGGGGGGGGGGGGATTTCACCATGCAGGGCCAGTTTGTTAAGCATGTTAGCGACGTGTTGGCTGACGTGTAGCAGAGTAGAGACAAAGTAGGCACGAGAGAAGCGGACGCCAAAAAAAACAGCTCCAACAGTAAAAGAGAGTATGAAAATGGGGGGTTCTGCTATTCGGCGTCAGCCTCACATGAGGTCACAGGCCAGGGTGTGCGCGGCGGCTTCCAGAGAGAAGGACGGCTCGTGGACCATGATTTCTCCCGTGGAGGTGGTGGACCACAGGGCCTGTCTGGACGGGGGTCCATCGATCCCTCGACACTCACAGCAACAGTCAGACAACAGGCTCAACTGAACAACACAAAAGGACAGAAACAACAGGCGGTGTCACCAGCAAACCTCTTAGTTTCACTCTAACTGTTCCTCTTTCTGCTTCAAAAACCGTTACCCAATCCTTCATGTCCGTTTGGGTTTGTGCTGCCAGAACCAGGGGCCACCTCTGTTGGGTCCTCTGCGTGGTGTAGACAGCAAAGGCATAGTGGCAGTCCATGAGCACCGGCACCAGCGCTGTGACTTCGTGTATAAACACATGAAGGTACTGCGACAAAACAACAAAAGAGAATGAGTGAACAACCGTGAACTGACCAAAGAGAGAGAATTGAGCCGAAGCCAACCGACCTTTTTCTCATCGTACTGCGTGTAGTAGACAAAGAAAATGCTGTCCTTCCTCCCGTCGGACTTGGTGGACTGCTCGAGAGCGACGGCCACGTCCACCCAGCGCTGAGGCTTCCAGTCCCTCCACCAGCGCAACGCACCTTTACGCACCCACACGGACTGTGGAGGGGGAAAGGGGTGTGAGCACAGAGCAGATGCGATCCGTTCCGGGGCAGGACGGAAAGGACGCGATGCCGCCTTACGTGGCTTCTCTCCAGCGGCTTCTTGCTGATCTCCCCTCGGCTCTCCTGCTGCTGCTGCTGCGGCTGTTCGCTCCACGCCGCCGACTGCACGGGAGTCAGGGACAGGGAGCTGCTGAGAGGACCTGGCAGGCGAGTCGAGACCTTTCAGACAGCCGGACACACAGGTGCCCCCCCCCCCACACACACACACACAGGTTGTGGTCTACGTACCTGTGGGACTTAGCCAGCTGATCTGCGAACTTGCGTCCACGTCGCAGCCCCCACCGGAGATCCAGCTCCACACCGGTGCGTCCTCTTCCCCGACGCCGCGGGAGGTCTCCAGGGTCCCCGCGGCGCCCGGCGACAGCCCCGCCGCCTGCGCACATCGCGCCTCCAAATCCACGTTCATCCAGGGGACGTCGTGTCCTGTGGTCTCGGGGGTCGGGAGGATGGGCGCCGGGGACAGCTCCTGGACTCCCTCCCGCGGCGCCTCCGTGACGGGGACTTGCGGAGCGGCGGTCTTGTCGCGGTCCGACACCAGGCTGTTGATGAAGCTGTCGCTCGCAGGGATGAACGGCCTGGGGGCGTCCTGGTGGACGGCCGGGGGAGGATCCCCGGTCTTCGGAGGAGGTGAGTCGTTTCCCCCCAGGGGGACAACCGATGAGGCTGCTGCTTCGAGGACTGGAAAGTCTTTAGTGGCGCTCTGCGCGTCGGCAGGACCCGACTCGGAGTCGGAGTCGGTGCAGCTCAGAAGGGAGCTTTTTGAGGCCTCCGCCCGCCGGTCACCCAACTCACACTCCTTCCTATTAAACAACAAGCGCACGCGGGCAGCGCGGGAGAACACGAGGGGTGTTAGCAGATCGGTTTCATTACAGTATTCAAGAGGAACGACTTGATCGTCTTCTTCGTACGGACCCGGGCGGGATAACCTCTTTGCTATTCCCCCATTGAGCGGAAACAGGAATCCAGCCGCTCCCGCTGGGTTCGGACGGCGTGACGCCCATCCTGAAATACAGGCCTCGGTCCTCGCCCACCGCCCACACCTGACATGAATAAAGAGGCCAGAAAACAATGCAAAACGACAAAGGTGCAGAGCGCACACACACACACACACACACACCCGTCGTGACAAGATGGGAATTCAGTCGCAACAACCAACAGGATAAATACGGCGGAATGGCGTCAAATAAAATAGAAGAACACTTGTCGTCACTCTTCAAAAGTTGTATTCGTGGCACCAGTAGGCCACAGGCAGCTGTTACTTTATAAGGCCATACACTGTAAGACTGGCACCTGCCATATCCATAATTATCCATATCCAACCCTGAAATATGAAATATGGGATATGATGACGCCGGCTTGGCCAGCTTCTAATTAGGGAGTCTCCCGCATGTCAGGCCAGTAGGAATATAGTCCGGGGATATATAAGGCCGAGCCTGAGGGGGGCTGCTGCTGGGTGGGGGGTGGGGGGCATTGGCTGGGGCGGCTGGGCGGGCTCGTGTTACAGGGCAACCTCGGGGGCGGGGCTGGAGGCCAGAGGTAGAAGGGCCGGGGAGGGGGGGAGACCAGGGGTGAGAAAAGAAGGCGGGAGGGGGGGGGCGTGAGTTGAGGGGTTTGCAGTGCTACCGGAGTCCTCGGCAGCGAGATGCAGAGAGAAAACCCCTCTGCCCTTGACCCCAACCTTGAACCGGAGGGGCCCAGATCCAAAAGCCGAGCGGTGACGTGAATCAGTAGGGGGGGGGGGGGGGGGGAAGCGGCCAAAGCGCAGTGGAAACATTCTACGGAAAGATTGTATGGGTTCAAAAAGCCTGGAACCTTTAACTAAATGAGTTATAATTCAGTAGTCATTAGGTAGGTGTGTTTTTTTCATATTGTATGCTTAGATGTTTCCTTCTAAAAATAACATCCCACATTGTTGACCTACACGTTTGTGATACAAACAGAATTAGCATTAAACAATAAAAAGGGGAACACCAATACATTGTGACCAGGCTGAAATGATCACGAGTCTTTTCACCTGCTCATTGAGTCCCACGTCCACCACCATCATCTCCCCTCCGATGCTGATCCAACCGGACCCGCAGGGGTTGTGGGAGTTCACGCCCCGCCTGAACCACACCTGGACACACACACACACACGCATATAACAACACGCATACAGATGTTTCCGTCGCAACGCGGAACAGCCAGTCGGTGTGTGAGGAGGACCCATTCACCTTGTAGTCTTTAGTGACCACCCAGACCACACTAACTCCAACCGCCACGTGGAGCGCTTCGATCTCCTTTCCCGGTGATTCCAGCTCCACCCACGATGTGCCTGACGGAAGAAAAAACGCTGCATGTTTACCGACGCGGCATGAAGGGAAGATCTGATCTCGGCAAACCGTCCCCTTTAGTGTGGTAGTTTAAGTTTTGCTGTGTCAAATATTCTGCTCTACTAACGGCTGAGAATAATGTGGGAGGAACGCTTTAATGGCACCTTTTGTTCGAGTGACGTTGAAGCTTCAATCATCATATTTGATGCCTGTGCCAGCCAGTGTATATCTGGCTTATTTCTTTGGTGCCTAAATGACTTGTGAGACTTGCACCGTGGGTTACGGTCATTTTACTTCAATAAATTTCTTACTTTCTTAGGTAGAGTATTAAAAATGTATCTCATTATACTATTGTGGTGTCACAAAAGAAACTGTCTGATACGTAGAAACAAAACTGACAAAAATCACAAGCAATCCAGATGAAGAGACACAAAGGTCATATCGTAACACATTTTCCACCATCTCACACCAGAACGAATCGTATATAAACATATGAATATATAAATGTGAACTGACCAGTGGGGCAGTCCAGGCTGAGGCCAGTACGGACCAGCAGGTTCCCATCCCACAGTAACGCCCACAGGAGGTCCCCGGGGCCGGCCGACAACTGAGCCACCTCCTTGAGCACTTCCACTTCCTCCCAGCCGGAACCCTCCGGGACCCGGGGATGGATCCCCTCCCTGAACCACACCTGCAAGGTTAAGATGGAGCCTCAAGATGGCACCGGGTTTGGCACAGTGCAGCATGCTCCGTAAAGACCATCACTGAAGCATATCTGATGAGTAATTTTACACGAATTGTATGAAGTAATGCTGCCCTCTTGTGGTCAACGTTTATAGGCGCTAAAAAGCCACTTGTTACTGCGATATCTGACAGATCTGAATTTAAAGCATTTCATCTCATGTTATCCTCATTAATGAATGCAGCGTTCATCAGCACTGCAGATGTTGCCTCGGGGAAATATTACAGCAGGAAATATTCTGTGCTGCGTCAAGCTTTCAGGAACTCTGCAGAACCCTAAACCGCAGTGAGGGAGCATGTAATCCTTCTCTTGGGTGAACTTCAGATGCACATTTGTCACAAGACCGTCGAAACCCGCGGGGACTGACCTCTCCTTGTTGGGACACGCCCCACAGGTAGGGATACCTTCCAGACTGGTCGCTCATCTGCCAGCCACCGCAGCTTATGTCACAGAGCGGCAGCAGCGGCTTCCTGGGACTGTCCAGGGGGATCTGCGGAGACAGACAGCGGCTTTGCTTGAAACCTCGGCGCGCAACCTTTCTGCCCTGATATTGCTGCGACCGGAGGAGCGTCGGCACCTTCGCCCAGGTGCCTTGTGCTGTGTATCTCCTGTAGCGGATCCACCGCCTGCGACGGACACAAGAGTTCCACTTCTTATCCGGGGAGAAGTTGGCGGGGAAGTCGACTGCGTACTCCCAGCCCTGGGGGGAGACACACAGTAGCAGAGAGGCGTGTCGAGCGTGGAAGAAAGATGTGCAAGAAAGATGCAGACACTTAAAGAAAGGACTGCGTGTTGTTTCTTACCCCAGTCTGGCTGGGTTCTCCACAGCTCTGATCCACGTACCAGTCCCCCTCCCAATCCCAGCTGCGGGAAGGCAGCTGAAAGCTGTGGAGCGGTTGAGGATTCATCCCGGTCACGTCGCTCCACGGCCAGCGGTCGGTGGGCAGCAGTGTGTCAGTGAAGCTGTCGACCGGGTTCCACCTCTAAAAAAGATCATTGAAAAAGACACATAAACACACACACACACACACACACACACACAGCGCTTGAGCATTAAAAACATACGGCGTCCAGGTTGTAAGTGTATCAGCGTACCTGGTTTTCATAAGTCTCCTCCCGGTAGCGGATGGAGGTCTCGCTGGGCATCATGTTGAGGTAAACGTGGTGGTCGCAGCCGATGCCCCAGCAGCGGTCCTTCCCCGCTGTGACGCGCTTCAGCTCCAGCAGCGTGTCATCTGCACGCACCCACCGCTGGCCAGCTGTGGAGAGGCTGTACACCCTGCCGTACACATCCACGGCCCACAGCAGCGTGATGGGCATGGTGGCCCCTGAAGGGAGACAGCAAAACACTCCGGCGTTTATCCTACGGCTCAGTGCACTTGAGTGAAGAGACGCGGCTACGAGTAAAGGCTACATTTACAATTTAGATTTATCCTTGATGGACTGTAATTTCCCCAGTTTGGAAGTGTTTATCACCACAATAGAGCCAAAAGAGAAACGTATATGTCACGTGACTTCCTGTATTGTCAGAATTATGTTATTTGTTTATATTATATTTCAACTTGACTGTTTAGAATGAGTTTAAAATTTAGTCTTGCTTTAACTTCAATAAAAAAATATTCCCAAACCCGTTTTTATTTCTTATTTTCTCTTAAAAAAAAGAAAACCGACTAACTGGTGCTTTTAAATTGAAATGTCTAACCGGAAGTCTGGCGTTTATTCTGGTGGCACAATTTGACAGACGACAAATACTAATCCGCTACAGCGTTGACATTCACTGTGCCTCGACCACCACTATTCGATCAAACGGGCCCTCACGCGGTTTATTCACGTGAAGTGTGATACCGGGTCACGTGATCTCAACCAGCCACTTCAACTGGATTCTCAAATTATTTTTATGAAACGGAACCGGTGGAAATAGTAAACCTCTTCCCATTACATTGTTTTCTCGCTATAATGAACCCCACCTACCTTAAAGACAGCAGCGTATCCTCGAACTGGTGCACACTCACTCACTCACGCACGCGCGCGCGCGCGAAGCAGCCTAGCGTTACCTGGATGTAGGTGTCCGATCCGCGGTTGTCAAGGGAATATCAACACGCGCGACGTGACATCAGGTGCAGCCGCCGATCCGCGCCATCTCCGGTACCCGCGCTAAAAAGAAGCTCAAGTTAGTCACCAGCAGAGGAAGTTATATTAGTGAAACTGTGAAAACAGAGAGCGGACACGGGGTCGAATGCCGCAAAGTCGTCTATAAGCTGTTTACATCTCTAGGGGAGGAGGGGGGGGGGGTTCTTGACTCCCCATGGACCCCACTTTCCATCACTTACAGACGCAGCTCGGTCACGAGCAACACCTCATGGAGACGAAGAGCGGAGTCATTCATGCGTATTCCGGCTCCATGGGTTTAATTCCCATCCCTGGTCCCGAGGAACGGTCTGACTCCTGAGAGCACAACAGGAAATGGAGGGAGCGTCGCTCTGATTGGTCGAAGCTCGGCGGGGGGGGCGGGATCTCGTTGTCCCATTGGATGGAAGGAGACGCGCTCCCGGTATTTCCTTTTTTCCGACAGCCGCTGATTGACGCGCATATTTTAATAATTCATTCAGTTCAAATGAATTATTGAATCGCGAGGTTGGTTTTACATGTTTGGAATATGTTATCACAAACAAACACCAAATGATAGGAAAATACCAACACCAAACAACACTGAGGTTTATGCAACGCATACATGTACTGTTACTGTCCATGTTAATTAGATTTCTTGTCACTTTAAATTTAATTGAGGATTTCTATTTCATGCAACTCTGACAGCTAAGGTTACTTTTCAAGCCAATTGTGTCTAATTAAGTATACAGAAATTTGGAGATATTTCATTTGAATGTCTCCGATGTTTAAGGAAACACTTCTTAAGGTTAATGAAGGTTAAAAAAAAGCGTCATGGATCAGCTGGAAATGCTTCTTACTTTATAAACTACGCAGGATTGTTACCCCAAATGTATATAAACGAGTTCCAACTATCTATCTGTCTGTATCCCGGCTAGCTCCTTCATCCCTGGGGGTGCGAGGGGGGGGCATCACCATGGGCAGATATATATAAGAATTATTATTATTATGCAAGATTAAGGGCAACCCCCTTCTAATGAGGACAGCAGTTATGTGTTATGTAAAATGCAAGTACCCCCTCCACACATTGAAAGTACTCTTCCCGATTCGAACAAATGACTGCTGTCCTCGTTATGTGAACCATTGGGCCTGCCAGTCGCCATTGGGGGGGGGGTGTGATCACGGTGTTTAGGCTCTGCAGAGCACTGCGTGGTGCACCGAGCTTTGTCTTTTCCTGCGCTGTCGCTTTAAGAAGCCCTGCGGTGCGCAGAAGGCGCAGCGCATCACATGATTCTTCTCTTGTGACCGTCCGGACAGAAAAGGAAAAGCCTCGCTGACTTCCAGCTGTTCGAAGACACGAGTACCTCTGTATTGGTACCCAGGGACTAACTCGAGGAGGGAGATGGAGTTAAGTTAACTACCACCGCAGAGAGTCACACCCGCGCTGCCTTCCAAAGGGGCCATCCGGCGTTGTTGCGCCAAAGGGGACAAAGTTGGCGCATGGAGAGGGACGAAGTTTCCTTTTTTTTTGTTGGTTGTTGTTGTTGTGGCGCAGCGCGCTTTCCTTTTGTTTCTGTCGCCACCGGCGTCAACGCAGCGTCGCGGGCGCCCGGAGCCGAGTGAGCGGAGTTTGAAGCGCTAGTTTTTGCGGAGAACTGAAAGTGAAAGGGAGCTTTTAGACGAGGAGACCCGACGGCGAGGACGCGCGTCACGTCGGCTGAGAATGGTGGACAGCAAACCTCTCCTCCAGGACCGACCTCCCGCCTACGCCAGCGTCCCGGGGGCTTACGAGTACGGCCCGCAGCCGCAGCAAAGCTATGGCGCCATCCCGTCCCCGGCCCCGCCGCCCTACCCGTACACGTACCCGGACGGCCAAGGCAAGTAACCCCCCCCCGGTCCACATCCGTAGCGCGGCGTCACCAGGCGGGTGGAGAGGAGCACCGCTGCCCGCTTCCGCCTTGGTTTTAAAACTCAACGGAGGGTCGCTTTTGGTTGTGACCCCCCCCCAGCAGCTCGCGATTCCCGGTACAATCCGAAGCAACATGTCTGACATAAGTAACAAATACCGTGAAAGTGTTATTAAGTTTCCTTAATCAGGCGCTACAATGCTGCGCATGCGCAGTAGCGCGATGGCGACGGCCGGTGTTTACCGACTAGTTTTTGCTCAAATAAATATTTTTTGTCTAAAGTGGTACAGGGTAAAATCAATGCTCAACTAACCGAATTAACTTTAAATTGTGTTAATTTATGTCATCACATAAGCTGGTTTGTGTTTTTTATGGGAAGCAACAGCAGGCGAAACGGGGCTTTGGTGCGTTTAACTAACCTTATGTGAAGGAAGCAGGAATCTTCTGATGGATTCGTGTAACGGCTGCAGCAACGAGAAAGTTACTCCTTCCCAGAATACGGTCTGATTTCGTTCAGTTTTCGTGTAACTTCCTGCTTGCTAAATAACGTGTTCTTGCGGTTATTATAAAAGAGTAAAGGTACTTGTACAGCTGAGCTGTAATCCATGTAAACGAGCACGTATCAAAGTTTACTGAGTCACACAAAAACAACCACAGATGGACAGATTGTGGTAAACCACAAAAAAAAAGTCAACATGCCCCGAGGGTCAATGAAATGAACTTGTGAATCCCCAAATGTCCAACAACAACAACAACAGTAGAAAGAAGAAAGCCAAACCGGATGCGCCGATACTTTCAAATGACTGATCTACGTACACCGTAAATAACAACAAGCGTGTGTCTTTCTCCTCTCTCTCGACCACAGGGTACCCATCGGCTCAAATGAACCCCGCCATAGCTCAGCAGCCCTACGCTGGGACTTACACCATCCTACAACCCTCTGTGGTGGTGGTAGGGGGCTGCCCGGCCTGCAGGTGAGCGAAACACACACACACACACACACACACACACACACACACACAGCGAATAGGAGTGTGTATTGCGGCAGATCTGTAGATTAGCTCGGGGGTTGATGATGAGCGTCCCGTGTTCACCGTGACTCGGCCGATTTCTTTTTTTTTTTTGCCGGTCTGTGCGATGTGGTCGGGCCTAGCGTGACATAATCGCTTACCGGATGTGACTTTCAGCGGTGGAAGATGGGTTTTTAAATGGTTTCGCTTGGCCCGAGTCCACATCCTGTCAGTCAGCTGATTTCCTGTCAGTCAGCTGATCAAACATGCGACCGGTCAGATCCAGGCCACAGTTCACAAAATGAAAGCAAACAAATGAGGATAAGATATTTCATTTTGTGACGGGGTCGGTTATTGCTGTCACGAGGTGAAGGAATACCTCCGTTCCAGTTTACCGGAACTGAAAGTTCACATAGTTGAATGCCTGCTGGATCGCTTGCTATTCTATACGCTGCGCCCCGAAACCTTTTGTCGTAACAGTCAAACCAGTGTGTGTAGTCTCTCTCCACAGTAGAAACATTAAGTCTGGTAGAGTTCGTGTCCCCATCGGCTGTGCCATGGCTGTGTTTCCTCGGTCGGTAAAAGTCCCAGTTCCCGGCACAAGTGTACAAATAAGTTGTGTAAATAGTCGCTGCGTGGGACAGCAGCACATTGCGTGGTGAGGTGCCCTGATTAGAGCTTAGAGCCTTTTAACGGGGTTAAACCGAGGTCACCCCCACCACACATAGTCTTGAAAATGAGTCCTTCTATCACTATTCTATCCCCTCCACCCCAAAATGCAGAAATGCACACTACATGTATCTTTAGGATCTAGTTTGACACATTGCATTCGTTAATTCCTCTCTCAGATTTACTGGAATGGAGAAGTCATGATACCGCATTTGGCATTTTGTTCACCACTTTAAGCCGTGGATTAAAGCTGCTCTCCTACCGAGAAACAAGCCGCTTCGGGTCCTGACCGTTCATCTTTCACTTTGAATTGATTGATGGTTGCTTACAGGGGGACGTCGGGACATTGTGAGATGGACATCAGAAAGAGAGACTTCAAAAACCTTCACATTATTAAGAGTTTTACCTATTCAGTGTGATCAATTAATGAAATGATGAATAATACAAAAATACATTATGAAACTGTAACGTGACGTTTGTCTCTTTATGTTTATTATCTGCCCTTCAGGAACGCACAAATATCCACTAGGATTTAAGTATAAACTGATCAGTAACCTGATACAAACTAATGAATCGATTATTAATATAAACCGTGTGTGTTGCAGAGTCGGCGTCTTGGAAGATGACTTCACCTGCCTGGGGATCCTGTGTGCCATCTTCTTCTTCCCACTGGGTCTCCTCTTCTGCTTCGCACTGCGTCAGAGAAGGTGTCCCAACTGTGGCGCCTCTTTCGGCTAAAGGGACCAAACCCCAGCTCGTCCACACACACACACACACACACACACGCACATGTAATCCGGCATTTTTGTCTCTTTAATTTTATTATCTTTCCTTCAAAATGCACGTTGCTGTTGCCATTACTTCATGTACAACAAATGATCAAGGTGATATTACCGTGAATTATGATGCTTTACTAGAGGCACGCATGGACTTCTTTTCATCTGCCGGTTGAGGATATTTTCTTGCATATGTGTGTGTCCAGCTGTTGTCAGTGCCTTCACTACATGCCGAGTGATCCTCACAGACTCAGTCAGTCCTTCTTCTCCCGTAGGTGTAGCTCGGTCATCCCAGGATCTGAGCAGATTCCTTTTGTTTCTCGCCAGAAATGACTAAAACACGTGCTGAAGTTCTTTTTTTCCCCCCTTTCGTCTTGGCTGGTACACCGCATGCATATTTTAACGCTTCGAAACCTTGTACTCAACACAGAATCCACCTAGACCACCGATGTATTACCTTTCCCTGGAAATGTAAACCTTCTTTTGAAACGTTTCTCTTTGGCTCAGTGTGTCACAGGGAAAAATACATAAAACCTAGTCAGCTAAAAAGAAATACAGGATCTGAAACAATGGACTTGTTTTGGACAGAACGCGCGCACCGTTTTGTCTGCCTTTGTTGATGTTATTTCTAGGGGCCATATTTGCACTGACAGTTTGTTTGATGACTATTCTGCTGGCTTGTGCTTTTCCAGGGCCAATGCAGACCTCAGGTACATACAATCTGAAACGCCCTCGACTTTACAACCTCAATCACTGTTTTACTTCGGGCTTCTACCTACTTCAAGGACTTGCAGTTTCACTTCAAGGAATCACGCTGAGAAAACTGAAGAATACTGTAATCTCTGGATTTTTATTTTAGTACTCTGCGACAAGTCACCCCGTCCCGTTCGTCCCGACCTGACAATCAAATGAGAATGTCTTTGTCCCGTATCTGTAGGTCCCAGCCAGATGTTGTAGAACTGTCCATGGCAGAAGAAAGAGCTAGAACTGGGTGGGAGTGATTTTAATGAATCTTGCTTCAGAAGACACACTACGCACGCTGTTATGATTGAGGTTATTCCTTTTTATATATCCGCCATTGTAATTAAAAATGAATGCAACTCATGTGTTTGACTACTTCCTTGACTTTATTTATCAAAGTGATAAATTGATAAAAGTGATATTCGATATACTTCTGATTCGTACGAAAGATTTAGACACTCTTTGAACTCTGCACTACTTGTGCAGGACAACAAACAAAGCAGCACTTTGAAGAAATAATTCTTTATTTTAAATAATCTTTATTTTTCATACAGCAAATTGTATCAAGACTGATGTGGGCTGAAAACAAGAGTCTACAGGTCTTAAAACTGCAGGAGCAATGATCAAAGCAGGAACGACCACATCGCCATTGTGAACATAAGTGACGGTCCACAATTTGAAGAACAGACACTGATATCTTTTACAGTAATTATGTTTGTGTCATTAAGGCAAAAGTTTTGTCTACATGGCAAATTACAATATTCATAGCATCTGTCGCGCAACTCTATATACAAAAGGGACTTTTGGAGGCATCTCTTTAAAGTCTCCTTGCTGCAACATCATAGCATTGACCTTAAAATGCAACGTTTTATAAGGACCCGAAGGTGAAATGAATTACGTTCGACTGTCCTATGGCAACAGAAAACGATTTCCAACAGTCATTTTGACGATGAACAAGCAACATCAACAGCACAAATACCTTGCAGTATTTGCTACGACCGTTTTCATTCATCCGTTTCTCAAGTGCAGGTAAAAATGTGGTCCTCCTAAAATCACCTCCTTAAACATGGGGACACAATAGAATATATATATAATAAATTTGTGAGCATCTGTATTGGAAAATAAAAATGCCAAAACACTTCAATGTGAGAGTTTGTAGCAGTAAGGGGATCCCAGATTCAAATGGCATTTTTTCTTTGTCGTCTCTTGCGCTGGCCAAGTTCTGTCTGGTTCCAGACCAGCAGACGCCGCTGCACAGTAACGGCAGATGACACTGGAAGTTGTGGGAAAACTGGGCGGAGATCAGACCACCGGCGCGGAGCGGTCGTTGGTGACTGTCGGACGTAGCCGGACTGTGGCGAATGGGTTCCCTCCCCTGTGAAAACGAGGCAAAGGCGAGGGGTGAGCGCTCGTCTGAGTGACAGGCGGGTCAGATCACGTCGATCATGTGGTCGTGTGACTTACGCGAGGTAAGCAGGCTGAGGTCTTGAGGTGCCGTTTGACTGCAGCGCCTGTGGAGAAAACAAAGGATCAGTTTCACAAGGCTGACACTGTAACACACCGACATTACACACGCATATATATATGCATGCTGAAGGGTTGACACAGTGACGAATGCATGGCCGAGGTAAAGTGTGGGAAAGTCAGCGTGCCGCTGCGTCGTCACAAGACTCTGGAATCTGGACCTTCTGGAAATTCAAGTCTGTTTCACAATTAACCACATTTTCCTAAGAAAAGCCAGAGTCAGTTTCACATGCACAACGTTTAGAGAACAGTGAAACCCTGAAGGTGAAGATTTGGTTTAACACAGTCCTCATCATCTAAAATAAATTCAAGTTTCCTTTAATTTTTTGTTATTTACACATAATCATTGTGAGATATTTCAATGACTCCAAAGCATACAGTTTATTATAAAGGGAGTAGTGAGTGACTCAATTGGGGAGTTATTTCATTAGAGTTTTTATGAACAGTTTGTCAGCATCAGTGCTGAATATAAACCGTGGACCTTCCCTCCTACTGGCCTTCTCTTCCAGTTATCAACCTGCAGTCCAGCAGAAATTCCACAAGAGGTCAGAGGAGGACAGAGGGACTGATGTCTCGGCACAGTTGCTCCCACAAGCATGCGTGTCGTGTCATCTGCTCTGATAAACACTTGAAAAGGTGATAATATGTGCCTGAGTGTAACACACATATTTAAAGTACGGCCAGGATTTTCAACAAATAACCAGAAAGGCAACGCACAACATGATGGAAAAATTAACCCGACTTCCTTCCAGTATCAGCGAAGAGGAAAAACACGCTTTACCACTTGCCCATACAAACTCAATTAGTCACACAAAAGGCGATGCAGCACACGTATGTGGCTAAAAACAGCGTTGGTGAATGTTGCAGCCACAAGCCCCTAACAAACCCAACGGCAGACAAACGCACAGACTCAGCCACCCACTCATACAGTTAGCACACATTAGAGCTACTGCTGCAGTGGCAAACTTTTCCCCACCCGCATTTCTATTCCGAGATCTGTGTTACGAGCTAAAAGAGACGCGAGGAATGAACGGAGGATAGACTTCCCTGAAAGTGGAAGTTATTTTCATTGGAAATGGAGGGGAGAGGCGGGCTGTGAAGATAGAGGAGCCAAAGGACAAAGGAGCCGATGTTGAGATAAATAGAATAACAATGAGTGGAGAAGCTGAAAGGATGAACAGAGGGGGGGAGCTGGGTATCAGGTTCACCCAGAGTGGCATTCCAACATAGTGCGGAGTCAGTGGTGGAGAGATGAGAGCATGGCAACTGTTGGCCCTGCTGCTGCAACTAGTAATGTATAGAATCAGGGAGTCTCTGCTGGTAGACAAGAATACCGGAGACTTGACTGGAGACTGGCTGAGGGAGAGATAGTAAGAAACAAATGTCGCCTGATGTCTCCAGGCAGACTGGAGGATCGTCATGTGACGTGTTGGTTGTGTTTGTGATCGTGCAGGACAGTGCAGGTGTACCACAATGCATTTACATTGATCCAGAACAGGAAAACTAAAGAAGCTCTCACAGCGGGAGGCCGCAACTTTGGTTGGTACTTTGCATGTGTTCGCAAATGGGACGTAATGACTTCGGCCATGTTGCACGCTGAAATAATGATATTATATGAACATTTAGTATTCGATATTAAAACCGTAGAAGTCGTATCTACAGCAAACTCAAACATCCTCTCCCAACAATTGATTTTTTTATTGTGTATGTCAGCCAACGTTGGATCAGATTCTCCTCAGGTTTCAAAGGGTGACATAAAGAGCTCCTCTGTCGCCACACACACACACACACACACACACACACACACACACACACACACACACACACACACACACACACACACACACACACACACACACACACACACAGAGTTATCAGCAGTAAGGCTGAGGGTACAGTAGGTATCAGGTGAGACGAGGCCTCACGTTGCCAGCTCTATCACGGAAGCAGAAAGGTCCGACAGCGGACGGAAGGTCAAAGTGCTCTGGGCTAATTACATCTCCAATAACAACATTTCCCTCTCTGAGACTGTGAAAGAGGTGAATGTACGTGACCCAAACAACACTGACCGCGTGGGGATTGGACGAGGACGAGGACGCAGAGAGCGTAGGGGAGTGCCGCTGGACGTAGTTTTGGGCGACGGTGCTGCTGCTGTTGCTGTTGTGCTGCAGGACGTTGCTGTAGTCCGCCGGCGGGAGCACCATGGTCGCCTCGTCCGTCTCCGTGTCCTGATGGTGGAGGTTGACCACGCTTCTGCTGCGGTGCGGCCCTGCAGACACGCTGTGGAGGAACGGGAGCGAGGGGACGGATTACAAAACAGATGCAGGAAGGATGAATAAAGCCACTTTGCATGTTTGTGCTCCTGTACCTTCGAGGGCTGCATCTTGAATCGAGAGTTACTTTGTGTTTGGCTTATAAAAATACACAATGAAATAAAGTCGGGGAAACAAACTAACTGGAGGCTCCACAGAAGGTCCGGGATGCACATGCGTGTTGTGTCGCCCGGCGGCGGTTACAGTGTAAACTTTCTGTGGCAGTTGCCTGACAGCCTCCCTTTGGGAGGTGCAGCACGTTAAGATCTAATAAATGAATCCGACTGGGATTAGTCTCTTTGAAGAAAAGGCTGGAGTCAACTCTCTCTCATCAACAGCAAAATCTATTAATCAGCACCAAACATCCTATTTCCTCCTTTATTGCTGAGCTTGTGTGACATTTTATACACACAATATTTATGTGAGCAAAATATCCGGAATTTCTTTTTCGGGCACAACACACACGTTGCTTTAGAACATCTTAACAGAAAAGCACAACAGGAATCAAAGGTTGAGGAATGACAGGGTCTCCCGTTGCATTAGAAAGGTTATTAGTCTTACAGGAGTAACTAGAGGAAACGCCGCCAACAATACAGCAGACTGCAACGGGACTCCTGCTGGGGGTTGTGTGTGTGTGCGCGTGCGTGTCTGTGTGTGTACGTGCGCGTCTTAGGTGGAACCTGGAGTCCTCTTACCTGTTGTTATTCACGACAGGCTCGGAGAGAGCGCGGCAGTAAGAGGAAGGGAACCAGCCCCTCCTGTAACACACAGACCGAGACAGAGAAGCCGGGTTAGGGAGGATTACATCGGAGTTCTGCCCTCCGGCCTGTCGGCTCTCGTTGCACAGGCGTCCAAAACAATGATTAGCAAAGAGCTGAAAGCTCAATAAAGTCCTCCATCTCCCAAACCAGAAGATGAAAACACATTGATTCTTGTATACAGCTATTATAATTATATACTGTGTATACTGTGTGGATGCATGTCCTGGTTACTATGGCAGCGAAAGAATTCAGAACAGAAAAGACGTCATCGGGGATGAATGCATCTGATTTGTAAACAGAGAGGATCAAAGTTCATGTTCAATTTCGTGAAATGTATCTTTTCTAACAGCAAATACCCACTGCTTGCCAGCAGATCAAATCAATGACTCGAATAAATTTCAAGCCCACACAAACAAACACCAAAATAACTACATCACAGAGTTGAAAATCAGATTGAGACCAATGCTGGTCAAATAATTTAGTCAGACGTGGGTCCTCCAACTATTCCTCAATATGATTTGATCAAAATAATAATAATAATTTGTTAAGCTTGAAAACAAACCAAAAAAAAGTTCAAACCAAGGACTGTGTGTCATTGTTCCGTTATGGTACAAGGTTGTTTGTAATCAGCACATACGTCAAAGTAGATAATGTTAATATTTGCACATCTGGCATGGAAAATGCCAGATAATAAAAACCTTGTTCAAGGACAACTAAAGAGCACTGGTAGAACAGAGGTGTTCCCCAATACTATACTGACTTCTCATGGACTAGAAAGCAAAACGCTAACAAGCCCGTTTAAATGATTCAAGGTGTCGCCGGGCTTTTTCGGGACAAAGCAGATAGGAGACAAAAGGGAGAAACCATGCGAGAGGCTAAAACTCACGAAAGCCAAACCTCCTGAAGGAGGCAGAGCTCGTCTCATCACACGCTGGGATCTGATAAAACATGACGATCAACACATTTTTAAGCCTTTGGTCATGCTGCTTGCCGAGCTCAAGCAGCATGACCAAACTGCGGCATCCTCATTTCCTTTCTGCCCTTAATCAGTTTTCTACACTTTCTACATTTCCCCAGTAATTCCTCTCAAACCCCACCACAATGAACAATAATAAAACAAAAAAAATACACATCCAAGATGTCAGATCAAATGCCAGTTTAAATAAAATCAGGCATCAGAGCCTCGGGAAGAGGGGGCCTGGTTGGTGCTGGTCTGTGTGGGCGAGCAGGTGGTGCTCTTAACTTCTCCCTGTGCCTCCCCTGCGGTCCCGCTAACCGACATCCCAGCCTCAGGCCGTGCTTCACTTTGATTTCCCCCCATCAGCGAGCGTTCCAGATCGGGCGATGCGGGTACATGGTCAGCATAACAATCTGAAGAGGGACCCTCTGGTCAGCGCAGTCCCACTTCATCGGGGGGCCGCCGTAAATTGTCCACGACGGCCCCCCGATGAAGTGAAGGAGATTGTGGTAGAAAACGGAATCACTTGCAGCGTATATTCCGTGGGATGGAAGGTAACTGTAAGTACTTGTTATGTGTGCATCACACATGTGTTGTAAGAACAGAACGGCATATAACACATCATTTGTACGAATGCCACACGTGCGATTCGACTCACTTTCCGCTATTCTCCAGCTCGCCGTACATCCAGCCGTCCCTCTCCTCGGGGATGAGCAGCGTGATGACGTCTCCCTCCTCGAAGCTGATCAGTGTGCCGTTGTTGCCGGCAGTGTGGGGGAAGATTGTGCGCACTCGCGGCCTCTTCACCATATTGTTGAGGCCCGTGGCGACGGACACGCACCTGGCCAGGTTGTGGTCCTCGCTGCCCCCGTGGTCTGGGAGAGAGAGGAAGGGAGGAAGGTGAGGAGGATGACGGGGTAAACAGTGTGTAGCATTGAGGGGGGATCTATCGGCGGGGGGTCCCTATGACATTGGTGTCTAATCAAAGACTAACGCCAAGCTCCCTGGCAGAATACCTATGCTGTTGTTGGTAGTTCTGGTTGCAGTGGCGATGTTGTTCCCCTGGGTGAACATGTTAGCCAGAGGACTTGTCTGCGCCTTCAGAGGCGGAGCCGGAGGAGCGGTCATGTTCTGCCACAATAACAACAGTAAGGAAAACGTTAGCATGTGAAATACGGTACTAAAGGTGAGAAAATACACCCTTTTAAATGGTAAATGTTTTCATGATTCACGCATCTGGCTGAGGTCATTGCTGCAAAGTAAAGTTCAAATCAGACCACATTTTATGACTAAACCATGCAAAACTGCATGATCACCTATTTCTCCTGCACAACTAGCACTGTGGCAGAGGCGCTAGTGCTGCTATCTATAGTTGACTGTTTAATGATTAACTAGTGGCCTCATCCACAGCTAAATATTAACCTATTGCATATTTAGCAAGAGGCTTGATTTAACAATGTACTAAAAGTCACCAAACAAACTATAAGATGTAAACAAGAGTCACTCAAATTTCATATTGTCATAACACATTCAACTTAATTGCGTCTATGTGGATATTAATCTACATCATGCTTAATAAATGTAGTTTATCTTGATTACCAAAAATACACTGTGTGATATGGATATTTTACACTATTCTCTCTTCGTCGGTACGCAAACCCATTCAGCAAAGAGCGCACGAATCCCACCATCTAATCTGGAAGGACGTCATTGGATGATTTCTATCATTTCTATCATGCCGAGATGTTGTGTTCTACCAAACAAAAGGCAGCCCGGTATGCAGCCTGAGAACGCGTCTTTATCTGTGCGTCCCATCATACCACGCTGTGCCGCGATGGGGAGGGGGAGGGCAGAGGTGTGATGGAGATGGGCGTCTGCAGTCCCTCGATCATGGACAGGATACTGTCGGGCATGTCGGAGGCGTCGTTGCACTGGTCCTGCCAGCTGTTCAGCTTCGTCGTCAGCAAGTCTCTGGCCTGTCCGGGGGGGGAGGGGGATGCACGGGCACGAGAACCAGATGTTAAAAAGAAAACATGAACATCAGTAGAAACTGGGTTCTCATCACTACGGCAACAGGAGAACCATGCGATCATGCGTTTTTGCAATAAATGAATGGTTGAACCTCCTGGAGGTGTAATATAATGTACATGTTTGGATTTCCCTTTCAAAAACACATCAAGTAGAAAATAGAGATGGCTGTAAGGTGCTTATACAAGGAAAAGCTCCACTTTCTGCAGAAGTGACTTGTACCTTCTCGTGGAAGGAAGCAAACTGGTAGGAGAACATGCAGTGTTTGTCCACCAGGAAACAGAAGCGTCTCTTCTCCTCCACCAGAGCCTCCTTGCAGCCCTCGGCGATGAACAGCTGCATGTCCATCTGACGGCTCGTCAACGTTTCCAGGCACTGAAGACAAACGCACATGTAACACAATATTATAATGAAGATGTAATAAGTCAACATTGTTTGATTGAAAACCGTTAGTTGGTCTTTTGTGTCTTACAAAGTACCACCTCAAATAGATCACGATGTATTTATCTTCTGCCACCACACGGTTTGAAGCCATCTCATCCCTTTCACTGCCCATTTGTACACAAGCCCAACCGGGGGACAAATTGCATTAAAGGACCAGGTTTCCTTTATAAAAACCCTAATCTTTCTCTTGCAGGGGGAAACGTTATTATTGGACTAGAATTTACAGCATTGACTGATTGCTTTGGAGGTTTACTGAAAGGAAAGAAGCAACAGGGGGAAAGGAGACTTGCAGAGAGGGGATTTGTTATCTGCACAGACAGCCGGAGATTATAAAAAAGGTCAAAAGGCCACCGACAGGATTTCTGTATAAGTGTGTATTTCCTTGTGCATGTAAGTGGAAAATAATACACACACTTACTCATCATCTCGATTTATTTGGCATTCTCACTTTGTGAAAAAAATGAACACAATGGTTGTTGTGGTTTAAAAATTGGCAGAAAACATGGTGAATTGTATTATTTTATTATCAATGGTAACATTAAGAACCAGGGCCCAGATGTGAGCCTTTGGGAAAAGTACCATTCACATATTAACATTTTCTTGACCCCGCCCTGCACCTCTTTTAACATCTAACAACGTCTTTTGTTCCTGGTTCCTTGTCAAAGCTCCATGTCGTCCATCGGCACGCCCCTAACAGTTGCTCATACAGTGACACACACCCTCTCTATTCACATTTTATAACCGTCCTCCTCTGATGAAGCTTTAAATTACTGAGGGCCATATTTACCAGGACGCTTTTGTTGGTCAAGTGTGTTTATGGCACGAAACATATTGGACATGGAAATGTGGAGGCGAGAGAATGTTCAGCAAATTCAGCAAATTTATGGGAACAGCAAAAAAAAAAAAAAAAGTGGTTTTAGGTTGTTTCTCTGGGTGTAGAAATGCCAGAGTAAACACGCCCTCGTAACTCAAACAGAAACTGAATTATTTCTATAACAACTAAGAGGATATAAAATAAACACACGTGTGAGCATTCAGTGATAAAAGTGACGGAGCGATGGTGATTATGTCCTTGTCCAAACAGTGCCGTTTGTCTCCAGGAAGTTCTAACATGAACTTCTCCATTCAGAGTTTTATCATTCATCTCACCAGATGCGCTATGATAAGAGATGTAGCTCTGTGGCTACATGTCAACAAACAAGAAGATGCAAATGCTGAGGCAAACAAACACACACACACACGCACACACACACAGCCCTTTATTTCTCCTTTGCTGCCGAAGCTGTTTCCGGGCGACGCCTCTCACATCCCATAATCTCACCTTGCTGATATAACTACAAGCTTCACTGAAACACGATCCACTCGCCATTATGCATCGTCCTTCAAGAACGTGCAACTCCAAAGTCAGATTGGGTTTATAAAGACCACACTTTAAAATGTTTATGCTGTCCAAAACTAATCCGGTGCATAATCATTGCTTAGCCTGTGAGTATTTGACTGACTTTTTAACTAGTTTTGTGATTAAAATCTGACTGAATCCCCCAACTCTCAATTATTATATATATATATATATATATGGCATAAATTACAAACATATTTGATATTTATCATTAATTCCCCTCCTGTTGCCCTCGGTGAGGAAAAGTGAGATATTTGATAAAGATAAAGATTATTGGAATGGAATAGAATTCAGACAGACGAGCCCAGCAGCGAGCGAACGAACCCACCGATGCACGGCTTGGTGGGGGTGACAGGAGGTGAGAAGGAAAGACCAAACAGAAGACGGTGACGGCGCGTTGGGGACGAGCAACAAGAGCAAAACAACAAAAGAATGAAAGACGTAAGTGAGAAGAATAGAGCAGAGAAGACGAAGAAAGCCCTTCAACACACACACACACACACACGTACACACAGAGGCTGGGTGGATTGGTCGTAGAGAGGTTGTGTTGTCTGTGGCCGCCGTCCGTCCATTGTTGCAGATTTAGCGTTAGACTCCCTTCACTCAACACAGGCAGTGCTGGGTGTGGTGGCACCACGTCATAACCGACTATAATGATTCACATTCCTCAAAGAGTGTTGCAGGTATGACACCTGAGGTGACAATGACAAAATTCCACCTCTTACTGTATGTGTCAAAATGGAATAAAAACAGAATTTGGACAAATATTACACTAAAGATTTGTACTTTAATGCATCCAGGGAACGTCCACTCAGACACATTTATTACTGTGGTTGTCATGACGACTGGCAGTCATTATGTGCAGAGACAGTGCACCGTTTGCATGTATCTAAGCAAATAAGATTTGGATTATACAGTAGTTTACATCCGGCACCTTTGGTCAAATACTGTTTGAGTGCTTAGTTGTGCATGTGTGTGTGTGTGTGTGCGTGTGTGTGTGTGCGTGTGTGTGTGCGTGTGTGTGCGCGCGCGTGTATCAGTGAGCACGCGAGTGGATCAAGAGAAGATGACACGCGGGTGTATTCATGGAGCGGGAAAAAAATAAATAAATCAAACAACAAACAGATCCTTCCGTGCATGACTGCACAGACAGGCGCTTCGCAGATTATCCCCAACTACTGTTACAATGCCTTTGACACGGTGCGTCTCGGGTGTCTCGGCCTGTGAATGGTTGTCGTTTTCTGTGTCGGCGAAAAAAAAAGAAAGAAAGAGTGAGACGTCCATCTCACCTCGCTCTCCTTGTTCTCGTACTTGTTGGCGTTCTTCCCCTGGCTCTTCCTCCTCAGCTTCTTCAGGTCCGACTGGGATCTCTCCAGACAGTCCTGCTTCATCTTGTGCTCAATTTGGTACCTCTTGAATGTGGCCTGCAGCAGAGGAAGGAGGACATCCATGTGAGTGCAACGACGACCTGATCGTCACGTGGCGGGAAAAATCAAAAAAAAAAATCAAGCGTGGGTTTGCCGGCTTAGTTATTGGGATAAAAGTTTGGTCCATACTTCAGTTGAATTTCATGCCTCGACTTGACATCATGGACCATAATGTTCAGAGTACAATGCGAGATCTTATATTGTATATTCTTGTTGTTAAATTGGTTCCATCAGCCACATGGCTGAGATACAAATACAACATTAGACTTTCATCATTTCAATATGTTTCGACTTCTTCCGGCAAATATGACCTTATTTTTACTCTGTGGAGCAGCAACATCTCCCATTAGGGCATAAAGCAATTGCCTTGCCTCCAGTCGTAATGACAGATATTATACTACCGATTTGCTTTCAGTTTAAATGAATCCCCCATATAATTGAGCCTTCCATCCGCCTGCTCATCCTGTTAATGATCACAACTATCGATAATCAAACAGTTTAACTGACAGAAGTCCAAAACGTAGTGAAACATGTGAAAAGCAGCGCGTGATCTCATGAGAGAGGACGGACATAAAAAAAAAAACATGCACCGAAACTACTTACTGTCATGTATTTGACATCCATCTCAGTCTTTCTCTCCAGTTCGGATATTATGTCCCTGTGGAACCTCTTGAACTGCAGGTGAGGAGGAGGAGGAGGAGGAGGAGGGGCCAGGGAGAGAAGAGGGGAAGAAGACACACCGGTGATTATAAACCTGATGGGGAGGATGAAGTGCAGCAGTTTATCAGCCTCGCTGTCTGCAGGCACGCAGGGAGAACGCGGCAGGTCTCAAAGAGAGAAGCGGCGAGCGGCGGTTTGGAGCGGATCCGTGCGAGCGCGCAGGGCGTGCAGGGGGGGTTGATGGGGGTTTAGAGCCCAGTCCGAGGTTGTGCTTCTGAATGAGTCAGAAACAAAAGGGTGGGAATGATGCCTGCAGACTCCTCTCCCTGTTCTCCCCGACGCTCGCCCATTAGCGAGAGGGTGTCAAAGTGCTCCCATCGCCACGGCCTTGATGTGGCGGCGCCCACGCGGGGCGGACCACAGAGTTGGAAAACACGATTAGCGAACGCACACGGAAGCCCCCCCCCCCGGAGACCTTGTCGCACACAACGCAGACAACCCGAATCCAAGCCTGTGAAAAGGTTTTTGTTCCATGGTTTTTTTTCATTTTCTCTGACCTGAATTGATGCTGTGACTCACCAGCTGGAGTCCATTAACAAGTCAACCCACTCAACGGGGCTCAGAGGCTTCCTTCAGCTTTTACCGCCCGCAACGTTCACATTTAACACCTTATTTTCATTATTAGTATTTTTGAGCCTTCATTAGCAAACCAAATGTTACCAAGTGATGTGGTTCCACGATGAGACTTCCGACAACAAGTTTTCAGTTTATTCGTCGGAGTCGTGTATGAAATGAAAATGTAAATGTTAGAGCTTATCCTATGTGACATTTTTGCAGCATTCTTCAAAGCTCTTCATCACAAACTGCTTTGAGTTCTTGAGAACTATAAAACTGGAAGCTCAAGGAACTTCGACGAGCCTCTGGCCTTCATTTCTATCATAACGCTGATTATTACACTTACTGAAACAAGAAGGAAAACAATCGGCGCACGCTAATGAAGCCGCCACGGATTGCAGCGGCTCCAGCCGGGGCTTTCCGGGAGCATGTTGAGGCCTGCCCCCTGTTCCCAGCGACAACAGGTGCTCCAACAACCCCAACCTGTTGTTTTCCTCACGCGACCTCTCTGTGTTACGCCCGTCACAGTGAATGTGGTCGGGAGAAGCAGTGAGATCACAGGAGGAGGAGGAGGACGACGGAGAAAGCTCCTGGATGACAAGTGGTGCTTAGTGAATTGAGGCCTTGCTTGCGGTTGTCTAAATGCACGGAGTGAGGGTTTCAGAGAGCGACGAGGAATGTGCGTTTGGGGTTGGGCACCACGGTTTGAATGTGTGCCAGCGCAAAAGACTCAAGTACTCACATTTTCTTCCAGCTCGAGATTGACCTTCCTGTGGACTTCTGAGATGTCCATGAGCACTACACCTGTCGCACAGACAGAAGAGGAGCACGATGAGGGGATATATATAATACACGTGTATATATTTATATGCACATCAGAAGATGGACAGGCTGGCAGTAATCTCATTGTTTGCTTTCTGAGCAGAAAAACACAATACATACAGACACAACACATGCAGACACAATACAAACTGTTTGGGATTCGAAGCATCGCTGGGAAATCGTGTCAACCAATCAAAATTCACCAGCTATGGATTTTGCTACAAAGGATTTCCATTGCTGAGACGAAAGTAAAATAAATACAGGACCAGAAAAGCTGGACCACCTACTGTTTGGCTAATGAAAAAGAGATCAGAGGGAAGGCAGCCACGAAACTCAACCTTCTGTCATTACATGTTAGCAGCAAAGGCAATCAAATCAGGATTATGTGGCGTTATGTGAAAGATTAGAATCACACGATGCCCCCGCTGCACTACACACCTTCGGCCATTATAAAAACACTAAAAACATAATTGAATACACACATTTGTTAGGAATAAATAACAAATACATAGATTACAAACTTTTTCCAAAAGCACTAATCATTTCCCATCAGTAAACACACGTGTCATCGCTGTAAGAACTCTAGTCTGAGCGAGACGCTCACGCCGGTGCACGTGTATGTGGTGTACGCATGCAGAGAGGGTCCTTGTCCAGCTGTTTCTTGTCATCCATCCATCCATCCATCCATCTTCAACCGCTTATCCGGGGTCGGGTCGCGGGGGCAACAGCTCCAGCAGGGGACCCCAAACTTCCCTTTCCCGGGCCACATCTACCAGCTCTGACTGGGGGATCCCAAGGCGTTCCCAGGCCAGTGCAGAGATATAATCTCTCCACCTAGTCCTGGGTCTTCCCCGGGGCCTCTGTTTCTTGTCATTCATTTCTCAAACATGCAAATGATGGAAAAAACAAATCCAGGCCATCGCTGCTTCACTCATGAAAATAAAACTTTTCCCAAATGCTTTTTGTTTGTGTACAGTGAGCAGGACCAAGAGAATTCTTCAGTAGCTAACAGCTGTGCACACGGCTGCCGATAGTGATGTAACCTTGAGCCATTTGCCAAAGCCACATTTCCCACGAACAAGCTAAATTGTGTACAAATAGAAAACCATGACCATCACAAGAGAAGTTGGCTTCGTGAATGGAGACTTTTGTCATCCACTATTTCCATATTTGCAGATGCTGTAGTCCTACATTGCACCGAATGTGAAAAGGAGTCACCCACTCAAAAGTCAAACATTTGTGAAGCTGTCCTTGAGCCTAGAATGTACTTCTTTTTCCTTCACGTTCAATGAATGATCTCATCAATGGAAAACCATATTTCCTTAATACCGCAGTGTGTCGTCACCAGCATGTAAACAGTGCCCTTCCCCACCACGCCCCTCCCCGCCTCGCCTTATGGCGGCCCGGCTCTTTCTCTCAGCGCAGTTCAAACAGCTCAGCAGATAACGGGTCCCCCGTAAATCTGCCCTTCGACGGAGCAAAAGGGCAGGAACCCGAGGGGGGGGGGCAGGCCAACTAGCCAAGACTAAACACCTGACCTCAGAGTTCCTTATCTTGCAACAAGGACAATGTAATCTCAACAGTGTCACTGGGTGTGGTATAGAGTCAAATACCTGACGGACTAGTTTATTTTCTGGATCCAAACGTTGTGAGTCACCCACATGTAAGAGTAACAAAATTGTTGCAAACGTGTCAATTTATAATGACACAAAGCTCCATTAACGTCACATGAATCGACAGCAGTTTCATCCCAGCTGCTCAGACTCATTTGTTTGTTGTTGTCACCGCCTCTGCAAAACGTTGCCGAGCAACAGGTGTTCTCGATCGGCGCAAGGCGTGAGGACAAAAGTGTGTCACCGTGTGGATCACACAGGCAGGCGATCCACCGCCATTAGCCAACACAACCGAGCCCAGGTAAACCCACAGCGCAGAAACGGGCTCAAACGTGTCTGTAGTCGTGGCTGGACCGATGGCTGCCGAAACCCCCCCACCCGCCCCCCACCCCGAAAACAAACAGAACATGGCGTCGTCGGACAATTCCGCAAGTTAAACGCTTCAAGTTGAACGCGTCGCCGCCCGGGTTTCTCGGGATGGGCGGGAGGGTACGCAAATGTGAAAAGGGGTTTATGGTGGTGAGAGCAGGCGGCGGCTACAACGGCTCCTCTGCTCGGCGAGCGATGTGGAAAACAACAGAACGGCTCCAGTCCTTTAATGCGGCGTGGCTCGTGGCCCTGAACACTGCTTAGTCCCACGTGCACACGGGACAAAGGGGAAAACGTGCTGTGTTTCGTTTGTTTGTTTCTTATTCTATGACAAACAAATGAATTGAAATCTCAATTTTTAGATCAAAATGTTCAAGAAATGATAATAAAGTAAAATAAAAAAACTGAACAGAACGGAACGAGTGCCAAATACAGAAAAAAGGGAAGAACCCCCCCTCGGCTTTAAGCTGATGTTGTAAACATTTTGCCGGTAGCATTCAAAGCGCCCCACAGTTCTTCCACAGTTTTTGACTGTGTGCAAAATAATTCTGGCATAGGAGAGAGGAGCCACCTGACGGGCCATGCAAACATGCTAGGATTATGTAAAGTGGGCCTGACGCCATTTGATTGGGCACGGGCCATCAGAAGATGGCGACCACGTTTGTGTGTGTATGTGTGTGTGTCCGTGTGTCTGTGAAGCGTCTGCAAAGCCTGTTTGGCTGTAAAAGGACGAGATTGGATGGGATTCAATTCCCTGTGGATAAGAAAACGCTGCAGAGACGCGGCGTCTCGCAGGCTGTTAAATACTCTCTAGGGTTTTGATGGCAACAGCTGTAGGTTCCTGAAAGGATCTAATTAGACCAACAACATATTTTAGGTTGCAGTTTAATTCACACTTAGTTTCACCTCCGATGCAAACATCCTGGTGCTTTTAGATCTCAGGTCTCGGTCCTGGTTTTACAGGAGAAAGAAAAAGGTGAGATGCCTGAGTGCTTGAATGACATTTGACCTCTGGCAGGGAAGGAGGGAGACTAAAGGAATTAGAGGAAGACGGCAGGAGGACAAGGTACACCGGCCCTCCGATGCCTCTCAAGGGTATCTGGTTTCTGGTTGGCTGCGCGTCACCGGAGCTCAGGTTTCTGCCGGGAATCACTTCTCCACACCCCCAAAGGTCCCGATGGGACAGAGACGTTTTCATTCTTTGGGAAACTCCAGAGATTATGCTTCCTTATAATTCATTTGTATTGTGCATTAAAAGCTCCCGTCATTAGTTTGTATGTGATCACGCCCTGCGCTACATAATCCCCCATAATGACTCGGACCGAACTGATGTGCCACGATGTGTCTCTAACTAATAAGGGGATTAGTGCGTGCTGAGTGCGACTTCACCGAACATTAAAAGGGTTTTGTGAAGCTAATGGCGTGTTGTTCTTTTCTAATTTTCTAAATAAGGGGAATTCATTTGCGTTTTTTTAATCTTAAAAAAGAAGACTGACATGGACGCAGTGCGTGTTCATGTTTCCGTCACCTCATCTTCACTCAAAGCAAAATCCAAGAGGCCACAGGTTTACAGTAAACTGCACTTAAAAAAAAGCCTTCTTACGAGGGATGTTTGCATACATGCCGACACTCAATACAAAGGAGCTTTCATTCAGCAATTTGGGTATTTGGGGATGAAAATTCAGCAGTGTCAAATCTCTGTCATCATCAAAACAGATACACGTTCACACCTCTGTGTTTCTGCCGCGTCGTTTTGGTTCACGTAAAGAGAACGTTATTTCTTTCCGCAACGGGAAATCATAAACTATAACTGATTAACCAACCAAAATCAACATTTAGACTTCCGAGGATAATCAACCACCTGTAGATTTATACAAACTCAATGTTTCAACCACGGTTGAAAGTAAATGTCTCAACCTGTCCTGTCACTTCTCAAATGTCTATATTGTTACAGACACTCAAGTCTTTGTTTGCAGAAACAATGATCAAATGGAGGAAAGGAAAGCCGAGATTATCACACAATAAATTTAAAAAAATAGAATCAGGAATCTGAATCTTTTGCCGCAAGCATGAAATAAATCTGACCAGTCACATTTCTTGACTAATTACCTCCCTCAAGACTGCGCTACAGTTTAATGTTTGTTTTCTTCGCTTTAGGTTTGCCAGGATATGGACACCAGAAGGACACCAGGTGGCTCTTCCCATTGCGCTGCTGAATTTAATTAGCACTGTGGCTGCTAATCAGCAGGGGAGCAGAGAGACGCACCGTGGTTATGTCAAAGCGTGCCACTAGTGACAGCCGGGTAGGAGCCCAGACGTCTTTGGGCCACGATTGAGCTCGCGGGGAACTGACGCCCGGGGAGTTGGCGAGAAAAGAACACATGCTACGCTACAGCGCATTAAGCTCATTGCATGCACTATTGATCCTAAGTGGTGTGTGTGTGTGTGGGGGGGGGGGTCACTATGCTGTGCATCAGATCACGGTTTCGTTACGAGGCTCCGCTGTGAGATCCTCACGCAGATTCCTCGTCGTCTACGCGGAAAGGAAAAGGTTTCCAAGTTTGGCTATCAGAAATTTGCATATCTGCGCGATCAGCTGAAGCTGGCGACGTTGTAAAACAATGACTGGCTGTACTTATATTCACTTGTGTTATCTTGCGTTTATTACGGCTTACCTCATTGATTTGTCAGTTTCTATTGAGTGTGAGGCAGTGCTATTAAAAAGGAAAACACTAACATTGTTTATAGCTGCATTTTTACAAAGGGTGGAATAGAGAACTGAGCAGGAACTACTTCGACCCTCAGTGGATGTAGAGATGCAGAGGACTGGGCCATATATATATATATATATATATAGATAAAACTTACCTAATTCTCTGGAGACGGGGGACACTGCAGCATTCTCCCCGATCTTAGACATTGCATCGAAATACGACTTTCCCGCCAGGATCATCGCTGAGGAAACGATAAAACGGCCGTTTAAATGTCACATTGCACGTTGAGAAGCACTTAACAACAACCTGAATATTCTCTATAAAAACGATACCTCATCCACCTTCTAGTTAAAAAGCATCTTGTTTATCCAAATGAAATGTGAGTGTATATTTGTGTGGACACTCGCTCACCAGCCACTGATTTCTCGTAGTTCTTTCCCAGGTTGACCAGGTTCCGGAGTCCCGGGTTGAACTGGTCCATCACGCTCTGGGTGGGTTGAGACACAAGAACAGACACCGTTAGTCATTCAAGGTTTTAATTGAACTAAAACGCTGCTGACTCAACAGGTGGGTGACGTCAGACGTGACAAAAGCTAGTGAGTAACCAAATAATCACCCTCACGTTGAAGCCTGTTGCTTATTCCTTAAGTGGCTATGACCTATGACCTTTAAGACATAAGGCAGTTACTGCATGGAAAATGAAACAGGTGACAGCCCTTCAAAATATAAAAGAATGAGGAAGAGTGTAAGAGTGGCAATGAGCGGAAACAAAACCGCGGAGACGTTAGAAGAAGAGAAGACACTTCAACAAAGCAGTTGCTTTAACTATTAACTATTGTCAGTAATCGCCTCTTATATGTATCTCTGGACTTATTTAGCTCTTCTTTCGCCCGGTTATACATCACAATGATGTCTTCGCTCGGGTTCACACCCAAGAGCAGGATCCAGGAAACGATTAAAGACACCCGTGGCAAACAGTGTCCCCCCCCCCACCGATCCGCAGCTCAGGCCTTTGTCAATAAGTATCACATTTATTTCAGTACACACACACACAAATATTTCATCCAGACAATGTTCCACTAACTTGCTGCACCTTTTAAAGTAAACACGCCGTGGACGGCGGCAGCGCGCTGCAGGTGACGGCTCGCTGTATAATCTTACCACGTATCTCACTCGGCTAAATTATTAAACCTGGAGTCTTTTTCCCTGCATTTCATCACACCAAGGAGCAGCGAGGGGTCGTCCTGAGAGGAGGCCAGAAGCTACGCAGGAGGCTAAATGCCTTTTAGGAAGAAAAACTTGTCTACATGGGTAATACCACCAACCCATCCCAGTTACTTTGACACCTGTGGAGTGTGCGGCGTAATAAGTTAAAGCTCAAGGTGGAAATGTGAACTGTTGGGTTGAATTAGTCATTTTTCTATGTGAATGGTTCAGGGAACTCTATGATCTTTGTTAAAAATAAAAGTTTAGAGTTGAATTCTTTGGGTAGAAACACAGTTTTACAGATCGGTCGATTAAATCTACATCTTTGGCTCACATCGGATACTTTTTAATTCACTGGTCAGGTTTCTCTTTCAACTCTAATGGAACCACGTAGCAACTGACAATTGATTATGTTTCAGGAGACATTTCCCCAACAGAGAATCCAACAGCTCAAAGCAAGTAAAAGCAAAAAGTAAAAGCAATTTCAAATCAGCCACTGATATTTAAAAACAAAACAAAAAAAGTTAACGGGTGAAGGCACCCAGAGGAACACTTCACATGGCACCCCAAGGGTGGACCTATTTTCTTTAAAAAACACCAGACATCAAATGAAGGTATATATATATATATATATATATATATATATATATATATATATATATATATGAGAGAGAGAGAGAGAGAGAGAGAGAGAGAGAGAGAAAGCGAGAGAGAAAGTAAACAGATTCCAGCTGGGCGTTTGGCTCCACTCATACTTTTCCTAGTGAACAGTTTAATATCTAAGCAGATGTTTGAAACCCCTCCAGCCGGTAAAAGTTGAGCCACGGCCGAGGTCGGTGTTCTAGTGGTGGACACATGCAATTTGGGTTTTTCTCCCGTGTTGTTCTCACACCTGTACCCACCTTGTATGTGCTCTCCGTGAGCTTGGTCACCTCCTCCACGTTCCGCGACATCTCGTCCTTCAGAGACCTTCCACTACACCCGACAAATAAACGAAATAACAAAACTAAACGCGTCCGAACTCCCCTCTTCCTCCTCCTCTTCCTCCCGAAACCAAAAAAAAGGAAAAAGAAAATCCAACAGGGGGGAAAAGTGACCAAACCTCACGGACACATGAAACTCCTTTATGTCCAGCGGGAGACGCGACGCGCACACATGACCAAACGCGAGACGACACCGGCTGAGAGGGACACACCGCGGGGACACGTCCGGGGGAGGACAGCCGGCTGCTGGAAGGGGCTGAGCTGTCAAACTTGTTGTAGGAGGTGAGTTTGGAGGAGGTTGGGCAGGCCTGTGGAGATGGGGAGGTAGAAGGTGGGCGGTCAAGCCCGAGAGGAGCACGCGAACTCCGGCTGGGTTCCGGTTGGTCGCCTTCAAATTAAATCCGTTGTCGCAACATTTCCGTTGGTGGAAGAAGTATTTAAATCGTTAACTTCATTATCTTAAGGAGTGTTGATAACACGGTAGAGGTATATTAATATACTAAATTATAAGATGCCGCCCTGCATTAAAATGTCACATTATTAAACGTACAACATGATGATCTGCCAATCACTTAAGTAGTCAAATACATATAGTAAAACAATATTTGCTTCTGGAGGTTACTCTAGAATAAGTATATTCTACTCATTTTATTACATGTATCATTGTCATTTATCATTTACAACCCTCGTCTGGATTCACCTCTAGTGATTCCACAGAATGTCTTTTTTTAACGCTTTTATTCTGAAGGTCCTCTGCCAGTATCGATCTGTATATTTCTGTCAGACTTTCTGTTGGCAGGTAGAAAAGGTGGGAAGTGAACTAAATACTGGAGACGGGCGCTCCCTGGAGGCAACTAATCCACAACACAATGAAAACGCTCATCACAATCGACTGCTGGACACACCCTCGTTTGGGATCAAAGGTCCGGTTACATTTACATCATTTATTTAAGAAGCTGTAACATTTGGCTCTAATTGACATGAGCAACTTCTTTTTAAAGTGTTTTCTATTTACCCACTCATTTCCGGTTTAACTTCATGGAGTGTGCATGTGTCACCAACAACATCCTTAAGGAAATATAGACTACTTAAATACATTAAACCTCGCAGTGAAATGTTGGAAAATATCAACAACGCTGCTTCGGATCTCCATTTTTTTCTGTCAAAAAGTATCATTGCTAATATAGTCGAAATAACAGGCGAGGGCTCCTAGTTTGAAGCATCAAACATTCAATGCTGTTGAGGAGGGTCCATGTTTCACCACTAGAGGCCCCTCGCGGGCAGCTCATTTTCTCTCCTGTTTCACAACCAAAAAAAACATAAAATGTATCTACGTGGCGTGTAACGTTATTGTTTATAATGCTCTGTGTTTGTTATGATTTCTTTCTTTTTCTCCATCTTTCTTTTTATATTCTATGACACGGTGACGTAATCAATACCGATACATTACCAACTCTGACTGACTTTTTCTGCCTCTTTTTGGACGGCAAACAAATCAAACAAAGCAGCGGCAAATATCACCAGTGTCAACCGCGAGAGCAAATATGCAGGGCCTTTGCTTTGCAAATGTCATTTGATGACTGTACAACTGTGTGAAAGCTCCCGGTAGCCAGGAGAGCTGCAAGAGGAGCTGAATGTAAAATGAGATTCTGCCCTCGGGCTCTGAACACAAACCACTGCTTTCGACACTCAAAAATGCTGTACGGAAGTGCCACATACGACTTAATTAGTCTCCACAGCCACTGTTTCATGCTTCTCTCGCCCTCTCTCTCTCTTTTTGCAGTATCTCCTGCATGACGGCGTAGCTGACAACCTCCCACTGAGTTATTTTCCCGCAGGCATAAATCAATACTTTTGGAACATTACACTAAATAAATCAGCGCTAGGGTTAAATTCTGATGGGCTGAAAAGTTACCGAGGGCTTTCACTAACTTGCATGTGCTCATCGACGAATATTCTTCGGTTTTTGAGCACAGGGTGTAAATCTAAAAAGAATTGAGGGAGACTTGGCTCCTCAGCTTGTTCAACCCCGTTCAGAGGATCCACCTCGACCAAGGGCGAACGACCGCATCCATTTTCAATAACTGCACAGTTAAGTGCGGACTTTTGCTCCATCAGCGAGTTGACCAATGTCAGACATTCATACCACTTCTCAAACTCTCCACTCCGATGACGAAATCAATGTTATCAGCACGAGCCTGAGAGAAAAGAACGCAAAAGAAATGGAAGCATTGCACAGTGTACCTTTGAATAAAACAATTGTGTAAAAAAAAACCCACACACAAGGTCTTTCGGCACCGGAGCAGTGAAATTAAAGGATATTGGACAACGTATCTGTAGTAGTTCTGCATGTACTCTACTTGTTGCCCGTCCTGTCCAAGCTCTTTGTGACCTCGCGTTTATTGTCTCCGCTGTCCTCCGAAGGACAGCCTCCCATCCGCTGTGATGGAACAGCTAAGTGCAGTAAGGGATTCAAAAGACGGCCTTCTTTGTGGTGCGCCAGCAAGGCCGCCTCTTCTCCAGGCTCGCCATTTCTTCCCCTCGCAGAGCAGCGGACAATGGAATAGGGTAAGAATTCGCCTTTCTACTTGAAGATGTACTTTCACACGCTTTGCTTTTGCAGTCCTCATCCAAGGGACTCTGTCAGAAGTAAGCAGAGGAAAGCACGGAAATATTAATACGGCCTCCGAAACTCTTCATTTGTTTGAAGGCATTCATGCTGTTCAAATATACAGGTACAGACTAAAACTAAGGAAAATCCTACCTGAGTTGCAACACTGGAGCTCATTAATTTCAATATGCATCAATCTAGAATAACTCTTTTGGGCAAAAGTGAAGCCCTCCAGACAAACGACAGATTCCTTTTCACACCGTTGCGTTGTTTGCATGTAACAGCTCGACCATGGAGGCTAAAAATAAAACCCAAGAGGCTTAAATCTGTAGTTCTGAAACAACTGTGTTGTGCATTTAGCAGAACGACACGTATCCCGACGCCTTAGTGACACCCCAGCTACTTCCATCACACGAGCCTTTGTGTTTGCCGTCTGCAGCGCTCATGTGGGGAATCATCCGTACACACCGGGTGCTGAGCTCTGACAGGCTCACCGTGACGGGTGAAGAAATCCGAGCCATCTTTTGGGGTCGCACCGCACCAAATAATTCCCAGGACATTTCCGGAGTCGAGGCAGACATGCATGTCTAAAATAAAACCTGGATGGATGATGATGCTTGAGCAGGCTGGATGAACTTGAGTAAAGGGGGGGGGGGGGGGGGGACTATACCCATATCATGTAGGGAAATAGATTTTTTACTGGAATAGGTTTTGGAGGTCCAATGTTATTTTGCTCTGATTTCAAACTTATTTTATCAAGAACAATCAATCATTCTTATTCTCATGAGGAGAAACCTCAAATTCCCTAAACCACCGTGTCATCGGCCCAGCTATTCTTCAACAATATATTGAAAAAAGGCTGGAGCTGATGCAGAGATACATAATAAGCAACACTGTTTTTGCCATTTTCATTTTTCCTTCAATTCTTCCTTTTTCCTTTCATGTCCAACAGCTTCCTTTTTTCCAAAGTGGAATACAAGTTTAATAACTAAACATTCTCAGGCTGGAGAGTCAAGTCTGTGTTGACCTTGTCAAGGGCTAAAATAAATTAGGATAGTACCTCCAGTGTATCTCCCACATCCCCAGCGCACACACACACACACACACACAGCAATAAACGGGCCCGGGCATGCGCCGGTTTGCAAGGGTTTGATCTCGGTGATATTGCAGTGTGTGAAAATGTAATAACACAGTCCATGTCTGCCTCACCCGACTGCATCCGCCGTGTCGGGGAGGGGGAGACTAAAGTCCCCTGTCACGCGCGGGCTCGCCATGCTTCAACCGACATGAAACCTTTACAAACAGGAAACAGGCCGGTCTGGGAGCAGGGCAGCTTGCGCATGTGACTGTCTGAATGTCACGGAGAAAAGGCTCTCGTTAGGGATGAGCGATATTTAGCAGAGAGGCCAGACAGTCGTGATTGATGCAGCCCCGTTTCTCCCCGCCTGCTGACCTGCGTTTGTGGCAACCTTCTGGGGCTAATCGGTGTGTTCTTTAAAATGCCACACAAATTAACTTTGAGGAGAGAAGTGGAGCAACTAATACTGCCTGCGGCCTGGTGCAGGGTACGTATTCACATCTAATCGTGCATATAGTTACTCTTTGGAAACTCACCTCCGTGCCCGGGGGGCAGCAGGCGTTTACGTTGATCACATAATTGTGTTTACGCAGAGTTCCTTTTGGAATCCAGACATTTCTTGATCACACCAAAGTCACATTTAGAAGCTACAAAAGCTTGTAATGCTGCATTGAGAAACATCGCCCGCAAATCTTGTCTGAAGGAGACAAGAGCTGCCATTTCTTTGCTGCAAAGCTCTGCGCTCGGGGACCTTAACTGAGAGCTTTTGAAGGCTCGTTGCACACAAATACGCACACGTGCATATACGCTAATGGCTATCTCTGTCATCCATATGGCTACGCTAAATACTCAAGGCTGGGATGATTAACACCTTTCCGATCCCTCCGAATCTACGCCTTGCCATCTAAATCTGCTTTATGACAGACATGCGAAGCGTTGTGTAACATCTAATTTAATACATCAAATGTGAAATGGTTCACGTGGGAATACGAGACAGTTTCCACAGCAGGCTCTTTGCCGCTCATGTGTGAACATGCCGACGGGGCATTATTGTGCTTGTGTCACGTAACGGCATCGCTCAAGTAGAGATGAAGTCCTGCGTGTCCCGGAGAGGTGTGACCTGCGCTGCTCCGGCCACCGCCGACCATCGTCTCTAATTCAGAGCTCAGCAGCTTCACCACAGACGGACAGAGTGAAGCGTCAGGGAGAGATTGAGGTTGAAGGTGTGTTCGTGTGCATCGTGCCTGTGTATTTTTCTACAGCGGATTAAACATGGACGTGTAACTCACCTTTGAGAGGCTGCATATTTACGCCGCGCCCCTCCAGCCGTTTAAGCATCATACCATGTGGCTCACAAATCCCACAAGAGGATACGACAGATGTCAGGATTTGCAACACAAATATAATTTTGGGAAAACCGGTGGCTGGAGAAAAAAAAGGCCTTTTAAGCAACAGATGCACACTTGGAAATTGAAAGCAGAGTGGCCATCTTGGCTGCGTCGGACCCAAAATACGGCTTCCAGAACAACTTTTAATGCAAACGTCTTAAGTCCATAAACCACATGTCCGTACTCACTTCCAGCTGGATTACATCCGGAGCTGAGGATGCAATTAGTGAGAAAAAGAATGGCTTCTGTTGATAATAGCCTCCATGAAGAATGACCGGTCTTATGCAAGCCTGCCATCAATTATGCAAAATGTTCTGTTGATGCGAACAACCTTGAAACTCTTAGGCACAATGAGTCAGTCTTGCCACGATCAGTCATGGACACTGTAACTCAGGTGAACGACAGACTCCTGCCCCTGAATCGCCACCTCCACCGCCTCTCTAACAGAATGTATTACTGCTTGATTATTTAACACTTGTGTCTGCTACTCACGACTCATCGTCTACAAGAATTATTTAAAATGAAGAAGGACAGAAAGATAATCAAATGGCGCAGCGTTTGGTGCAGAGAAATCTACTTATCTGTTCATCTGCGTCAGGCTCAAAGTTGAGTTTGAACAAATGAAGACCCCTCAGTGACTTATCTGCGTGCCTCGGGTACTTTATTGAAATCATTGAAGTATTTCCTGGGGTGTAATTCCCCAGGTACTGTTGTTGGTACTATTCCCCCAAAGCCCCGTCACATCTGTAAACGCACCTGCTGAATCCGCACCCGGCATCCTCTAAGCCAAAGGGAGTCTGCAGGAGGAACATATGGGTGGCGTGATGAGGCTGACCTTGGCGGGGGAGGCTGTTCCTCCGCTGCCTCGCTCTCATCGTGTAACAACCATTCCTCATCACATCACTCTCACACGCACAGATGCTTATTTTCTTTTCACGCTCTGTTGTTCTCCCGATCCAGTCGAAATAAGCAGTGTTTTTTGAAGACGTGTGCACTGAAACTTGATATGCTTCCCCCATCTGTCGTGGTCCCGGAGCCTCTTTCCTGAGTAATAAACTAGATTTAGTCGCTTGATCCCAAACAGGATGCACAGGCTTACTTCCAGCCAGCGGAGACGGGAAGTTCATATTCATAAATACTACGCAGCTCTATAAATAGAGCCTGCATGGATTATATTATATTTCCACAAATAAAAGGTTTTATGTCCCTAGATCCCTCTTCCTGCTGAAAGTCACATGACTGACTAATGTCTGCAAAGAGCACCGGGTTAAGTCACACCAGCAGTAGTGTGCTCGATGCGCGGCAGGGTGGGTCCATCTCCTGGGTGGGAAACATTGGCTGGTGGTGACTTTGTTAGATAATACACTTACCCACGGCACCTCTGGGGGAAGGCGAGCTGTAGACATCTGATTAGATTCCACAGAGATAAAAGGATCATGAGGAGTCACATGTCTGGTTTATTACTGGGTGACTTTGAGAGTCCGTGCGGTGAGAGTCGTGGCTTTCCGTGTTTCCGCTGATTTGTGCGTCGCGCGTTCTTTTGGGTGAGTTTCGCTTTTTTCTCACCTGCTCAACTCGGGTCATGTCTTGTTGTTCATTTTTAAACAAACAACAAAGAAAATGAGGAACAACTGATTCTCACAGCTGTTTCTTTTGGGTTTAAAGTCAGAGTATTGAGTTGGATACTTTGTTTAAAGTCCAAAGTGTAATGATTACTCTGCATTTAATGGAAACCCTAGTGATTTGCTTGAGTTTGCTCACTTGCTACCAGGTTATTGTAGGGAAAGCAGTATTTCTCTTCTCACCTTATTATTGGTATGAATAATTTTCCCAAAAAGAGAAATCCTGAAGAACTTTCATGACCTTGAAACGTTTTACCAGTCAACGTCTTCATTTGTTGCAGTGGAACACATGTTTTTGGAGCGATGCACGATGAAGAGGTCTGGAGCTGCAGAGCTTCCCTGCTTGTTGAAAGACAGACAGGTCTGTGTTGAATCTGCATTCCGTACAGGAGCTGAAGAGATGTACGCTCTCATCCTTGCAGACGTAAAATTACAGCCCCACTTTCAGATTCATTAAAGATTCTCAAGCGGAAATCCCTTAGATATTGTTGTAAATGTGAACGATCTCGGTTGGAACAAACACACTTTGTAATCTGTCCATGAAGAACCGTTGGATTTAACATCTTCTGCTATACTCGGTGATACTGCGTGTTGTTTAACATAATAAAGATGAATCGATTTCTGTTTCTAGCCATAGGCTGGTCGATTTTATGAGAGGGGGCCGTTGCAAACATACAGCAAGTTTTCTTTTATTGCTGATCAATTTGTTCCCTCGTCATCTCTGCCTTTTTAATCTCAGCCCCTTAAAACAACGTTTACGCTCCTCTATTAAGTTAGGCGGAGTAGGGAGGTTGAACTTGAGATGAAATGCGCTCCATGAAACCGTACTGATATGTATATTTAGGGAACATATTCTCCTGTGTAACCAACAGAAAAGTGAGGGTCCTTGTTAGTCTGATTTAAAAATGGCTGCCGGGGCAAAATCCAATATGGCAGCAGAATATAACATTTATCATGCCTCATTTTGTAAAGGCAGTGATGGGGGCTTGAGAGGGTTTGGGTTTCTCACTGAGAGTCTGTCACATCCAAGAAAACAGCAGTTCTCAAATGCCTCGGAGAGCTTCGCCGTCTGCACAAGCTTTTTCTTTCATCAGGCTTTAATTACCGAGCCAAAGACTCAATCCTGAAACTTGTTTTTCTCACAGTTCTTAACCGCGCTCCACGTCTTTGGGGCTCCATGGGGATTCCGTGTGAGAGAGAGAGGGTGCTAGGAGCAGAATGGCACTTTAATTCTACCCGTCCTCCCCCCACCCGCCGCAGATCAGCACACGTATCCAAAGGCGGTGAAATTGTGATTCGATTTTAATTATACGATCTTCACACACTTTTAAAACGACCTCGGGCGATGATGCAAAAGTCAGATAATCTCAATGACAAAGGGGGAGACCAGCATGCGGACGAGATCGGGCTAAATAATTATTCACGGCCGCTCTATTCCAGTCATGTGTAAAGAAGCAAAGATGGCCACTAAATTGGTAATTTGTTTTTAGTGATGTACTGTTATCATTACATCTCCAGCAGCTGCTGAGATCATTTCTCCCTCAAGGATTTCCCTCTTCAAACTGCGCCGTACTGGGAGAAAAACTCAATTACCTGAACAAATCTACTCTCCCCGATTTACTAACAAAGTGTTGCGTTTCAGTCACACATACGCTGACACGTGTTGTTTATCCCGGTTTGTTCACACCACCTTCATATACAAAGATGGTATCTGTAACACTGAACGAGGATGCTTTCCAGCTCAACCCGCCTCTCACCTCGGCTTCATTAAGTTCCATGCATCACCTCCCGAAATATTACTGGGCCGATGCACAATATTTAACAAACCTGACTGGGGAGGAATGCAAAATGAATGCAAAAGGGTTTCACTTTGTCATGAACCCCATCGCATTACTTCAGCCAGTTGCCACGAGACGACACGGACCCTCCTCCTCCTCCACACCTCCTCTTTTCCTGCATTGACAGCATGGCGGAAAAATTCAAGATATAAACAGACGACTGAAACACAGAACTATTGTTTGGCTCCGGTACTTGCAGCCACTTTGCCTCACAGCAACAAAAATAGGAAATTCCTGAATAGTTTGTGTCACATGTATCCTTTTAATTGTTTTCTTGCATTTTGCATTCTTGGACCACATAGCGTTTTACAAATGAACCCACTAAATATGTGTTCAGCAGTCTTTTGTTTTGAACAATACACAAAAAATGCTTCTTAAACTCAAGTTGAATTTTGCTTAACATGTGGGATCATCGTGATGTGCAGTGATGATCACGGCAGCAACGCATTTAAAATCAGAAGTAGAGAATTGTTGGAATAACTGCAATAATGTCAGTGGTGCTTCAAGAGAGTCTGTAGTCGCTGTTACAACGAAACACGTGTACGTCACGTCAGCTGATAGGCTAAAAGTTTGTCAGCAGGGTCCAGATAAACTCGTGGGGTAAAACGTATGTCCTGAGGTGCACAACATGATCGCTTTCATCCAAGATCGATGACCAGCACTGTTGCCCAGAGGCTCCTATTCTAGTATATTTATCTCCAGTTAAAAGTCCCAGTGTGCCGGAGAAGATGACTTTTGAAAAGCTTTGATGAACAGCCTGTGAATGTCAACTCTGTCTCTTAACTTGCAAGTATTGCTAAACAAATGACCTGTTTAATGATTTAACACCAATTATTTTAACAAGAAAAAACATCACAGAGAAAAGTCAAAATCTTTGCTGGCTGCCGGCGGCCAGAGATTGTTAAAAAAAAAAAAAAAGCGGCCCCCCTGGTGGGTCACCACCAACACGCTGGCAGCAACATGGACACAAAGCGTCGAGGAGAATGAAGAAGGCTCACAGTGTCCTACATTGTAGCAGCACCCATAATCCACAGGGGCAGATTATTTCATTTCCACCTGGACGACTGCCAGTCCAGAAGATTTGTCCACTGACAACATGACATTGCCCAGATGAGAGGACGTATCCTCGCATGTTTACTGTGGATGGTCATACAAATATTATGACTATTCCAAACAGACAAAAAAAAACCCACATCTGTCTGAATAAGGGGGGACCAGAAACGTAAAAAAAAGACTAGTTTATTTATCACAAATGCCGCGTGACTTTGGCGTCACTAAATCAGTGATATATATTTATTAAGCAAACATGCTTTCTGCAGATTCCCTCTGATTTTCTGTCATGTTTTTGAGTTGCTGCTTCAATTGCCACACCTGGATTCGTTTCACTGTTTTATTGGGTACAAAAGGACGTTCAACCCAGACATCAGAAAGGTGCGAAACTTGAATGGATACTGCACACCAAGATGAACTTAAAACAATGATATACACAATTATTCTTTTCTTGTGTCCATTTACTGAGCTGCCACTGAGCTAATGCTAAAAAAAAAAAAATGTTGGAATAAGCGAAAGCACATACGGTTCGAACAAAAAGGCCATTCACCACACAAACAAAACGTTTCTACGAGTACTGCATTCTTTTGTTTCTTTATCTAACGTACTGTGCTGCTAATGGACAAAAATCATGAGCAGAAAAAGCTACAAAATACACTTTCTATGAGACGGACGTCTTTTGATTTTACATTGAAACATTGTTAACAAACAATCGCATTGTGTTGCCGACGTATCCAACGAGTGCACACTCCCTTTTTTACGACATTCTGTGCTGTCCAGTTACCGACTCCTCATATATTTTTTCAGGTGGATGGAAGCTGTTTAATAGTCTTTATGCAAGTGTCTACTTAGTGAATAAATCCACCAAGAAAGAAAATGTGAGACTCTGTTGCCTCTTTCACATTGTCTCCTTGTGAGGCTTAAGCACAAGGCGTGATAATATTTTACTGACAAACAGTGAAAATGAAACAAATGTCCACCACAACATTCAGGACAAAGCTTCAAAAAGGATCAATTATGTTCACCGGAGCTGTGCCAAATTCCATTCATTTCCCCTCTTCTTTTAAAAATAAACCATACGCATGGACCCAAATTATTCTCCTCGCTGAGTGAGAGCTGATCATGACCTCCATACCGTCCTCAGAGGGCTGCTCTCGTTCGCCATCGCCAATTCTAGATTTTAGCCGTCTTCCTTTTTGGCTCATTTAGCGACTACTCCCCCCCCCCCCGTACTCATTCAAGAACACAATTACTACCCAGATGAGGAATTAAGGATTGTCCTAGCGGGTCAAGCCCCAGTCCCTGCCCTCACTGGGCACGTGGAGAGGCTGCACAACTCTGTCCACACGTCAGTCCAACCTGAGCAGAGCCGGCGCGTCCATAAAGCTGTTGGGGACGTGGCAGCTGCTCAAGGGGCAGAGAGGTATTAAGCATAGATTTACAAGAATAAAAATGTCCTCCCTCCCTCCCTTGTAATCTCTGGTCTTTTTACACGCAAGACAAGCCATATGCCCATGAACACACACACACACACACAGAGTCTTGCGTAATGGTGTCAGCACGCTGCATTGGCTTGTTTTGGATGGACCACGCACACCGTTTATTGACAGAAAGCATGCGCTGAGAGCTTTTGTCATTTTTGAAAGTAATCAACGGTGAAGGTTGTTCCACTTTGAACTCGTGAGCATCCACCTTATTTCCCCGCGGTTTCTCCGGTTCGGCGCGTCATTTCTGTCTTCCATCAGAGCGGGAGGCTCACAGCTCGCAGCATATAGTCCATCACGTAACTCAGGAATACTGTTCCACATCACATCAAAGCCTGTTTGAGCCTAACATTCAGCACGAATACAGCGCTGCATTGTCAGAATAAGAAATGCAACCAAAAAGAGCTTCTTTTTTTTGTTTTTTAAAGAGGAGTCAAATGAAAGCTGATCTACTGAAGGGAAAGCACAGAATGACAGAAAGTCACATCATTACAGCAGACTGATGCAACAGCATATCTTCTTCTGAGGAGCACATCAATTTAAATTGTCTTCAAGGCTCAAATTCAATGGACCATATAAACATGTAAAAGTGTTGCACTGGAACCCTTTCCTTTGGGATTTGACTGCAGCCACAAACGGTCCGATTACATGGCCTCTCGATTACCACGGCGATGATGAACTTCCTCACATCACCTCCTTTAGGAATCGAAAGCGCGATCCTCACAGATCTCCAGGGCGGCTTTACTCGCACCACCAAACACTTCCACGTTCACGTCAATCCAAGGAACCACGTTGCCCGGCATGTAGGCGGAGCAGTTGGCCAGACCCACGATGTCCACTGGCCGCAGTACCCGGTCCCACATGTTGAACTGGCTCAGCTCGCCCACAAAGGCCTGCGTGGCGTCAAAGCGGCCTCCAACTATGTCCTTCAGGGAGAAACAGGAGATGAGAGTTGTTGACTTCACTTCTGCAGGAAATGCAATCAAACTTTAATTCCAATGCATGAATTCTGTTTGATTTCCATCGAAATAAGAGCCTGAATATCTTTTTTTGTCCTGCCACTTTTAAATATCCAAGTGTTGTGCAGTGTCCAATACCGTGCAAGATGCAGCACTGTATGTAAATGTGCTTGGACTCCAACGTAATGCAATATGACTCTTTGAGAATATCATTTCGTTAACTGCTGAAACAACTCGCTACTTCAGCTTCAAAGGGCGTAAAGGTGCTTTCATCTAGAAGTAGATGAATGAGGTCATTGTGAAAGGGCAACGATAGCGTGAGAAGAGCCATCTCCCCCTTGCTTCCTGCCTCCGGCATTGAACTCAGGGGAGAACACAGCCAGGGATCTGACTGACACCAGGAGACACCCTCACGCACGCACACTTGCTCATTACCGGCTGAGCTTCCTTCGTGCCCTCACCTGCTCCTGCCCCAGGATGATCACCCCTCCGGGTTTAATTGGGTGCCAGGGGGCCAGGTTGTCCCCGGTGCCTTGACGCTCGCCATCCTGGTAAGCCTCCCAGAAACCGTCCCTGGTGGTCCAGGTGATGCAGATGTGGTGCCAGCGTCCGTCGCTCACTGACAGAGGGAGCTGGGCCACCTGGTCAGGAGTTCAGAGGTGGAAGGAGCAGGAAGGGGGAGCAAGAGGAGTCGAGAGAGATTTTTAGATTAATTGGAGGCACGCTGGAAACAAGGAGAGCAATTAGAAGGGTTAGCGCTTTAAAGAGAAAGCCCTCTGCAGAGAATTCTCCAGATGAGTCGGTGCGACGCGTCCAATTTAGATTACCCAGGTGACATCAAGGGATTGAACAACCTTCAAAGCAGTTAGGTTGCTAACAGCAAAACAGTGTCCTCTTATGCTCTTGCGCTTTGTTCAGAGATCAAAGAACAACAACTGGATATTTTACCCGATGACATCATAGTCCTCTGAGGATACAGCACATGGGATTATGACGGTGTAACTCATTAGCCTTTTCTTTATGAGCCTACAGTATAAAATCACACTCGCGTCTTGTTAAAAATAAACCTAGAACGATGGCAAGAGCCAGAGGAAACAATGTCCAGGCCACGTGAAATCACACAGGCGATTGTCCTGGTTAAGGTTGCCGGGTGGCATCCTAACCGCACCGGGACTACAGGGAACACAGTGACATCACAGAGTCTGCTTCACTGACTGTTTCAACATGTGAATGAAAAATACACGTGTTGAATATTCCTCACAACTTAAAACATGGCACCAGTGATCTTTTATACAGGAACAGATTATTAATAAAACACTATATTCACAGGGTAAACACTATGAATACATGCCTCACTCTTGTTTACCTAAAAGATTACAATTAATCTCATTCTCAAAAAAAAAAAGTTTTACAGCAAATAGTAGAAATTATTATTTTCCCAATGGCCCTTTTAGAATTACACATTAGATTTAGTCATAGTAGGAAATCTGACACCTAAACTGATATCTGAATGTGATGTAAGTGTTATGTACAGCTATGCTTTTCCTGCTGTAAAATGTCAAAATGTCTGTCTGTGAAAAGGCCCATGATGTATTTTACTCCTCGTTCAAAGGACATTTTCTTCTCCGGGTCTCCAAAAGACTAGATAAGATAAGGTTCAGCAGATAAAATGTTAAAAGAAGGTCATAAACGTGTCTACTACAGTCTAAAAAATGATGTTGAAAATCAGCTCACATGCAGTGTTGAAGAAGAACACCATAAGAATTCAAAATGAATTAATTCAGCATCATTCTAGGCACAGAACATTTCCAACATTATGAAAAAACGTCATCCAAATAACACCAGATTTATAAGCATCAGATTACACATGCACACTTGTCAAACAAACTTGTTTTGATGTTGTACAAAACCAGTTCAATCCATTACAGATTAAACTCCTGGCGGCTGCACTAGATTAGAAAAATGAAGATACAATAAGCCTTTTTTAACTGATTTGATATTTGGAGAAAAACAGATATTGACCAAGCTGCTGAACACAGACTATCCCGATGAAGCTGAATGAGGAATATTCCCTGTAGCTTCCCTCTCAGTATGCAGCTGAATGAACAGCATACAACACGCGCCCCAGTGGACCCTGTTATCACTGTGTACCAGTTCAACACACGGATGTGCGGCTGCACATCGGGTTATTCGCTCCCACCAGTCCTGCCTCGGCCTCCTCCACACCGCTCTCTTTTGCTAAGATGCTTCCCCTCCCCATAACTTCCCTTTTCCTCGCCGCTTCTGATCTTTCGCTCTTTCCCCTCTCTCTCCTCAGCACCCTGTTGCTTCCAAAGCTCTGCAGCTTCTGGGTTTCCTCCCCTCCATCCCCTCTTTCCCCCCACATGCTTTCATCATCCTCATCCTCATCATCATCATCCTGCTCTCATGTGTCTGACTTGAATATATTGTATAATGCATGGCGAAGGGAAAGCTGTGAGAAGACCTGCCTGGGCCAATAACGGCCAACTTAAACAACACAGAGGAAAACGGTCCCCCCCAAATCCAACACTGCACTGCTAACCCTATTATTTCAGCATCACCATAACAATTACAGCTCTTTGACTAAACACCATGAAATATTAATGCTTCTAACACTTCTTCTCTTTCGTGTTACAGTAATTGTGGACAAAAACCTTAAAGTATGTGACTATGTAACAACAGTATTTACGGCAGCGTGCGTGCTCATTTGAATTACTGTTACTCATGTGTGTGTGTTTGTGTGTCTGTGGAATGTCGGTTAATGTTTTTAAAGTTGCAAAGTTAAAAATATTCAGAGCCGATGGTCAGCGAGTGTCGTCTCTGCAGCATCGTGGTCGTGCTCACACAGAGCAGTTAGACACGAGCATGTTCGTGCCTTCTTTGCAGTTAATTAGCGTCACTGCTGATCCACTTCTACCAACGTCATTACAGCCAGCAGTGCTGCCAGGCCAGCATGAATGATTGAGCTGTCTGATGAGCTTCCCTCATGGTGAAATCAGGCCAGAGGGAAAGAATCAAAGTTGCTCTCCTCTCCCTCAACAAATAATTAAAAAACTGCATGCACCTCTCTCTCTCTCTCTCTCTCCATTGTGGACCTACCTTGTCGTTAACGAGTAGCTCAATGGGGTTGTTCCCCCATTCGATGAGGACTATCTCGTTGGCCTGGCCGGGCACTCCGTAGGAGAACGGGGTTCCTATGCCGGGACTGGCGCTGGACTTGAGCCACATACACACGGTGAAGGCGTACATCTCCGGGAGGCTCTTCTTGATGCGTCCAAACAAGTAGTTAGTTCGAAGAGAGAGGGAGACTTTGAAATCCTCGGGTGATTTGAAGGCATTGTTACCTGTCGGCGGACAGTAATTACATGTGGTTAATTTTGGTCTGTCGCGACTTCTTCTTCTACCAATGTTGATGGTTTTAAACCACCGCCGCTGATTCGTAACGTTTCAATCTGAAACGTCTCCTTGGTGCAAAAGATCCCGTTACCATTTACAGATAAGGGCCATCAATAGTGAAAAAAAATGTTTTTTGAGTGAAGAACTGATTTGACACCTCTTGAATTCTGGAGGTAAATTGAATTTAATGAGGCTAAGGTAGCATTTATTGTGGGGCTGTTGTGTTGACTCGTTCTATTTTACTGGTGGGTGTGTTGTTGTGGCCACTTTCAATGTGTCCAATTCACTTTGGTGCAAACATGCATCCTCACACAGCCGCTGACTCAATCGAATAAGTCTTGGGAAACGGGTCTCACAGGAGACGTCCCCTTAGTGGTGAGATAATCCCCTAAAATAATAATCCTTTATGCCAAGACATTCTATTGCTCTGATGTCTATCATCTCAGTGATATGACAAGACTAACTAGAGCCAGATCTTTCAGGCAAAAAAAAAAAAGCGCCTGGCTTTCAATCTGGCTGACGTTTTTATAGCACCCACTTACTTTTCTCAAGCTCCGTGATCCTCTCCAGCAGGGAATTGAGAGCGCTCTCTGTGCGACGGCGGTGCGCCGCCGTCTCATTGTAGAGTTGGCTCTTCTCCTGCTCCAGATCGACCACCTTCCGGAGGAGCTGGCTCTCCAGCGCCCCGAGACGCTGCCGCAGAAGCTCCCGCAGCTCTTGTGGTAGTGGAGACAGAGCCGAGACCACTCCGGCTGACACGTTGGTGCTGGGGAGACGCAAACTCTGCAGGTGGAAAGCCCGAATTGGAACGATTGCATGGATGATGGATGATTAGATGGATGGATACATGGATGGATAGATAGATGGGAGGGGGGGAGTGAGTGACACATATGCGAACAGTGACACAGGCATTTAATCAAGTTAATCCTGCTCACTCAGACAAGCACTCAGTCTACATAAATACCTACATTTGCAGTGGAGGACTGATTGCATCTACTAGCCCTTTAACCTCGTATTATTTTAGCACTATTGTTTTTCACAGAGCAATATCCAAATGAAGACAGTTTATCCCTGCGGCAGACTTTGCCTGGTGACCTGCCAAACACCCGTGGCTTAAAGATGGGCGTCACGAGTGGCGTTGCCTGAGTTCACACCAGGCGCAGAGGTTTTTTTTGAAAAAGGGGGACGGACACGCTTATAGGTGTGGCTTTCTCCTTGCATCGAAACGCCCTGAGATGTTCATTTCTAAAATTGATTTGGTCCTGGTACATTAAAGATTTGTATTAATTTTTTTTACACAGCGTGCAAATGGGACGTGAAATTATTAGATGTCATTAGATGAAAAGGTCTTGTTCAGCCAGTCTTCCATTCATTACGTTAAGCAGATGCAGATCAATGCAGATCAATATATGTGATGCAAAATGACATTTATCCTCACAGCTGCAGTATATCCTTGATTTAATCGGGTGTTAACGTCAAGGAGAGAGGGTTATGGGGAAGGGACTGTAGACGGATGGATTGGTATAATGCAGCAAAAAACAACCTTGAATTTAGATAATCAGAGTTTAATATGTTCTCAGGACTGTCATGTGGTGAAAAAGGTTACTATTTCACATGACATAAGAGATAAAGCCTTTCTCTGGCCTTCTGCACTACACGGTGACCTCGATATCAGTTGTGATCTCCAACCTGGTGACGCATGCAGATCTGCACGAGCAAGCTTTATCAACAACTCAACTATTGAGATTTCATGCAGGTGAAATCTACGGGAATTCATCTCACCAGCTATACAAATAAAACAATATGTGTAACACACACACACACACACACACACACACACACATAGACAGGAGTCATACATTATTCAAGTTTGCGCTCCCTGCACCGCATGCGCGATTGCACCTTTGACGCGATTTTTTGCGTTGCTCATTTCTTATTAACGACTCGTGTGCTGCGGCTTTTTGACAATCAGGGCTTTTGACATCTTTTAATGATAAAAGCGCATTGATGTGACATGGCTATATGTGACCCTTTGATCTGGAAATCTTCCCAAAACGACTCCCGCAGCACAGAGTGAGCCAATGATTCGACGTGTAACGAATATTACTTGTGAATGGATTCAAATATATTCCCCCCCAAATGGAATTATTAAATGTAGTTTGTTTTGTTTATAAGTCATTAACAGCTTTCAGGGGGAACCTAAACCAACGCGCTTTTCTGGGTCGTATTTGTGTGCAATCTTACCTCTAAATTTTCCAGCCGACCCTTTAGACTCTGCATGGTCTTGCCCAGCTGGTCTATGGTATCACCGGGGTCCCGGGGCAGGTCCCCCATGGTGTTCTTGCCGTATTCCTTCCGCCTGGAGCCCTGACCTCGGGACTTGCCCTGTGGCGACTCGTCGGCCGCCGCTTCGCAGCGCACCAGCTTGGAGTTGAGCTCCTTGATGGTCCCCTGCTGGCTCACGATAGTCTCCTTCTGCTGCAGGATGGTCTCCCGCAGCTGAAGGATGGTGATCCGCAGCTCGTCCTCCGCGGGGCTGCTGCTCTGGACACGGTTCACCGTGGGATCGTACCCGCAGCCCGGCTCCGCGCCGGGGGGGATGGCGTTACAGACGAAGCGGCTACCTGTAGCATCCTGGCCGCGCACCGTGCGTCCACTGACCAGGAACAAAAGTCCAACCACCACAACCAGCATCCCGACTAGACGCGCAAACTCCACGTATTAAAGGGAGAATAATATTTAAATATTTAAAAAAAAGGCTCCGGAAGTCTGCTGTAAATTAATGAACTTATTTCAACAACGGTTGGTTAAATTTGAACGATTGTGGACATTTTCCAAAGATGGATGAAAAAACAACAAAGTTCGCGGCGAAAGAATGGAAAACAAACAAATCAAAATCCGCAGTGAAAAATCGTAAAATCATCCATCCATCCGCAAACCACGTGAAAAAAAAATATACTAACGAATCTGTTACTTTCGGCAGATGGAAACGCGAAACAAAAAGTTGCACTGATTTATAAATGATCCTCAAAAGGGGTCGCAGAGAAGTCAGGTTCGCCCGCCTTGCCGCTCCGCTCGGTTGAATAGTCAGTGAGTGGTGCTGAGGAGACAGCGACGCCGCTCCGCCGGATTAGTGGAGGGAGGTGCGCACTGGTGCTTCCGCTCATCGTCTGCGCGCTCCGGTTATTCCTCTGCGGGATACAGTAGCTGCGTCATCCCCTGAATTTTAAGTCACGGACAGTCCCATCGGCTCTGTGTGGCCCCCGTTTAAATGCGCCGATGCTTTAAGAACCAAACAACCGCGATAGGATATAACGAAACACAATAGTAGGATAATGATTGGATGACTTCCCATCTGCCTGAGTCCTGACTCGGGGGATTGTTGCACTCTTTATGCCCCTCAGAATCTGCATTTGCTTGGGTGAAATGTACCCCCCCCCCCCCCTCCTCCCCCACCACCCCAACAGGGATCACTTGTTCTGAGGTCAAACTAATAGGATTTGTAAAAGCAATAGAAATCCACAGTTCAAATTGGGAGTCACTTCACTTGATTTAAAATGAGCTCCACATTGTCTTCTCTCATTCTTGAGTGTAAGAAAATAACTTTAATTCTCAACACATTGTGGAGCATTGACGAAACTGAACGCTTGCTTGATTTAAACCTGAACAAACCTTGAAAAAATGATGAAGGCCATGCATGCTAAGTACAGTCACAAGTGCTATAGCTTGCACTCAAAATTCCTTTCCGAATATAAATCAAGACTTGTAAGTGTTTTTGAAAAGGGAACTATTAATAGGAGTGTAACGATTCATCCACTGAATCGATTAATCGATTTATATTCCTGCGATCCAACTGAATCGATCTGTGCTCCGCAAATCGGCATTCCGGACGACATATATCGATTACAAATCGATTGAAATGGTACATAATCAATTGTATCGATACTTGGAAACTGCACATTGGATTTAAGCACAAAAACGGTATGGATGTGTGTTTGTTTGTTTGTTTTTTAGCACTTTAGACACGTTAAACGTTACTGAAGCCGCACGAAACTCGGAACAACAACAAAACACAGCGTGGCAGCGTTACCGCTGCAGCAGCAGCAGCAGCAGCAGGTAACTCCAGCTCTGCAGACTCCTCAGGCCTCGCCAGCACCAAACTCAACATCACAGTAACAATTCCCAAGTTTAGCTGTAAAGACGTGCGACCCTACAATGTGGTTGAAAATCCGGGGTTCTGTGAATTGATCCAAACATTGTGCAAATATTGTGTAATGTTTACATTGAAAATGGTTGCACAATAAAAGGTTAATATATTTGCCATTAATTGTTGTTTGCTTGTTTATAATATCCATAATTAATTCAAACCTGATTTCCGTACAAGAAACAGGGATCTCGGAAACTTTGCCTGCACTGTCCAGTAAAGTTACTGAATCGATTTCAAGTCACTGAATCGGATCAAATCGAATCGTTTCTAAATTAACCCAGATCGTCCATGAATCGAATCGGCAACCATGAATCGCGATTCGAATCGAATCGTTGTTAAAATGAATCGTTACACCCGTAACTAATACTATTAGATAACTGTTTCACAGGGAAAATGTATGTTATTGCCTGTTTCGGTTTCTAAAGAGGAAGGCAGGCTACGTAGGAACTTCCCTGCTCGACAAACATTTTCTAATATTAAAATCCAATGCCTCCTCACACAAATCTCACCCCGAAATCGAGAACTCCAAGGTAAACTCTGGATGGGATCCCTTCTCAAAATAACCCAAAGACAGTGAACCATATTTGGAAGGAAGATGGAAGTCCCTCGGCTTCCAAGTACACAGCAAATCGTTGCTGTTGGACGTGTAAAATGACTTGACGGAATCGGTTCTTTATATTTAGAAATCTGCAGGCGAATCCACGTCGGTGGCAGCACGACACCATTAGCCTCTTTGACAATGATAGACAGGGAGGTAAATCGCTGCAGGCTTGGTGTGGCGCTCCCTTCAAGTCTTTTCAAAATAAGACAAGGGATCTGGCGCCTGTCAGACACCTGCTAAGAATCGTAGAATATGAAAAAACTTCAAAGCCAGACGTCGGCTCGGTTCAGATCGGCGCGGCTGCTATCAAGCACAGACGCATCTTGTTTCCCAAAACAGCCACGTCAATATATATTTCCTTAACGTAATTCCCTTAAGACATGAAGCGCTGAGGCAGCGGCGTGCTCTCTTGAAGTGGTGTGCAGTATTGCTGCGCTGCCCATCGCATCCATCATCTCCTATCTGCTCACAGGGCCCAGGAGGGAAATGTCAGCCGGCATTAATGCACACTCAGCGCACAATGGGGCCCACGGAGCCTGACAGGGAACCGCCGAAGTCACTGCTAAGGAAGGCAGTTTCTAATATGACAGGTCCCCTGGCAAAGGGGACACACAATCACCACGGAGACCTTATATATCCTCCCTGATCTCCCCCCCCCCCGAAAAAAAGCCTCGTCCTGGCTACTGCGGTGCTGGCAGAAGTAAAGCGGGATTACTGAAGACCCAGCAGAGATGACAAGTTTCACTTCAAAGTTGACGAGATAAAGTTATTTCCCTTTCATGTCGCAAATGGTGAGCGCAGGGGTGAAGTCACTTCACTTTTTTTTTTTAGGGTTGAGGTGTCAGTAGCGATTGAACCCTTAAGTTTCCCATAAAGATGAATATATTTCAAAGTTCTAATTTGCACTTGGCTACAGGCAATAATAATGTTTGTCTACGTAAAAACAACGGCACTTATTTACAGACATAGGGTCATCAACATGATTTAAGGATGGATCTCCACTCCTCCTGTCAATATCATGCAATCGAAAACAACAGAACCACAATCTGCAGCCACAAGATTAACAGAATTGTATAAAACATTTTTTATCAGCGACAATATTTAGATCGGGCCATATTGAATCACCTGCCCAGAACAAAGGAACCACGCACTGGCTGTACATACGGTCAAATGACTGGGTGAAAATACAACTTGAGACTTTACTATGTGAATGTATATAAGAATAAATATTTACAATTACATTTTGAATTACTTCAAATACCCTCTTTGGTGATGCAACCTTTGAGGCCTGAGCCGTTTTTTTTAACATCTTCCTTCCAAGGTTGTTTCACTAGTTGGATCGTCATCCGTGCACCTTCCTCCTCATCAGTGCGACGTGGAAGCGGCGGATGCTGAACACTCACCCGCGGGGACGCAGCGCCACGGCGCCGTTTAGTCACGTCCCTTCCTGCGCTCCCACCATGCCTCCATCCCCCATCCCTGCACCTGGTGCTACCTGCTCATACACATGCACCCTGCACACCCGTCCTACCCACGGACACGCAGAGAGCACACGCGCCCTTCAAAGGGGAGCCAAAACAAAAAGAGAGAGAGAGAGGCACATCGTAAGTGTGACATTTGTGAGTCACATTTTTTGTAATAGCCACACTGCAGTCACGTTTCTCCACAATGAACAAAGAACTAAATGTCCAACCACACCAAAATAGAAATAGATACACACGACCACATGCTCACACAGACACACACACTGTCACGACCGGACGGTGGACGGGAACCCAAATGCACGACTCACACAACGTGGTGCGAAAAAAGAATCAAAGTTTATTAACAAAAGGACAGGGCATGGCCGCTGAAATAAAAATCACTCGTGGGCGAGGAAAAAACCGATCTAGAGACAAAAACTGAAAGCAGGCTCAATTAAGGTGTCGACAAAAAACGAGGCAAGACTGTGGACATACGTAGCGCTGGCACGGTGGCTTGGGACAAGACGAACTGGCACAGGACAGAGGGAGACTCAGACAATATATACACACACATAGGGGAAGTGCACAGGTGGAGACAATCAGGGGAGGGGCGGCAATCACACCGACACAAGAGGAAGGGGAAAGTTGCCTGAAACAAGGGGAAGGTTCATTTTCCAAAATAAAACAGGAACTCACGAGACGGACACGAGACAACCTAACTAACATCTTTTTCTGGACATGACAGTACCCCCCCTTTAGGGACGGCTCCTGACGGACTTTTGCGGTTGTTGAAGTCCCTGATGAGTGCCGGGTCCATGATAAAGCTGGACCGGACCCAGGAACGGTGCTCCGGACCATAGCCCTTCCAGTCCACCAAGTATTGGTGTCCCCTTCCGCGTTTGCGTACGCCCAAGAGTCGCTTCACTGGGTAGACCGGTCCCCCATCAACCATCCGGGGAAGTGGCGGAGTTGCGGCTCCGGGCACCATAGGACTCTCTCTAACTGGTTTCAGCTTCCCCACGTGAAAAGTAGGGTGCACCCTCAGGGATCTGGGAAGGCGCAGACGAACAGAGACAGGGTTAATTACTTTTGACACGGGAAACGGACCCACAAACCTAGGAGCTAGCTTCCGGGAGGCAACATGGAGTGGCAAGTCCCGTGTGGAGAGCCAGACTTTCTGGCCCGGCTGGTATGTCGGAGCTGGCTGGCGCCTCCGATCAGCGACCTTCTTCATGCGCGCCGCGCTGCGAAGGAGGATGCTGCGGGCAGCTGCCCAGATTCGGCGGCAACGCCGGACCATGGCATGGGCGGAAGGGACGACGACCTCCTTCTCAGTATCTAGAAACAGAGGCGGTTGGTAGCCGAAGGCGCACTGGAAGGGGGTCAGCCCCGTGGCTGCTGTGGGGAGCGTGTTATGGGCGAATTCAACCCAGGTTAGGTGTTTGCTCCAGGATGACGGCTTCTGGGATACCAGGCAACGAAGACTCGTTTCCAATGCTTGGTTAAGGCGCTCAGCCTGTCCATTGGCCTCTGGGTGGTATCCGGACGTGAGACTGACCGTGGCCCCGATCAGTTTGCAGAATTCAGTCCAAAAACGGGATACGAATTGGGGCCCCCGGTCTGACACCACGTCCCTCGGGAACCCATGAATGCGAAAAACGTGGTTGAGCATGGTTTCGGCAGTCTCCTTGGCTGACGGAAGTTTAGGTAGGGCTATGAAATGAACCATCTTTGAGAATCGATCCACCACTGTGAGGACAGTGGTGTTACCTTGAGAGAGCGGGAGACCAGTGACGAAGTCCAGCGAAATCTCAGCCCAGGGTCGACTGGGCACCGGGAGTGGTTGCAGCAGCCCTGTGCGTGCCTGGGAGGAGGTCTTGTTCCTAGCACAGACGGGGCACGCACCAACATACTCCCGGACCTCGCGTTCCATGGCGGGCCACCAGAACCTTTGTCTGATGGCATATATGGTTCTCCTGATCCCTGGATGGCAGGTGAGCTTTGAGGTGTGAGCCCAATGAATCACCTGTGGGCGCATAGTTGCCGGAACAAACAGGCGATTAACTGGACAACCACTAGGTGTAGGGTTCT